AGACCTTTGAGGCACTGACTGAGCCAAAGGCTTATCGGTACTTGTAACGACGACCAGATAAGGACATTTCAGTAAATTTTTGAAAAAGGAAAAAGTCGCATGGGGCTAGATCTGTAGAGTATGGTGGGTGTGACAAGACGGTAACCTTCTCCGACTTCAAAAATTGCTTCACAAGCTAAGATGTATGCCATGGAGCATTATCATGAAGAAGATAAACATGCCTAAATCCTGACACAGGGCGTGTTTATGATAATATTTCTTGAGATTTTTTAGTATAATATCTCGGTAATACTGACCTGTAACACTTTTGACCTTCGGCACCAGAATTTGCACGGCTATACTAATCACAGGAGAATATGCAATAAAGAACCTCTTTGTGCTTATGGTTCTTTTGGCAACAACAGCCCGTTTACCGTGTTTAGTTACATGTCCAAGAATAAATTAGATATCGACAATATGATGCAGGTCAATATCGTATCGATATCAATCCTGATCAGCACTATGAAACTGGAAATACTGGATACCCTCTGTAAGAGTTAATGCTACGTCGATCTCAACAATACAATGACGATATCGTATCAATATCAATCTTGATTTGTACAATTTATTTTCACGTTGAGGTATAACACAATTATACAAGATCACAAGCAACGCCGATATTGATTCATTATTGGCATATGAATATGCAAATAAATAAGGATGACTTACAAATGGTTAAAGGTTATTATTGTCAGGGGTTAGAGTTAGAGGTAAGGGTAAATTAGTAAAAATATTATGTTTTAAACAATCATCATTCGATCGATAAAGATACGATATTGTCGACATCGACAGTAGGGCAGACTTAATAATTAGAAAGTACGTATGCACGAGTATTGCATAAAGTAATACAGCCACAAGAATGATGGCAAAATGATTCGATATCAAAACGATATCGTCGATATCGACGATATCGATGGCAAGTACAAACTTCGTCAATGTAAAGTATTTAAACAAAGACAAACATGCACAATTGCAAGCACGGTACTAACCAGGGGTTGAGCAAACATGATTCGATTTTGAAGCGATATCATTGATATTGACGATATCGACACTACAGGAAAACTTCATTAAGTGATAGTATTCAATTAACTCACATGTTAATAAACACAATACATGTACTAAGGGTGATAACCACAATCTATTGAACAATCATGATTTGATATCGATACGATATCGTGGATATTGACAGTAAGGAAAACTTTGTAAACAGAAAGTATTCTAATATACACAAAAGTAAAAAGAAACATTGTAGCAAGCTAAAAAAAAAGTAATCTTTAGATATCGTAACTACATCGTGTCTTGGGCATAACTCTTTAGTTAGCCATATTTTGTTTCCAGTTTTTCTTACTGGTTCGAAATAGTGAACCCATGTTTCGTCACCAATTACAATGTTTGCAAATGAATTTGGGAAACATTTTGAGCAATTGCTTAGCGGTTTGTACTCGTACCCGTTTTTGGTCATCTGTCAATATATGCGGCATCCATCTGGCCGAAATCTTTCGTACTTTCCAAATACTTTTGAGACATTTGCCATGCCTGTTACAGCCACAGGTCGGCCAGATTTTGCTGCATCTTTGAAGGACTATGTGCCAGTCAGAAATTTCTTTCTCCACCTATGATCTGTCTCATAAGATACCTTATCAGACCCATAAACTTCCCCCAATTCATAAAAATCTGCAATACCGAATGTCAGACCGAATTTTGTGCGAACTTTTATATAAGCTCTAATTTCTTCAATACCCAACCATTTTTACAACAGTGGTGAACGACTGGCTCTATTGAAATGATGACTTTTAGTTTAAAACTTTGTGGAGCTGAAGGCTCCTGTTTATACCGTTAGAAAGGTATTGAATAGAGCTATTCAAGAGTATCATCATCAACGAAATCGAGCAAAGCGTTATCGCGCTTTGGTGCAATACACATTACATTTCGAACAGCCCTCGTACAATAGAAAACAAAGTTAATTAATGATTGTGGCCCTTCAATGATAATACCAAATACTAGTAACTCTCTCTCTCTCTTCGGCAAGGATTTTTGCTTGGTTGTGTCCCCCAAATGAATCTGTTAGATTATATGCCCACCCTCTCCTCAAACTGAAACTGCTTCCTATCAGCATATGATAAATCCAGTGTAAATTCTTGAAAGTGGCCCGATGGGTAGTGCAGAATCAAAGAAGATGGGCGAACAAGGAGAGCGAAATGCCTATAGTGCGACAAACATGAAAGTGAAAAATTAAATTTCAATTATAAAAAAAATAGTTTTTTATATTTCATCTAATATTAATGTTTACTTTATGTAAAAATCTCCACAATTTGCAAAAAATCTCACAAAGATTGAAATTATTTCCCTATGAAATTTCATGCACACACCAACGAGGGCAAAAAAGGGTCATTTTCTCATTCTAAATAACAACATTTTTCGATATGAAGTCCATTTAGTCAAGGGTCATATCACAAGCATGATTTAAATACTACTATTCATCAGGAGCTGCGTAGAGTAGTGGTTAGTGTGAGAATCTCGAAGGAAAAGGACATTCAGGATTTTTATTGCTAGGTTTCGAACCCCACGAATACCACATTATTTTTTAATAACAGAATAATTTTTGCCTAGAAAATTTTCCTAAGAAAAGTTTTGTTCATCATAATTTCATGAATTTCAATAATGAGAACTTTATTCTAAATGCTAAAAATACAGATTGAATATGATCGTTATATATATGACGCTATAGCATTCTGCAGGTCTTGTTAAAATTCACCCATGTCTCCTTCGTTGATTCCATGATCCCAGAGGAAGGGTTGGTTAAAAATAATGAATAGTGTATATACATTTTACATGGGAATATACTGGTATAGGAAAAAATCTTTTGAAATCTTTTCTTCTCAAGAAGGGGGGGGGTGGTAATGATTGATCACATTAATATGCAAGGATCCTTTGGAAAAAATCTTTAATTTCTTGATAACTACCGGGGATTATTAATCATGCAATGTATTAATTTGGAAGGATATTTAGGAAGTGTAGGATCAAGTTTGCTTAAATCATTGCCCTCCAGCGGGGGGGGAGGGGGTTAGGCCACAATTTGGTTAATAAAAAGAAAGAAAAGAAATCGAAAATCGAAAATCTTTTTGCTCAACAGCATTAGGTAGAGTCAATAATTCATGTGAGCGTTGTTGTCCGAGGGCCTCTTGTCAAACAGCTTATTAAATTTCCGGAAATTCTACGGTTTCGTTTTTAACTCTACTTGTTAAAGACATCGTTTTACTTCCGGTTTGTTTGGGGGAGTGTGTGGCAACCATTGGATTTGGCATTGTCATTGAACAAACTCATGAATCTGAATTCAGAACAAATGTAATCACAGAACAAGTGGATTTTTAAAAGGAAAAGTATGCCTTATCGTACCCACACACACAAACAAGCTATATAAGGCTATTTTAACACGTTATTATCCCTTTTCTATCTCTCTCTCTCTCTCTCTATAAGTTACAAGAAGCAGGTCGGTACAATCTCATGATTTAGCTATATAGCTTGCTTTATTAAGCTATTAAGAATAGCTTTATTTAGCTATTTTATCACACTTTTTTCTTTAATTTGTTATTTTTTCAGCATGTACAAAAAAAATCGCACCTTGGTGCAGTGATAATATTCTACCTTGAACTCTTCTGAAAACAATGCATGTAAAAATCACTCACTGAATTGCGACTCTCTGAGAGACTTTGTACTCAAAGTTCTAAAAGTTTTGGGGCTATATAAAGCAATTGATTAGTGATCATACAGTTACTTCTTGAATGAAATTATAAAGGAGGTCAGTTATCTGGTTATGGTCAACAAGGTGATATTGATTGGTAATAATTGAGCACAATGAGAAGCAATCATACTTATCCATGCCTCACTGCACACAAGGTAGTGTGCTACTCAAACAATGGAAATTCATCTTTTACTTAAAAGTATTCAAAAGCTGCAGTGTTAGAAATATCTTTGATTTGAATTGCTATTTTGATAGTACATATTTGAATAGTCAAATACTTGCGACTTTTTGTTAATTTCTTACAAAGATACATTTTTATGAAAAACTGCATATAAATAGCTTTATCAAGCTATTTTGAATAGCTTGATAAAGCTATATAGCTATTTCAAACTGTATCGCTAAATCAAGAGACTGTACTGGACCGGGTTAGGAGCACTATATAGCTTGATAGAGTGTAGAACAGTGGGACTGTACTTATAACAGGTTAAATAAGTATATGAACCTTTTAAAAGAGATCATATGGTAATATGAATTCACTAGTATTTTATATGTTTTACAATCAATTGAGCCGTGAAAAGTAAGTTACCAGTTGTTTGACCAGGTTCCAAATAGGGTACTGATTAGTTGATGCTGTGAAATTTTGTGGGTATATTTATATGTAACTTCATCAAATTTTAATCTTGGAAAGTAACTTTTATTTTAGCAAGTTAATGTGCATGGGTAGTCATCTGACCACTTGCTAATAAGCCAATGACTTCTGAATATCTAGTGGTTCCCATGCAAATGGATCCTAAATTCTCCATTGATATGCCTAGGGATTCCCATGCAAATGGATCCTAAACTATCCATTGACATGCTTAGGAGAAGTTAAAATAAATGCCCCCACAAAGTTAATGGCATTTCCTAATAGCCTATAATTATGCACACTTTCAGATATAAGCTCTAAAGATGTATCATTGTCATAACATCAATAAATGTTAATAAAGAATCTCCATATATGCTGCTCTAGTGCTGTAGCACAAAGTCATAAAAGAATCATGCTATTTTCTTTTTCTTAGCAAAATCATAAAAGAATTGGTATTTCCTTTTTCTTGGCAAAATCATACAAAAAAGTCGTGCTTTCTTCTTGGCAAGGAAGTGATGTTATGATCCTCCCTCATTTCAGGGAGTTAATCCCAGGGGAACAATCTCTTTGTAATAAGCTTCAACCCTATCAGTTATAATGTCAATTTTCTGTTATAGATATGGGGGATATAGCTGTCTTGACAAGACACTTGTATAAGAGCTATGGAAAAGGCAAAAACAAGCTGGAAGTCCTTCGGGATCTTGACATGACTGTAGCACGAGGAACAATGTAAGTAATAAGTACAGATGTACTTACACATTTTTTTCTTTGACATATATACATGTATACAGGTACAGTAAAATTTGTCTAATCTGGACACCACTGGTTCTGTAGAAATTTAGCCAGATTAGACAACATTCCAGGTAAGACAACATTTTAAACAGTTGAATTTACTGAAAGGGACTTAAAGTTTACATGGTAATAGACAAGATTTTGGGATACACAGCATCTGGGTTATACAAGTTTATTTTATTTTATTTTATGTAAACATCCAATTTATTCTTCTACATGTGTAAATTTTACATAATAGAAAAAAAAAACCATATGTGTTATTTTTGATGTAGATATGGACTTCTTGGTCCAAGTGGTTGTGGGAAGACAACCCTGCTGAGATGCATTGTGGGAAGACTACAGGTTGATTCTGGAAATGTCATTGTCCTTGGCAACAGACCAGGTGCCAGAGGACATGGGGTCCCAGGACATCTAGTGGGGTACATGCCTCAAGTAAGATTTTTTTTTTCTTAAAATATACTATTTTGTTTTTGCTTTTGTTTATAGATATATTCACCTGACAAAAGAAAATTATGAAGAAAATGTTTCATAAATTTTGAAAAAAAAAAATTCATAAAGTGTTCACTCATTTCTTTTGGATTAGGGTACCTGTTTTCATGGTCAGTATAAAATAATATCATGCTTTAGATCTACAATATATCAGACATTGCATTCAGTGACTGAGAGTTTTAGGTCATTTTATCATTTGATATAAAAAGAATGGAAGCATAAAAATGGTCAAAGTATTCTTATATGTTTTCACAAAAGCATGCATGGAAATGTCCAACACAGGATCCAGCATATCCACAGTCATGAACTTGACTCAACATTTTTTTTGAGCACCTTAGTTATAATAAAGTTGAACTTACTGAAGAAATGTGAGCATAGTGTTGAAAATTCAATTTACCTTATTTATATATTATATATATTTATATATTATTATGTTATATATATTATATATTATATATATGTATTTATTACCCAATTTACCTTCTGTCTGTCCATTGGTCACTCTTTTTTTTTTATTGGATTTTGTATATTTTTAAAAGTAAACAAAAAATCTCTGTGAAAATTTTGGTCGATCTTGTCATGTATATGTGCTGTAATATTTGGGAAGAACTGTGAACAATAGAATTGTTCTCCCACCTACCTCCAAGTCAATTTTCAAAAGTTAAGATATTCGAATGATTTTTAATATTTATATTGATATTTATATGGATTTTCATAAAACATTACCTCTTTGGGAAAACAACGAGAGATAACTCTAAAATTTTGGTAAAACTCGTGTTTTTCACTATAGAAATGAACGGAAAACGGAAAATATTCTTAAAACATCTTCCCCCCCCCCCCCCCCCCCCCGTGAAACAAAAATTCCTTTTTACGGATAATATGGACTGTCATTTCACAAATTCATACCAAAGCTTTTTGTGTTTCACGGGGGGAACATATGTTTATATACAAAAAACGACAAAAATGCTTATTTTTTCAGCAATTTCCAAGTGCTTTACAACTGAAACATTATATTTTACTAATATATATGCTTAATTTTATATGCATAAAACATAAGAAAAGATTTAAGAAACATTTATTCATATCCAGGACTATTTCAGAATGTGGTGATGCTTTATAGCCCGATTTCAGTGGAAAATATCGTCTACCTCCCTTATTTCAAGAGCTGGAATTAGGGATATTTTACTATTTAGCACTGGAATTAAAATAATTAATCAATTACCATTGAACTGTTCTTTGTATTTAACAAAGATTTTATGGCCAAATTGTCATCAATATTGAATTAAATGGTTGTAAAATGTAGGCGGGAATCGGGAGTTACCATGCGTAGCTCTTTTCATTGGAGCTTCATTCATCAACATCCTTGGGTTAAAAATACTGAAATTCTGTTATAATTATACTAATGTTGCAAATGTTCTCTAGGGTTTTGTATTAATGTTGCAGATGTTCTATAGTGTTTTGTACAAATGTTGCAGATGTTCTATAGTGTTTTGTACAAATGTTGCAGATGTTCTGTAAGGTTTTGAACTAATGTTGCAGATGTTCTGTAAGGTTTTGTACAAATGTTGCAGATGTTCTGTAGGGTTTTGTACAAATGTTGCAGATGTTCTGTAGGTGTTTTGTACAAATGTTGCAGATGTTCTGTAGGTGTTTTGTACAAATGTTGCAGATGTTCTGTAGGTGTTTTGTACAAATGTTGCAGATGTTCTGTAGGGTTTTGTACTAATGTTGCAGATATTCTGTAAGGTTTTGTACAAATGTTGCAGATGTTCTGTAGGGTTTTGTACTAATGTTGCAGATGTGCTGTAATGTTTTGTACTAATGTTGCAGATGTTCTATAGTGTTTTGTACAAATGTTGCAGATGTTCTGTAAGGTTTTGTACTAATGTTGCAGATGTTCTGTAAGGTTTTGTACAAATGTTGCAGATGTTCTGTAGGGTTTTTTACAAATGTTGCAGACGTTCTGTAGGGTTTTGTACAAATGTTGCAGACGTTCTGTAGGGTTTTGTACTAATGTTGCAGATGTGCTGTAGGGTTTTGTACTAATGTTGCAGATGTTCTGTAGGGTTTTGGACAAATGTTGCAGATGTGCTGTAAGGTTTTGTACTAATGTTGCAGATGTTCTTTAGGGTTTTGGACAAATGTTGCAGATGTGCTGTAAGGTTTTGTACTAATGTTGCAGATATTCTGTAAGGTTTTGTATTAATGTTGCAGATATTCTGTAGGCTTTTGTACTAATGTTGCAGATGTGCTGTAGGGTTTTGTACTAATGTTGCAGATGTTCTGTAGGGTTTTGGACAAATGTTGCAGATGTGCTGTAAGGTTTTGTACTAATGTTGCAGATGTTCTTTAGGGTTTTGGACAAATGTTGCAGATGTGCTGTAAGGTTTTGTACTAATGTTGCAGATATTCTGTAAGGTTTTGTATTAATGTTGCAGATATTCTGTAGGCTTTTGTACTAATGTTGCAGATGTGCTGTAATGTTTTGTACTAATGTTGCAGATGTTCTGTAAAGTTTTGTATTAATGTTGCAGATGTTCTTTAGAGTTTTGTACTAATGTTGCAGATGTTCTGTAGGGTTTTGTACAAATGTTGCAGATGTTCTGTAATGATTGGTACTAATGTTGCAGATGTTCTGTAGGGTTTTGTACAAATGTTGCAGATATTCTGTAGGGTTTTGTACTAATGTTGCAGGTGTTCTATAGTGTTTTGTACAAATATTGCAGATGTTCTGTAATGATTGGTACTAATGTTGCAGATGTTCTGTAGGGTTTTGTACTAATGTTGCAGATGTTCTGTAGGGTTTTGTACAAATGTTGCAGATGTTCTGTAATGATTGGTACTAATGTTGCAGATGTTCTGTAGGGTTTTGTACTAATGTTGCAGATGTTTTGTAGGGTTTTGTACAAATGTTGCAGATGTTCTGTAATGATTGGTACTAATGTTGCAGATGTTCTGTAGGGTTTTGTACTAATGTTGCAGATGTGCTGTAATGTTTTGTACTAATGTTGCAGATGTGCTTTATATATACAATATACTTACACTTCTACTTTAGCTTTCCTCCATTGCCATGATCATTGGAAATACAAATCTTGTTGAAAGAAATGCAAACCAGCTTTAGATGTGAACTGTCTAATGACATCATTAATTTGCTCTATTTGACAACTAAATGGACTATAACAATTATTGTGTCCAGGCTAGATCAACAAAAATCACTCTTCCAAAGGTTTAGCAGCCACCAGAAGCTATTGTGATGAGCATGAAAATATTTCTTTGCATTATATGTGTAGATGGTGTTTTTGTCTACTTCATTGCAGTTGATATAAATTTTAATTATTGCAGTGGTCATTAGAGGCCATATTTCTATCTCAAAATTGAAGCATAAAACACCATGTGCAATGCTACGTACTACATTTGAGGTCCCCTCATTTTCATCACAGTAGGTTAATACATGTATGTATGCAAATAGCTTTAATTCTATTGTTGACCAATTTTGTATGGATGATTTCACTATTTCACTAGATTCATATCTAGTGAATAAGTGATTAAGTACCTCAAGAAAGTTTATCAAATCACCAATGGTGAATACCATACATTGGATGTTGCTTCCTGGGTTATTATTAACCCTAGTTTGACTAAACTTGAAAAACCATTGCAGTTAGGGTGATCAATACCAGAGATGCTTAACATATTGCATTTAAGACCAAAATTTTGCAGATGAGTGTCAGTTCCGGGGAAAAAAATTATGAAGAAGGCCTAAATTCCAAGTAACCAGGAGTTCATCATTGATCGAATTTGCATAGATATTTTATCTAGGAATTATATACATGTATAAGTCATGCTGTTGTTGCATGTGCCCTATATTGTTTAAGTTGTCAAGTTGAAGGTTTTAAGTAATTTGCTTGTTAAGTACCTATTAATCTGGTATAAATGTTTTAAAGTTATCCAACTTTGAATGAATGTGTACTGTACATAACCAAGTAGGTCTAAAGTTCAACATCTTTGAATGACCTTAGAGTCAAACTGTGAAGTGCATGCATGACTGTCATTTTTGACCATAGCTTACAGTTACTGAAATGTTATTTGAAATTCCTACCGGAAGAGGTACTTATTAACAATGGAGTGGATTGAGAAATCATAAGAAATATTTTAGTTTTATAGCTCTACTTATGATGACAAAACTTAAGGCATAGATTCATCCCTTTGATTATTTTTGTCCTTGACTACTTGACCTTGCTCTGAACCTGCTAATTAATGGCAATTCTATTTTTAAGGAAATAGCCTTATTTTACAAAATGACGATCGGGGAGACCCTATCTTATTTTGGAAGAATTCACAGGATGTCTAGAAGTGACAGAAAAAGTAGAACGGAATTCCTTCTCCAGTTCTTGACTCTTCCAGAAGCAAACAGACTCATTGAAAATTTAAGGTGAATCCTATAAATAGTAACACTTTATTTTAGATTTCTCTGATTGATGGAAGGGACAGTTTATAATGACAAGGTGTAAAGAAGTAAAGTACACTAAATAGAGATCAAGTCGTAATCTTGTTTACACCTATTATTCTATTCAATTTCATTTGATAGACTAAAAGGGGTATGTTATATTTCTTTATTATGTAAAATACCTATATTCATGCCACCTGAAAGTATGCATGTAAATTGAAATATTGTGCTTAAAAGTATTGTATCTTTCCTATATATAGAATCTTGTTATTTGTACCATAGCTATGTATTTAAAACAGCACTGACTTTTAAGATATCTGGCAAGATGTCTGAAGCATATACTTTTCACACACATTCAGTGACACTCTGGGGTCATTCAATAAACTATATTTGAATCACTTCCCTTGTTTGTACTCTCTATGAAATGATTTTAACACACATTTCACTACAGCAAATCATGTGACATGGAAACAAGCGCAGTAACTACAGGTTATCAAATTGCTGTTTATACTGTATAAAAAGTGCATATAAAACATCAAAAGGCAATATTTAGAATACAAAAGCAACCTATAATTCTTAAATTTTCTATTGCTACATGTATCTGTTTTCGTCTATCTTAGTGTGTCATCAGTTGTCCATTAACATTTGAACATTTCAGCTTCTCCTCTAAAATAGCCCGCCCAATTTCAACCAATTTTGGTATATAGCATCTATGGGCAAAGGGGAACAAAAGTTCTGAATTTCATGGCCTCTTTCCCACTGGGGCCTGTGGGGTGGGACTAACATCAAAATTAATACAATTTTTTCTTAATTCCTGGACATCAAGCTGTTCAGACTGTTGGCATGATTATAATAAGCATCGAACCCTCACCAAAATTACTGCCTCTATTGATCATGTGGTGAAAATGTATATTAATTCTTTAAAAATCTTCTCTCCTGTATATTTAGCAAACAATCTAAGTGCTTGTTTATGAGAAAAAAAGAGTGTCTTTCCCAGTATTATGAAATTCATGGCCCCAGGGTCAGGGGTCCTGGTGTTAGGGTGGGGCTCTATTGATCATATAGTGAAAATACATAAATTCTTTGAGAATCCTCTCTGCTTCTGGGTATTAAGCATACAAACTAAGTGCATGGTTATGATGAGCAAGGGTGCTTCTTCCAAAATTATGAAAGTCAGGGCCTCTGGGTTAGAGGTTCTGGTGTTGGGACCTGGCTTTATAGATCATTTAATGAAAATGCATTAATTCTTTGAAAAATGTTCTCTGCTCCTCGGAATCTAGGAGGCAAACAGAGTACACAGTTGTAATGATGAAGGCTGTTTTACCAGAGTTTTTGAAATTATTGACCACTGGGTCAGGGGTTCTGGTGCTGGGCAGGGCTCTGTTGATCTTAAAGGGAAATTTGTACATGTACTATAGTTTTTGAGAAGTTATTCCCTTTTGTTATTCACATCTGATAATTGATATGTCTGTTGAATAAAAGAATTAAACAGGATTATTTATGTATAAAACAAAAAGTACTTCTTTAGTTTTTTATGGTTAGGTAGATTTGTCAATAATAGGTAAAATAGAAATGAGAGAAAAATACCAGATTTTTTTTTTTTTTTAACATTTAATGTTATTCAAGGACCAGAGAGGCCAGTGAAATGGGAATTAAGCTGGGTTTACTCTATGTATATTGTGTTTCATGCTCAAGCACTATTGTGTTGTTAAGTTTAATGATAATGACAAATGAGCATGCTCGCATAGTTAGATCTGGTACATATAGGCAAGGAAGTAGATTTCCTTAATCATGTTATGGCTTGTTGCTGATTTTTATGATCCCTGATCATCGTTTTTCTGTTGTTTTTGAGAAACATATCTTCTTTAATTAGTTTATCTGGTTTTATCATATACCGGTAATTATTAAATTGTCATGCTATGGATCCTTTACGGAGTTGTATTATACTCAGGTGAATGTCAAGGTCCTTGGGCCTCTTGTTAATTATTTGAAATTTTATTGAAGCATTTTTATCAAAAACAGAATTATGTAATTTTTTTGTTAATATTTAGAAACAAGATTATAAATAAAAATCTTTATTCCAGAGATAGAGCCTATTATATAAATGCAAGTCAGGTATTTACTGCTAATTTTTGTCATAAAGCACACTACCGGTAGTTATTTGTTTCTTATGTTATTAATTGTTTGTTTCCTTTGTTATGAGTTTTGTATTTCCTACATAATATTACGTTGTTTGTTTCCAATGTAATGAGTTGTTTGTTTCCTCTATTATTAGTGGTGGACAGAGAAGACGGGTATCCTTGGCTGTCGCTTTACTGCAGGAGCCAGAGTTACTGATTCTAGATGAACCAACAGTAGGAGTGGATCCAATACTTAGAGAAAAGTAAGTCAATCCATAAAGAGAGAGAGAAGGGGGAAAATAGACCTTTGAACCATCTGTAGGCCTGAGTGGTGGAGGGAATAGAAAATAAAGATATTCAGTGACAGAAAGAGAGAGAGGAAGAGAGATGTAAAAAAAAATTTTTAAAAAACCCAAAAAGGACCAATGTGTATTTTAATGGTTTGGGCTGTAAATATTGGCCTGGATAACTCAGTTAGAGCACCTGACTAGTGATGCAGGGATCCCTGGTTTGATTCCATGTCCAGCCATACATTTTCTTCATTCCTGTTACATATTTTAGTGCTGTTGACCACCCCTGGACTTGCAGGTGAAAGTCCTGCAAGGGGGAAAAAAGAACTTGGATTGTGTCTTTGAGGGCAAAGATAATTTAAGGAGGAAAAATGTAATGGTTTGGGTCGTGAAAATTGGCCTGGATAGCTCCATGGTTAGAGAACCTGACTAATGATGCAGGGGTCTTGGGTTCAATTCCTGGTTCAGCCATACATTTTCTCTTTTCCGTACAGTATACATGTATGTATTAACAGAAGGATTATATCTGACAGACTGATTGCTACTTGCATCAGAATGCATATATGTATTTAATAAATAATTGCAGAATCTGGGGACATTTACTGAATATTACAAGACAACTCAATTCCAAAACGGCCATCATAATTACCACACACTACATAGAGGAGGCAAGGCAAGCAGACAAGGTTAGTAAATAGGTCTGTGATGTTCAATCAAGGGATAGTAGTAAAAGAGCAAGGGCCACTTAGGGCCTTTTTTAGCCCTATAAATTTCTGAAAAATTAAAACTGCATAGTTTTAGTCGACAAGGCAATAAATATCACTTGAACACGCGTTGACTAAATTTCTACCAAAAATGACGTAATTTTCTTGCTAGTCAATGCATTATGACGTCATGAATTGCGTCATCATTCACATATCCTGAATATTTCTTCAAAAATGGCCAAAATATGATGCTATTTTTCAATATTTCGTATACAGCACAACCTCCGATCCAAACTGTGCAAATATATTATGAAAGAACTGCTCATTAAGATTTTAAAACATTCTTTAATTTTTGGATCGAGGGGTGTGCTCATATTTTAATTCTTTGTTGAAGGTTCTCATATTCACCTGTTTTCTGCAAAATTCAAGAACATTGCAATTTCACACAACCTGTTTTCCAGTACCTGGACATTTTAGAGGAAACTTTTATATACAAACTGAAAGCGCCAAGTCTCTACTTTATATTGATGTTGAGAAAGGGAAATAGTGTGTTAGTGGATAAATTGGTTTATCTACAGGGCCATTTTATGCTAAAGTGAACCTAGCTCTTTGCTGAAAAAACACTTCATTATCTTATATATATATATATATATATATATATATATATATATATATATATATATATATATATATATATATATATATATATATATATATATATATATATATATATATCAAATATTAATCAGCAAAAATGATATAATGCTTGTCAAAATCCATTATCAGCATCCATTGGGGATATATGTATAGGTTTATGTCTGAGTACCTCTCCATTCTGTAAAAGTTATTTAACCAAGGCCCCCAAGACATACGAGGACATTGACCTACTTAAAGTCCACTGCTTAAAATGACAATAAGTATTGTTTTTATGATACAGGCATGTTTTAATTAGATATACATTTTATAAATAATTTGTACTATCATATATAGTATGGCTGCTTCAACATTGGGCTCGGTAGCATGATGTGGAGAGTACTCATCCTACATTATGAGGGTATCAGGTTGGATACCCAGCATTGCCATATTTTTTTCCTTATCAGAATATAACTGTTTAATATTTTCTAAATCATAAGCTTAAATTAGCACCAAGAGGTATGGGAGGAAGAATTTTACACAATAAAAAAACAGTGTTCTTCCATGTGAAAGAATGACGAATTTTAATTTAACTTACCAGGTACTTATTTAAGGGTGCAAAGTTAATGTAGTTTTATTCACCAAAGTGAATGAAAAAGGTGAAGATAATGAACAGTGATCGATCTCAAAAAAAACCCCTACAAACAATACAAATCTGTGAACAGGGCATAAAACACAGACCCCTGAAAAGTCCAGAGATAGGATCAGGTGCCTAGTAGGAGTAAGCATCCCCTGTCGACCTGTCATACCCACTATGAGCCCTATGTATTGATCAGGTAGATGAAATAATTTGTAGACAATTTTAGGATAAAAACAAAGGCCTAACAAGTGGTATGAAATAAATTATGACCCAATGATAGATTATATTTGCTAACAAACTCATTATAATGACCATAGAATTAACAAAATGCTGATCCAAATCTACAATGTTTGTTGAGAAACAAACCCCTGTTTTGTACTGCACATGTAATTCTTGTATTGCCTTTTAGGTTGGCTTGATGAGAAATGGAAAACTTCTTGCAGAAGATTCACCAAATACTTTAATCAATCTTTACAAAGAAGATGTAAGTATTAGATATATGTTTTGCTTGTCTTGAGATAATTTCACTGCATTGTTGCATTCAAGGTCACCAGAGTCACTCAGGGGACCTTTTTCTATCTGTTTTGATTCAAAATACATTGTGCATCCGTAGGAAACTTTGAACATATTTAGGTTCATCTCTGAAACATTTAAACTGATTTCAACAAATTTAGGTATATATAGCATTTGATGTGATGGAGAAGAGAAGTTTTGATCTTCATGGTGCCAACCCCATGGATCCTAAGGGTTGGATTTAAAAAAACTATTAAAATTAATGCAATAAAAAAAATCCTCATTTCTACTCCTTGATACCTTACAATGCATTTTTCTCTTACCATGCTAGCAAAAAAACAAAAAAAAACAAGATGTGTTTGTGAAACACTGATGCCCCCGTATGGCAATTTATAGCGAAGGTTAAACTTTCTCTAACGCAAATCAAATATGTTGGTACCCAAAGTAAGGTCTTGTCTCGAGAAGTATACCTTTGAAATATGAAAGCCCTAGCAGCAACTATTGAAAAGATATGGAAAAGGTTTAAGTTTCCAAAAGTAAGTCAAACATCAAGGTCAAGGTCAAGTGGTCAAAATTAATGGTGCCCAAGGTAAGGCCTTCTCACAAGAAATACACGTGAAATATGAAAGCCCTAGCACCAACCGTTCAAAAGAAAGTTATGGCCAAGTTTAAAGTTTTTCAAAAGTAGGTCAAACTCCTAGGTCAATGTCAAAAAGTCAAAGTTGTTGATATCCAAATGAAGGCCTTGTCATACGAATTACACAGGTGGAGTATGAAAGACCTAGCACCAACTGTTCAAAAGTAATGGCCAAGGTTAAAGTTAGGTAAAATTTTGCAAAACTTGGTCAAACTCCAAGGTCAAGGTCAAATATGATGGTTTTCAAAGAAAGGTCTAGCCACAAGGAATACATATGTGAAATATGAAAGCCATGGCTCCAACCAATCAAAAGTTATGGGCAAGGTTAAAGTTTTTGCGGACAAACAGACATACAGACGGACGGACATGGGCAAAAACTATATGCCCCCGAATCTTCAATTACAGGGGCATAAAAAAAGAAGACAAATGAAGTAAATATTAATTACAATTCTTATCTAATTAAGCTTGAGGAATTTGTATGACAGAGAGGTAGATCATGACTTGGAGAGTATATGTATTTTGAAATGCTCTGAAAACTCAGGTGAGCATCCAGGCTTCTTTGAACTGTAGGGGTTTAAACTTTCCTGGAAAACCCACTAGCCCAGGGGCTACTGATCAGTAAAAAATTACTAGCCCAAACCTCAAACTAACTAGCTAAACAACTTTTTCATGCAAGATGAAAACATAACAAGTAAGAGTTTTAAAGGCTTTTGTGACAGAAACAAATTAAACTACAATGTAGTTCTCAGTCTAATGAAACCACTCTACATAAAAAAGTGAAAGTAAACTGTTGAGATTTTTTTTCCCATTCTGCTAGTCCGATGGACTATCATTACATTTAAATTAGCTAGCCCGAGTCTTAAAATGACTAGCCCCGGGCATCGGGCTACCATATATTTCAACCCCTGAACTGGGAATTCCAATCATAGTGTGCATGGCTATAAACCAGACAATGCACTGCCACTGACCCAGGTGCTAATAACTTTGTTTTCAGAACATGACTTGGGTATTAAATTCAAGCTTTATGTGTAGTTGAGATAATGGTACATTGTTCTGTGTATAACAAATAATGGCAAAAAAGAAAAAAATATTTTATAGCTTTTTTCCCCCACAAGTACTTGACAATGAGTACTGACTTTAGTACATGTATTGGATACTTGGAGCTTTTGATGAATAGCCAACTAACTGGATTTGCCAGTTCAAGATTTTATACAATGTCTAAAGGTATTACATTAACTGATTAGGTTTTCGGGTGGAATGCATTTTGCTGCATCTTCCAACCAAAATATTGGATTGGCTTTAAGACCTCTGGAGAACAGTTTGTTTCTTCTCAGGTCTAAGAAAATGCAATGTTGCACAGTCAATAAATGTTTAATATTTCAAACTTTAATTTTAAATTTAATTTTTTTTTCAGAGTTTGGAAACAATATTCCTGAAATTGTGTCATGCAGATCAAAACACCCTCAGCATGAATCTTATGAAGGAGGTATGGCAGATTTTCTTATATTCTAAGAAATAATAAAAGTAGATTTCAATTGATTTTATGTATATATATTTACATTTCCAATGTCTTTGTCCGAGATAAGATTACAAATTGTAGAAATACTTTATTTCTACATAAATCTACTGGTTCATCGATAGGCGCGGTTAAAAAAAATGCGGGGCAGGACAAATAGAGACAGAAGCGGGGCTATTAGCACAGGAATTTGCAGAATCAGGAGCATGTAAATATAAGGAATAACTGTCAGATTCCTAAATTAAATTTAGCTTGAAAAACGGTATATTATCAGTAATTAATTATTTCAAATTCATTAGATCTCTTTATTTTAACCTTTGTTTAATAAATGCATCTTAATCATACATGCTTAATTCATTGTCTTCAAATATGTTTTGTGAATATCTGGTAGATTTGAGCTCTTTATGAACTTTTTTCTTCAAACAAAAATCCAACATTTGGGGTCTTTTGGTAGTCACAACGTGTCTGATTCAGAATCTCTCATCTAAGACTGAAATAAGAATCTATTATTCTGCCCACTATTGTAGATTTGTAATAAAACTTAAAGAAAAAAAAACTTCATTATGTCTGCCTGTGTGATAAAATACTACAGAAGTACGTTTTTAAATGTAATATTAATTTATGATATGTACGAGGTCACAATTTTCCACAGAAAATTTGTTCTGGCCCCAAGATCATAAACTGAGAATAGACTTAGGTAAAAATTTCAGATTAGCAGTTTTTAAAATAAATTAATGAAGAAAGAAAATTTTTTTATCATGTTATTTCGATTTTACACAGATCTGCAACTTTTTGAATATTTATGTTGAATTAAAATGGAGATATTTAATTAAATTATAAATTTTGACTTTTAAAAGTTTATTCTTAGTTTATGGTCTCAGGGCCCTGTGTATTTAAAGTACATTTTTAAATGCATATAGTTGCAGTTTTAAGAAATCTGCATAATTTTCTTCACGTGGATTGAACAGAAGTCATGATTCTGCAGAATTATGACCCTATGAAAAAAAGTACAGCAACAAGATTATGATAAATAATTTAAATCAAAAAATTTCATGATTCACCTACTTGATTTGTACATTTACATGTATGTACAAATGATAATATTAATTTTCATGCCATTTATTATTTTTTCTTTTGCAGAGCTACCAACCAAGTAAACCAGTTATGAAAATGGTAAACACTGGACATGAGGCAGCAGGGGAAACTACTCCATTACTCCTGCATGACACCCAGAATTTTGGTATTTTAAAGTAGAGATATTTAACATATATCCAATTAAAAATATTCATTAGCCTTTATTTATACGATCTATAAAGAATTGATAGGTTTTATTCTTACTTTGAGACAACTGTGATATATCAAAATTACTGGGTAATATGAAAATATTTTGAAGTATCGTAGTACAAATTCTTTGTTGTTTTTTTTTTTCAGATACATTAGTACAGGTCCCAGATGAGTGTCAGTGTCCAGTAGGGTTACCGTCTCCTAGAAATATATTTACCCAGTTCCTAAAGAATATCATATTTATGAAGAGAAATATAGGGTAGGATCAAGAAATCTTTGTCACTGAGTAAACATTTTAAGGGCAAAACAAGTCAAGATAGTAGAATTACTTAGATGTTGTTTTGGTGATTTATTGATCCTCTTCAAAATATAATACATGTGTAACCTTTTTTTTCAATTTTTACATTATTATGTATTTTTATGTTTAAAAAGTCAGAAAAAAATCATGAAAACTTTCACTGACCCATGTTCCCTTTTTGCCAAGACTATTACAGTACTGAACAGTAGAGCTACAGTCTGATCAAATTTTTTTTTTAAGTTAGTAATACATGTAGTAACATAATTTTAAGTCTGTCTGTCTCTCCGTTAGGAGTAATCCAATGATATCAAGACCCATCTTTTCCAAGAAGTTTTTTGAATATTGACTGTTATTGCTTGATAAACCTCTAGTTTTTCAAAGGAACCTCAAACATCAAGGAATTTAATTTTAAGTAAAATGTTTACTGTTAAATGGAAATAGACTAAATTTTGTTCACTTTCTGTTTCAGGTTTCTTTTGTTCCAGTTTATTCTGCCGTCTATACAAATCATTCTGTTTTGTCTGTGTATTGGAAGCCCTCCATATGGATTAAAAATGGCTGTTGTTAACAATGAAACACAAGGACTTGGGCAGCTATTTATCTGGGAACTGGACAATGAAACCATTAGTAAGGTAAAAACTGTAAGAGATAGGGTGGCGTGCAATTATGAGCTCTTGATGAATGAAGTAAACAAATGACTGAATCCTAACTTCTATTTGTTATTACATCTCTCGAATATTGTACTGCAGAAATATAACTATACTGTTAACAATTTCGCAAAATTATGTGAAGGTGATGTACAAGGACATGAATGCAGCTTTAGATTCAGTAAAACGAGGAGATACTTGGGGTGTCATTGGAATAGGGGAGAACTTTACCCAAGACTTACTCACCAGGTGTGTGTATCTACAGTCAAACTTACTTGTAAGGAAAACTGTATATCGTAATTCCCAGTAAATCACTATACTTTTCCTTACAAAATCTTTTGAGAAAAAAAAAATTGGCTACTAAATGTATATTCTTCACATGGAAATCTTAGTTACAAATAAGTGAATATTGTTTCCTTTTTCTAAAGACTGTATACAGGGAAAATTTCGCCCCCGTTTTATTTTTGCCCCTTTTGCCCTACTCACAGGTGGGCAAATTTAAAACGGGGCGAATTCAAAGAACATATTATAATTTCTTATACAGAACTGTGACTGGGTGAATTTAAAATGGGGCAAAATTGCTTGCACATGTAAAAGGGGAAAATGGGGCCAAAATAACTCTATATACAGTATATACATATATATTTTTTTCCTTTCAAGTGTCGGTTGTGTTCAAGATCATAGCAGCTAGCCTTTCTGATAAGCTAGAAATCTAGGTCTATTGAATGCTCCGTATAAATTTATGCTAGACTAGTATATGTTTAAGATCGTAGTGCTACAAAGTTTCTCTAATCATGAACACATCCGTACTGTGGAGGCATGGTTTCTCTAAAGTTGACAGTTTTCATTACCTGAATTTGCACTTTTTCTCTACTGCCTTATTATGGATATTATTTATGAACATTGAAAGTTATACAGAAAGAATGCTTATATTGTCAAAAGTTTGAACACTCCTCATAAAAAATATAAACTTTAAATGTTCCTAGTAAAGACATAAAGAACACTTGATAAAAGTACAGTACACGCTTATAATGAACTGACGCTTACACCGAACCGATTTTCATTCCCTCTGGCTTAAAGATATATTGTGAACTTAATGGATATAACGAATTACATAAGCTTTATAACAAAGAAAATTGTCCATCCCTGCTACTTTGTTATAAGCGTGTTTTACTGTACATGTACACCAAAGTCAGGTGTCATTAGGAATTCTTTTGTTTTACTGTATGTCTAAAAAAATTGTCATATTGTTTGTTTCTCTGTGCAGAATTTTAACCTTTTTCATCTGTATTAAATTGTATTTGATTAAGATTGAAAACTCACAACAGGAAAACTTAATTCTTCTATTTTTAGCTCACCTGAGCCAAAGGCTCAAGTGAGCTTTTCTGATCAAAATTTGCCCGTTGTCTGTTGTCGTTGGCGTTGTCATCATTGTCGTTGGCGTAAACTTTTCACAATTTCAACTTTTTCTCCAGAACTACTGGGCCAATTTCAACCAAACTTGGCACAGAGTATCCTTGGGTGAAAGGGATTCAAGTTTGTTCAAATGAAGGGCCACGCCCTCTTTCAAGGGGAGATAATAAAGAATTAGTGAAAAATTAATAGCATCTTTTAAAAATCTTCTTCTCAAGAACCACAAAGCCAGGGAAATTGAAACTCATGTGGAAGCATCCTCAGGTAGTGTAGATTCAAATTTGTTCAAATCATGACCCCCGGGGGTAGGGCGGGGCCACAATGGAGGATCAAAGTTTTACATAGAAATATATAGGAAAAACCTTTAAAAATCTTCTTCTCAAGAACAGCAAAGCCCTAATTGGTCATATTTATATGGAAGCATCCTGGAGTAGTGTAGATTCTAATTTGTCCAAATCATGACCCCCGGGGGTAGGGTGGGGCCACAATGGAGGATCAAAGTTTTACATAGAAATATATAGGAAAAACCTTCAAAAATCTTTTTTTCAAGAACAGCAAAGCCATGATAAGTCATATTTATATGGAAGCATCCCCAGGTAGTGTAGATTCAAGTTTGTTCAAATCATGACCACCGGGGGTAGGGCGGGGCCACAATGGAGGATCAAAGTTTTACATAGAAATATATAGGAAAAACCTTCAAAATCTTTTTTTCAAGAACAGCAAAGCCATGATAAGTCATATTTATATGGAAGCATCCCCAGGTAGTGTAGATTCAAGTTTGTTCAAATCATGACCCCCGGGGGTAGGGCGGGGCCACAATGGAGGATCAAAGTTTTACATAGAAATATATAGGAAAAACCTTTAAAAATCTTCTTCTCAAGAACAGCAAAGCCCTAATTGGTCATATTTATATGGAAGCATCCTCAGGTAGTGGAGATTCAAGTTTGTTCAAATCATGACCCCGGGGGATAGGGCGGGTCCACAATGGAGGATCAAAGTTTTACATAGAAATATATAGGAAAAATCTTTAAAAATCTTCTTCTCAGGAACAGCAAAGCCCTGATAGATCATATTTATGTGGAAGTATCCTCAGGTAGTGTAGATTTAAGTTTGTTCAAATCATGACCCCCTGGGGTAGGGCAGGGCCACAATGGAGGATCAATGTCTGAAATAGAAATATATTGGAAGGTATCTTCTGATGAAGAACTGCAAAGCCATGATTAGTCATTTTGATATGGAAGCATCCTCAGGTAGTGTAGATTCAAGATTGTTAAAATGATGACCCCCTGGGATAGGGATGGGCCACAATGGGGGATCAAAAATTTTTTACATAGGAACATATTGGAAAATATCTTCTTCTCAAGAAATGAAAATTATGTTTAGTCATTTTGATATGGAAGCATCCTCAGGTAGTGTAAATTCATTTTTTTTTTCAAATGATAACCCCCAGGGGTAGGGTGGGGCCCAATGGGGATCGAAAGTTTTACATAAGAATATATAGAAAAAATATTTCTTCTCAAGAACAGAAAAGCTATGTTTAGTCATATTGATATGGAAGCATCCTCAGGTAATGTAGATTCAAGTTTGTTCAAATGATGACCTCTGGGATAGGGAGGAGCCACAATGGGGGATCAAAATTTTACAAAGGAATGTATGGGAAAATTTTTTTTAAAATCTTCTCAAGTACAACAAAGCCATTTGTTATATTGACATGGAAGCATCATCAGGTAGTTTAAAATTCACCCCCCCCCAACCCCCAGTAATCTTTTCAATACTGAACTGATTTGTGTCTAGCTAATGTGCTCAGGTGAGCGATGTGGCCCATGGGCCTCTTGTTATTATTATGGGTTTTTATTTTATATAATGTTTTATAGATATATAGTGTTAAAGTCTTACGATGTGTGAATTACATTATAGATTTACCAATATATCAGGTGTGGACAATAAGACCATTGAGGGAAGCTGTATACAGCTATATCTAGATACCACCAGTAAGTGTGTGTCAGTCAAGTGTCTACTATCATCTCAGCAGCTATGCTAAATTGAGTTCTTTATCATATTTCTGATTGTATTAAACCTAAATTATTAGTGATAAAAAAAATCCACCAAAATGATATACATGTCCATATATACATTGTATATGTTACGAAAAGATTTTATAATTTCAGACCAGCAAATAACATTAGAGATAGAGCAGTCTATTACTAGTTCATTCCAAGCATTTTCTGAAGTATTACTACAAACCTTCAGTCTGAATCCCAACCTAGGACAGCTTCCTATTAAGGTATAGGTAAAACAAACAAATTACTGTAGATCACTATATTTCTAGGACACCTTATTTTAGCCAGATAGCTAATTTGTATTTATTAACGAAACAAAATTTTCATGAGCTGTGGTTTCTGTTGTTTGATTAAAATCCTTAACAATACAAATATACACAAGAATAAAATTTTCGTGAGCAGACAGACTTGCGTAATTATGCGAAAATAAAGTAGTGGCGAATAAAAAGGGATTTACAGTATTAAAATTGTGTCTCGTGTTGTTAATTATGTGAATTACAAGCAAAAGTCATGGGGCCTATTTCATTATACCAGGATAATGTATTGTTAAAATTAAATATAAGGCATTGATTTGTTTGTTTGTTGTTTAACGTCCCTCTCAAGAATTTTTCACTCTTATGGAGATGCCACCACTTGCCGGTGGAGGGGTGCAAATTTTGGCCTATATTCTGCACTCCGGACATTGCGCAGTGAAGGATCTTTTTCGTGCCAGCACCGACTGTGACACGGGACCTCGGTTCATAGGGTCTCTTTGAAAGGACCGCGGTTGCCATGCCAGCAGTGGGGTTCCAACCTGCTACGTATAGAACAAGTCCTTACATCCCAACTCTAGAGCAAACATTCTAACCAGTGCATCATGTGGGCGACAAAAAGCTTTGGTACATGGGGGGGGGGGGGGGTATTTGTGCAGAAACTTTCTTGGTGTGTATTTAGTATATGTAAATTCCCCCACGTGTAAATTTTCATGTCTACAGTATTTATTTTGTATTACATTTGTACTTTATTTTTGCAAAATTATAACTTTGCATTTATTCACAAGATATGGTTTTCAAAATCAGTAATGATTTCCTGTTATTGAAATTGAGTACTTTATTTTCAATTCAATCTTGTATTCAATGCATAAAAATTAAGTTCCTGCTAATAAAAAATGATATGATTTAAAAACACTGTACATTAATTGATTCAATTGCAGATAAATGATCCTATTTATGGTAGCAAGGATCCCAACTTCAGAAACTTTATAGCCCCTGGAATAATACTCAGGTATAAAACTGTGATTATTTTATTATTTCTAATAATTCAAAATTATTTAGCTTCAACATAATATAGAAATTGTAATTTTCTTATTGCAAACATTGGCTGTTTATTAGTATTTTATACATTTTAGATAAGTTATAACTGGATATTTGCTAGTACAAATTGAAAATTATTTTATACATACAATGTATTTATTTGCTGTGTACATATATAGATGAGGGTGTATCTTTATGTTATCTAACTCTATGTTAACATTTGCATGAAAACAGTGATTTTTGCAAAATGCTATATGTTTCTATGTATCTATTCCATCAATATCTGCGAACAAATATTTTATCATGAGCTGTAATTGTCATTTTAAGAGATATATGAGGATGTACATGTATACTGGTACTATAACATAACTTCAGTCTACATACAGGACATTTTTAAGTCGTAGGAATCAGAATTTTTATTTTTCTGATTCTTATTCCTAATCATTATTTTGATAAGTCAAAAATTAGTAAAAATGAATATTTGTTTTTCCAGCATCACTTTTTTCATGGCCACTGGACTAACAACTTTGGCATTTGTGATTGAGAAGAAGGAGGGTCTGTTAGATCGGAGTTTGACTGCCGGAATGTCTGCCTTTGAGATTCTGCTAGCCCATGTCTTTACACAGCTCTTTGTCCTAGTTGTGCAGGTTGCCCTAGTCATGGTGTTTGCTCTGGCAGTTTTCGAGGTAAGCTTCCCTTGATGAATGTTTTCTTTTTACTTTTGAGTCTTTTCAGATGGGTAAAATATGTGTATAATTATGTTGATTCATTTGGTTTGTTGATTTACTATGAGGTTTGTTTGATGAATCTAGCTTATTTTAAAGATGTGTTCAATTCCTTGCAGGTTCCCTACAAGGGCCCCCTGATTTGGGTCATTTTACTGGTCATGGGTCAAGGATTCTGTGGAATGACCTTAGGTCAGTGTTATGTTGCCTTGACTTTATGATGACATGGATAGGCCATCAACATGTGTACTATAAAGTTCAGTCAAGAACACCTATTTAAAAGCGAAATGTATTTTTTATTGAAATTTTCATACATACACAATCTTCCTAAACAATATATGAATAAAACCATAAAAATATTTATGCATGGTCTATTTTGAATTGTTTGATAACCAGTAAAAAGATATAGTCTGAGTGATTAATTACTTTTATTCATATGAAATATGTTCTTTTTAAAGGTGTGATATTCTCAGCAGTCTGTGAAAATGAGTCCTCTGCAATACAATTGGCACTGGGCTCTGTGTATCCTATGTTACTTCTCAGTGGTAAGTAGAATTCACTGTGTCTAACCTTTGTTACTTCTCAGTGGTGAGTAGAATTCACTGTGTCTAACCTTTGATACTTCTCAGTGGTGAGTAGAATTCACTGTGTATAACCTTTGATACTTCTCAATGGTGAGAAAAATTCACTAGGCATGACCTTTGTCACTTCTCAGTGTTTGGGTATAAATCACTGTGTATAACCTTTGTTACTCCTTAGTGGTGAGTAGAATTTACTGTGTATTACTGTTCCTTCTCAATGATGAGAACAATTCACTGGGCATACCCTTTGTCACTTCTCGGTGTTTGGTATCTCAGTAGTGAGTACAGTTCACTGTGTTAAACTTTTGTTTCTTCTCAGTTGTGAGTACAACTCACTGTATATTATAACAGTGTAACTGTATCACTCTTTAACCCTTGTTATGTTGTAATGGTGAGTAAAATTCACTGTGTATAACCTTTGTTAGTTCTCAGTGGTATGTAAAATTTACTTTATACAACCTTTCTTACTTCTCAATGGTACATGAGTACATTTCACGGTGGTGAATATGTTACTTCTCAGAGATGAGTATATTTCATTCTGTATTGCCATGTCACATACCTGTTTATTTTTATGACTTACTTTTTGTATTTTACCCAGATACATACACCACTGATTATGACATTATAAATATATTCTTGAGATAAAGTTTTTTTTTTTCTTTTTGGTTTATTAGTATTTAATGGGTGCTTAAAGAAAGCTCAAATAATGTAGAGTTTGTCAAATATTATCCTTGGGCAGTTCAAACATGGCAGTGTCAAAGTGACTGTTAAAAACTATTTTAAAAAAATTTGGTTTTTAGCTCACCTCTGTGAAGTCCAGATGAGGTTATGCTATACCACTGGCATTAGTGTTGGTATTCCAGTTAAGTTTTAGGAGCAAGTCCATTCCCTAGTAACTTTAAACCCTACCTGGACCAAACTTGCATGGATGTTGCATCTAGGGATGTACATTACCAGACTTGCTTTGGATGCTAGATCTGACCTACATTTTCCAGTTGAATATGACATCGTCAAAATTTTTGGAGGAAGTCCATTCCCTAGTAACTATAAGCCCTACTTGGACAAAACTGGCATGGATTATGCTTCTAGGTATATACACTACCAAACATGCTTTGGAAGTTCGACCTTTCCTACATTTGTTGGATGAGTGACCATGACAGTTTTTGGAGCAAGTTCATTCCTAAGTAACTATTAGTTCTATGTTTACCAAACTTGCATGGATGGTGCATCTAGGGATGTACACTACCAGACTTGCTTGAGATACTGGAAAGGACCTAGATTTTCCAGATGAGTGACCAGGCTAAAGGTTTTGAAGCAAGTCCTTTACCAATAAACTAATAGCCCCATATTGACTAAAATTGCATGGATTGTGCATCTAGGGATGAATGCTGCCAGACTTTGTTAGGAGACTGGATCTGACCTATATTTTCTGGATGAGTGATCAGGTGCAAGTTATTGGAGCAGGTCCATTCCCAAGTAACTACAAGCCCTATGTTGACCAAACATGCATGGATGATGCATCTAGGAATGCACACTACCAGACTTGCTACAGATGCTGGACCTGATGGACATTTTCCAGATGATTGAATAGTAAAGGTTTTATTTTAAACAGGTCCATTCCCAAGTAACTATAAGTCCTACCCAGATCAAACTTGCATCAGTGTTGCATCTAGGTATGCACACTACCAGAACATTCAATTGATGTGAGACGTTGCCTTACTTCTATATAACATTTGTCAATGTAAGTTATCTAATACGTTCTTGATAGATCAGGATGACACTTACAACAGCTATGATGGATTATGATTAAGGGCCTGTACTTGCAATTATGTCTTTTGAAGAGCCGTTGGGTCTTTCTCAAAAAATATGCAGTAAATACGTGGACATTTGAGTTTGCAGTAGTCTGAATATAGTATCATACAATAATTCTTAAAGCATGCATATAATTAGACTCTCATAATACTAACAAATTGCTTTGAACATACTGAAAATAGTCATTAGAGTATAAATAGGCCTGATTTCGATTGTGTATTCTGTTTGGGTTATTTTACAATTAAGTTTGTGTCCTTTTTTACTTGTCTGTGGTTAGTGTACAATTTGGTGTAAGTACCCTATGTAACTTATCAATGTTAAATGTACAGTTAATTAGTGTGTGCTCCTCATGTTAAATGTCAGTTATTAATGAACGATTTTGTGGTGTGTATTCCATTAACTTTTCATTGGTAAGTGTACTATTTAGTGAGTATACCCCACATTGCTTGTCAGAGGTTACTGTGCACAATATAACTTCTTAATGATCAGTGTACTTTGGAATCTGGATAGGGCCACAAAGTTTACTATCACACCATCAAGCATTGACAAAAGTGTCAATGGTGCGATAATGCAATGGCAATGAAGTGATAGCACGATGATGATGAAGTGATGGTGCGAAAACGCGATGAAAATGATGAGATGGCATAACAATGTGATGATGATGGTGCGATAGCACGATGGAGAAATAGTGAACATCACTTCATCGTCATGGTACCATCATGCCATCGTCATCGTGTCATCACTAAAAATCATATATCATGATATTGCTTCATCATGCAATTGCATTTTCGCGCCATTGCATCGTCATTGCGCTATTGCACCATTGATTCATAGTCATTGTTCATTGTCATTGAGCCATGCATTACCTCGCCATCGACCCTTTAGTAGATGGTGCAAATTATAGATGTGATAGTGAATTACATGGCCCTGTATGGATTCCATTGTGTACAGTTTTGTGTAGATACTCCATCGCTATTTCTTTGGCAGACACACAGTTCCATGATGTTGTAAAAGAGATGAAGTTCATCTTCTGATGAGTTTTCAGTATGCTTAATATTGGTTTGGATACTGATATAGGCAAGAGTTTGAGTAAAAAAAGAACCAACACAGGATGAAAGATATAATGTTTATCAACAAACTGACCAAAGTTATTTTACTTGTATTCAGTACTTATACGCAAGGGTGCATTTAGCCGTTAAATCTTAGCGGGCTACTTCAAAACCACTAAAATAAGCTAAAGTTAGCACCCCGCTAAAAATTCCAACTATACAGTAAACCCCTACAAAAATTAGCAATTTCACTGTATGTGTATATAATTATGGATATGTACAGCTATAGATAGCACCCCGCTAAAAATTACCACTGTATGGTAAACCCCCAATAAAATTAGCAATTCCAGAGTAAGTGTGTATAACTATGGATGTGTACAAATTGATATGTCTGAGTGTATAATGTACATCTTGATACATGTACCCTAGTATGTTCCATGTCAGTGTATGGTCACTTATCAGTTGTCAGTCCTCTGTCTGTGTATTCCACTAACCTAGAAGTAATGGGTATTCAATTCTGAAATTTAAAAAAATCATCATTTTGTTCACTTTCATAGAATCAAAAATAATGGTTTATATAATGTTTGTACTTTGAATTATAAGCCCTTGATAATGAGATGGTGATAATATGTTTAAATGTTTTATAAGACTTTGAAAATGAGATGGTGATAATAAATTATATAATTTATATTATGAATGTCACACCTTTAATAATAAGAGTTTAATGTAATGAATATCACACCCATAGTTAATAGTAGAATTTGATGACACATGTTTTCTTACCTCCTACTGACTTTAGAGCAAAAAATGAATGTAAATATTTTCCTGAATCATCTTTTGAAATGTTTTTTTTATTTATTCATAGGTATAATATGGCCCATTGAGGCTATTCCTGAGTGGCTGAGGTACATCAGTATATGTCTCCCTCAGACCTACGCTGCAGAAGCCATGAGATGTATTTTAAGTAGAGGTAATGATTTTCAGTCCCTCAATGGTGAAATTCAAGTGACTATGTTTTTGTGTCACTTGCAGCAGAGCGACACTAGGGAATTATTTTTTTGGTTCAAATACATGTATGTCTGTCTGTCCTTCTGGGAGAGCTAGGGATTAAATTTATCCTATAACTAACCCATACTGGGACTACAGTCTATGGTGCCACCATAATCTGAATTCTCAGATCCTTAGTACCAATTAACAGTCCATGTGAATTTATGTACATATATCAATAAAGAGTAATAATTAAGATGTTTTGGGGCTTGTTGGGAACATATTGTTCAGGATTATTCTCTGTAACTTACATGTATCCTTCAACTCCCAAAAAATAATGCCTTTTTTCAGTTGGAATTTTATGGGTTTTTTAACTCCTTCTCAGCATGTACTAAGATATATCATTATGTGTACACATATAATTTTTGGATGATTAGTTGTGCATGTTTTGAACAAGGGATAAATATTTGAATATAAATAAACAAAACTGCTGGAGAAAGAATTTAATATAATTTCTTTTACTTTTAAAGTACACAAAATTAAAAAAAAAAATTATCATAAAATAGACATGTATTGATAGTTTAAAGAGTGCTTCAATATAAATTCTTACTTTTCCAAGGTTGGACGCTGTTAGATATGCCTGTATGGAGGGGGTACCTTGTCAACACGGCCTGGAGTTTTGGTCTTCTGGCTCTGGCAGGAATCATCCTTAAAATCAAGAGCTAAACCAGGAGATTATCATTGACAGATTATATACAAAATAATCAATCAGTGAGAGAATATACAAAAAAATTAATCAGAAGATTACATGTGTCACTGACTGATTATGCAAAAAAAATTCCTGGTAGGAGATTAACACGAACAATAGGAGATTAACACTGACAATAGGAGATTAAACACTGACAATCAGGAGATTAATGCTGACAATCAGGAGATTAGTGCTGACAATCAGGAGATTAGTGCTGACAATCAGGAGATTAAAACTGATAGTTTATACAATCAATTCTTAATCAGTCCTTTGTTGTCTTTTTTGTTATACCTGTGCAAGTACACAGATTTGTTTTTTTTTATTTTACATTAAATTTTGTATTTCTTAGTATATACACATTATTAATATATGTATTTCTTATTGCAATCATTTCTTTTTCAATATTTTTATTGGTTGATTTTGTTTTTTCAATATGAATATATTTCAAGAAGTTGTCCCTACTCCATTTAGAGATTTTTAATCAGCATAAATCAACCATTTAAGCCTGGGTCAAGTTTTCATGGTATTAAGAAATAAAACCCCTGTATTGGGTTCATGAGAATTTGATTTTATGGTTAAAGAAGTGATGATAAACAAACATGATACTGCACATCCTTTGAAATTCCAACATACCATGGACACTTGTGTTCCCATGCAATTTTTTTCAGATTACTGAAGCATACCTTTTATAATTTGTAGATATATAAATGCTAATTTTGTTTCCCCAAAAATTTGTCTGGAAGTTGAAGCATCTGGAAATATTGGATCCGGATTAACAAGGCTTCAGTGTTTTTTGAATTAAGCATTCTCAGCCACCACATTGTGCAATAATAATAATTATAATAATGAATAATATTATATAAGAAGATTATTTTCGTAATTTTAATTGGCTGAAAAGACGTCATATGATATAGGGGATTCAAGTTTGTTCAGATGAAGGACCACGCCTTCTTCAAAGGGGAGATAATTATGATTTCCTGAAAAATTAATGGCATTATTAAAAAATCTTCTCAAGAACCACTGTGCTTGAAAACATGAAACTAATGTGGAATCATTGTGAGGTAGTGTAGATTCAAATATGTTCAAATCATGACCCCTGGGGGTAGGGTGGGGCCACAATGGGAGATCAAAGTTTTACATAGGAATACATAAGAAAAATCTTTAAAAATCTTCTCAAGAACAGCAAAGCCATGATTAGTCATATTTAATTGGAAGGATCCTCAGGTAGTGTAGATTCAAGTTTGTTCAAATCATGACACCCATGGGTAGGGTGGGGCCACTATGAGGGATCAAATTTTAAATAGGAATACATTGGAATATTTTTTTAAATTCTTCTCTTCAGGAACAGCAAAGTCATGATTAACCTTATTTGTAAGGAAGCATACTCAGGTATTGTAGGTTCAGTTTTATTCAAATCATGACCCCCGAGGATAGGGTGGGGCAACTACTTTAACAAATTTATACTTAGGAAAAATCTTGAAAATTCTTATCACAACCAGCAGTCATGGTTAATCGTATTTGTATGGAAGTATCCTCAAGTAGTGTAGATTCAATTTTGTTCAAATCATGACCCCAAGTGGTAGGGTGGGGCCACTATAGGCAAACAAAGTTTTACATAGGAATATATAGGAAAAATCTTGAAAATTCATCTTCTAAAGAATGGCAAAGTCATAATAAGTCGTATTTATATGGAAGCATCCTCAAGTAGTGTAGATTCAAATTTGTTCCAATCATGACCCTGGCTGTAGGGTGGGGCCATGATGGGCAGTCAAATTTTGAATAGAAATATGTAGGACAGCAAAGCCATGATTAGTCATATATGGAAGTCTCCTCAGATTCAAGTTTGTTCAAATCATGACATCTGGTGGTAGGGTGGGGCTACAATATATTATCTTAATTTTGCAAGGGAAAAATCTTATGAAGAATGAAAGGGTCGTAGTTACTCAGGTGAGCACTGTAGCCCATGGGTCTCTTGTACTGTACGCTATACGTAACATGAAAGAGAGATAACTCTAGCTGTTCCAAGTTCTCCATTTATATTTCTTTTAGTATAAATAGGTTGTCATAGTCAATATAAAGTCAAATGAATAGTCCCTATGAAGTCAGACAAATACAACTGAACTTAAACAGTGAATTGAAAGTCTCAATTTCCTTTTTTTTGTTTTTGTTTTTTTGTTTTTAGTTATTTTAACCTGTGTATTTTTTCCTCAGCCCAATCAAGTTTGAGATTATGAGATCTGTCTTTAGGTTGATATAGTCCCTATGATGTTATGGTTATGACTTCCTCTTTATATTTTTTGTTTTGCATACAATTTTCTGTAAGGCCACTAGCACTAGTTCAGTACAATTTAATAGTTACTTTTTACAACATGGTCCTGTCATTTTTTCTTGGACCATTCAGATACCAGTAATTTATATTCTAAGCTTTAAAAACATATTTCTTTGTTCTATGTGATGAAATCACGCATATATAACAAAGTATTTACAAAATCCAGGGATGTGGTATATATGTTACTGTATAAATTAATTTTTAACTTGAAGTTTCAAAAAACTCAAATTTTAATTCATTGTGTGTTTAGCTTGAGCTGTGATAAGAGATACTTGTATCTAGTACATTCCCAACAAAATATAACAATTGTTGCAATATTTGTTTTAATAGCAACAAAAGAACATCAATTTTTTTTCATTTTTCATTGCTTACATTTGCTTTATAAAATATGTACAAGGAGTTGGACAGATACAATTTTGTGGTGTGATAAATGTCAACACTTTTGATCAAACTGTGATATCAATCATAATGGTGGTGTTTTTTTAGCAAATGTTAATTAAGTGGTGTTTTGTATTACAATAATGAAGAACTTTCATATACCAGTATATCAGAAGAGAAAAATATTCTGGTTATAGACTTAATTTTTACATTAAGTGTATGTGTTAATGTGTAGCTATTTACTTCTTATGAGAAAAAGTCATCACATGATCTATTGCTCAATAAATCATACTTAATATGCACTTTATGGTCTCTTTATTTTATAACTTGGTTACTTATCTGGAAAATATAGGTCAGATCCAGCATCCGAAGCAAGTCCAGTAGTGTGCATCCTTAGATGTATCATCCATGCAAAATATGGTCAACAAGGGCGTTGAATCGCTCTTCTGATAAACTGTACAACCTATCACTTCTATTGAAGCCTCTAAGTATCCTGTATATTTAGATAAACCCTTGAAATTCCAAAGAGAGGTCATCATGACCTACATTTTAGATGAAACACTCTGAGAACCCAAGATGATTCTAAGCCAATTAATATCTGAGAATTGGTCATGGTGACCTACTTATCTCTTCTCATTCTCTGAGGACCCAAGATGCATCAACTAAGTTTGATGATTCTATGCCAATTAATACCTACCTTCACGGTAGCTCAGTTGGTAGAGTGCTCGCTCCGTGATCGGGAGGTCTTGAGTTCGAATCTCGGCCGCAACTGACCTAAGTCAATAAAAAATGGGTAGCAACTGTTCCTTTGCCATGCACTCGGCACTTTGAAGTGAAAGTTGTGGGTCCTTCGGATGAGACCTTAAAAACCTAGGCTGTAACGGCAGGCATTGGCACAATAAAGATTCCTCACTGCTCAATGGCCCTGAGTGCCTAGTAAAGGTCAAAATTTGAAGCCCTTCACCGGTATATGGTGACATCTCTATAAGAGTGAAAAATTCTTGAATGGGATGTAAAACAACATACAATCAATCAATTAATACCTAAAATATTTTTAAAATTATAACCATAAATTTCAAAAGTAGGTCACAGTGAACTACTTTTCAGATGATGTACTTTGAGGACCCAAGATGCATCAACTGACAAAGTTTGATGATTCTAAGCCAATAAGTACCTGATATATTAAAATAAAGCCATAAAATTTCAAAAATAGGTCACAGTAACCTCCTTTTCAGTTGACTAACTCTGCAGACCCAAGCTGCATCAACTGACAAAGTTTGATGATTCTAAGCCAATTAGTACCCGAAATATTTAATTATAGTCATATAAATTAAAAAATTTCAAAAGTAAGTCACGGTGACCTACTTTTCAGATGTTGTACTCCGAGAACCCAAGATGCATCAACTGACAAAGTTTGATGATTCTAAGCCAATAAGTACCCAAAATATTTAATTAAAGCCATAAATTTTCAAAAGTAGGTCACGGTGACCTACTTTTCAGTCGACCTACTCCAAAGACCCAAGATGCATCAACTGACAAAGTCTGATGATTCTAAGCCAATTAGTACCTGAAATATTTAATTATAGTCATATAAATTGGAAGTAGGTCACGGTGACCTACTTTTCAGTGACGTTTTTTGAGGACCCAACATACATCATTTTTCAAAGTTTTATGATCTTAGGCCTTAAAATATCTAAATTATGCCTCTAAAACGCTTTGAAATTGAATGCCTGCAAAGTTCGAAAAGTAGGTATGTGACCTACTTTTTAATAAATATATCTTACAAGATTTAATGATTCTAAACCTCTCAGTTTTCGAATTAATGACCTTAATTGTTTTGAAAAAAATTCGCCATAAAATTCAAAAGTAGGTCAAGGTGACCTACTCTTTAGTCGATGTACTCTGAGGACCCAAGATACATCAACTGACAAAGTTTGATGATCATAGGCCTTAAATTGTTCAAAATATGTCTCTAAATCATTTTGAAAAAGAATGGCCGCAAAATTAAAAAGTAGGTCACTGTGACCTACTTTTGAGTCAACATGATATGAGGTCCTTAGATGCATCAACTGAAAAGATTTGATGATCCTAGTCCTTATAGTAAGCAAAATATCAACATTTTAATAAAATGTAATTTTTGGTCAACTTTGAAGTGACCTTGAGACCATGCCCTTTGCCCCAGGGTAAATTCCCGTGCAAATTTTAATCTACAACATATCCTCATCCTTTTGTGTAAGTTTGGTGACAATATGCCCTGTGGTTCTTGAGAAGAAGATTTTTTAGCAACCAGTACTTTTGTTTCTATTTTCCTAATTATCTCCCCTTGTTTAAGGGTCACAACCCTAGTTTTAGTATAAACGGGAGCCCTTGGGCCAAGGATACCCTGTGACAAATTTGACAATAATTGGCGAAGGGGTTCTTGAGTTATGGCCCATATTCTAAAAAGTTTACATGTATGCACACCGCACAAATGGCCATAGCATTAGCTCTTTGAGCCTTTGGCTCAGAAGAGCCAAAAATGTAGGTCAGATCCAGTATCCGAGGCAAGTCCACTCCATACAAGTTTTTAGGGCTTATAATTACTTAGAAAGAGACCTGCTCCAAAAACTTTAACCTACTCCAAAACATAACCCTGGTCATTCTTTAGCTGAAATTGCAGCATCTGAAACTTTGACTGGTACAATGAAACAAACTAGTAGCATCCTCCGTGCATCTCTGATTAATATAGGGCATAGAAGTACTTGAAAAGAAATCTGCTCCAAAAACTTTAACCTGGGACGCCGACACTGAGGGTATTACATGAGGTCCTCCAACTTCATTGAGGTGAGTTTAAAATAAAAGCAAGTAATTTTATTTCACAAGTGGTGCTTCTTGCTAAATTAGGCAATAATTAATTCCTCGGGTATACATATTTGGGAATCTACAGTAATGAACACTTGCTTTGAAGGTGACTGTAATACATGTACAGGTATGTGTACTGTAAAATGTGCACAAAGCAAATTTATATTTCACCTAAAGGAAGCTAAGCACCAACATTAAAAGCCATCCAATACAGTTTAAGAGTCAAGTTTGTCTAATCAATGGTCCTTAACATTATCATTGTGTAAGAGGAAACAAAGTTGGATTAAAAGTTTCATGACATTCTTATCTGGTAGAAATGGGCAACTCTGAACTTTTCGATGGTACATGATTCTAAATTACCAAAGTATTTCAAGGTTTAGAGAATATTGCTAAGCATAAATTAAACATTTCATGTAGTTAATTTTAATTTACTGTATATCTGGGTAAACTCTACTGAACATTTTAGGATAATATTTCTCACCTTTACTAGGTGAGAGCTCATACGTGTAGCTTTGTCCTCAATTGAAATACAAAACAGAAAATTATGTTATATTTAAATGTCTTTACTTGACAACAGTTTTGACATACCAGTATATTGTCGAAAACTCTGATCAACAATACTTCATTATTTGAATAATGACTTAAATATTTAAAAATCTATTGCAGGTTCTTGTCTTGTAATTTCTGGAATATGAAATATGTTAGATTTACTTGCTAAAACAAAAAAAAAACAAAACATTTTTCATCTGTACTCTCTGATTTGATAAATACGAGGGGTGTTGGAAAAGTTCACAGACCACACCAATCTTTGTTATAATATTTTCAAGAAATTTAAAATGAGCACATATGTAAAAATATTTATTTTGTTAATGTGTAAAGTTTCATTCCATGTTATTTAATAGAAATCATGTTACTTCATTTTAAAATCAACATTTTGTAACCACGGAGCAGACTTATCAATATTGTAACGACAAAAACATAAGAGTCATAAGTTTCTCAAAAATACTCTCCTCATACATTTTACATAGTCTGGCCCCATACCCACTCCTTATAACGTATTTTCTATCACTTGAAATTTATTTTGTTAGCAATTGTTCTTGTATCATAATAACATTTGTCAATGTTTCATATTTTTACTGCGTAAAATAACGGTGCTTTCAGAAGATCAACAGCTGTGAATTGCCTATCTTTTTCTATGATGTTACCAACTTACTAAATTTTTTGATAGATTTTTTCAGATTCTTTACAGATCATCCTCGTCTGATACAGAGTCAATATCATTCAATTACTGCCTTTGCCATTTACACACACATGCATGACTCGCTCTTGACATATTAATTATTTTCAGAGTTTATTTTGGAGTTTTCTTGAGTACACAACAAATTTGTATCGTTAGTTGCTGCTCCTTGACATTCTACGAAGTTACCTTTTTTTTTTTTGCCTATTTCAATGAGGACTACTTAACCTCTGAAATTGATTTCCGTTCATTGAAGCAAAATATTAAGTTATAATTTGGAATATAAAATGATGTAACAATTCTTGATTTGAACATCTAGGATATTTTTTTCATTTTCACGCCATTTTACAGAGGTATGAGTAGAGACAAGATCAAGTGTATTGTTTGTAAATTACTCATTTTTAACCTGCTCTGTGATTCCATTTTCGCAGTTTTTATTCTAAAAAAAGTTTGAAATATATATATATATATATATATATATATATATATATATATATATATATATATATATATATATATATATATATATATATATATATAATGTATATCATAAGATATTTTTGAAATTTTTAATGCACATCATTTAAATTTATTATGAAAACTTTTCTACCAAAGTTGGATATAATATGTAGTAAAGTAAAAATGTTATGACAGAAGTCTGTGAACTTTCTATACAACACTTGTAAAAGGTTGTTATTTAAAATTAACTACTTAACTCTGATGTTGTATACATACAACTGCATCATTGAATTCATATCAATAGACCAATGCAAAAAAAATTTAAATGTACATGTACATCTCAAAGAATAGACATTAAATAAAACAACAATATGTTTAACCTATATATGTTTTAAAAGCTTGCTCGTTTACCTACCACAAAATTCTATAAAGTTACATATAATTATTTAAAAAAAACAAATCATGCAGCTTCAAAAAAAGTTCTGATAAAAATCTGTCACCATGATAAAGTTGTACAAAAATATTTATATATGTTCTATCTGTAATAAAATGATAACAGTACTAAGTTTCTGAGCATAAGAGAATAAAACGATCAATACATGTAGACCCTTTGTGAGAACTGGGACATTTAATTACAGTACTCACTAGCTTATATATTTCAAAATAACAGCAGAGCAGGACAGGCATCAGTCTAAAATCTAGTTTATACATTACACAGTCAAACTTCATTACCTCAAAATTATTTGGCCAATTAAAAAATAACTTATAGATATCCAAGGATTTCAAATATTGAGGTTAAAATACATAAAGAAAAAGTGGTTGGAACTTCCAACTCCTTTCAACAAATCCATGGTATTGAGATATTTGAGATACCGAAGTTCAACTGTATATACAAGATTTTTTGTAACAAACATGTAACACTAACACACAACCTAATTTTTAGACATTAAAGGCAAAAATGTATGAGACATGCATCCACATGAGAAATAAGACAAAATTTAAATAATCAGGAATGTGAAACATTTTCTCAAAAACTATGATCCACTTATACAACAGTGATAACATTAAAAGACAATTATGGTAAAGATCTAGGAATTTCAGAGTGTTTGAAAATTTTCTTTTATGTTTTAAATTAATTTTTCATAGTGAAATATTTTTTTATATATTAAAAATGGTAAACCTATAGACTTTGATTTTAACAAAAAATGCCTGAAAATAATTTACAGCAGAAGAAAATTCTTCCCAAATGCAAATAAGTCTTCAAAATAAACTATGCAGTTAAAAATTGACTTTCTTAATGCGAATAAAATGAATTGAGACCTCGGTCTTACATGTATTTGTTGAATATCATTACAAAGAATGTATCCAAATTTCTGTATTTGACTACACAGAGTATCAATGAATTCATGAAAATAACACAATTGTTCTACTGAGCAAAACTTTTCTATCAAATTAATTTATATATATCTATACCTTAATCAAGACCTTTTCAGTAAAACAAATTACAATATAGATATACCGGTACATATAACACTGCAAGATACTGTACATGTACTTCCTAATATTTCTTGATGGAAACATCTAAATTCATATTGAAAAAAAAAATCAACTGTACAAATGTCTACTGGTATAATTCAAAATTCAATTTTTTTATATACATGTATATGCAAAATCACATCAATAGATGACTGCATGAACTGCATTAAGGATATCACTAGACATGACACAGCTACTGTGTATATGATTTGCACTACTAAGGCTCCAAGCTTACAGTAAAACACTTATAATGAAATCATGATTATAACAATGACATTTACTTTTATCAAAATAATAATTGGAAGGAACATTTGGGCATCACAAATCCAATCATTTAGTTGGACTATTCCCACTTAACATGTTCCATGACACTTTAATAAAGTATCAATTCAATTCATGACTTATAAAGCTAACCTGGATCAAAATGAGACATGAGTACATTTAATGAAAACAGATATCTCAATGTATTATAACATGCATTCAGAAGGTATATATATACCTATGGCCAACATATAATTTTGCAGAGATAAAAATCAATTTCATTGACATCCAATAAAACCCAAAAATGAAAAAAAAATCATGCAGATACACAATATGAACACAGGAAATCCAGCTTCGTTGTAATAGCGCATAAATAATGAAGCTCCAATACACAACACTGGTTAAATTATCAGTTTATCATTTCTAGCACCAGCTCATTTAGCTGCAGAGTTCCATCCAAAGTCAGTGATAGAAACCTTTCCGCTGCTTTGGCACTGACTGTACGTAGGAATGGTAATCGTAGGAGCATTTTACCATATCTTTTTACGTTGCCAGGGAACTTATGAGTGTGATATTTACGTAATCTGTCTAATATCTGAGTCTGTAGCAGAATAACTTTCTGTTTGTCTACCAAGTTCTGAGCATCTACAAAATTTTAATTCAAAGTTAAAATGATACATTCTGAATCTTTGCCTGTATTTCAGCAGAGAAAAGTACATAGCAGACAAGTATATTTTTTGTTCTTAGCCAAAACCGTGGTGATTCTGAAAATATAATTGTATTTTATAGGAAAAAAGGAAATTAAGTAGTTAATCAAATGGAAGGTTGGTGACCTCCTAAGCCCTAGCTATATATGGAAGGAAAACAAAGTATGGGCAATATTATTTATTCAAGCATGAAACCAGGCCTCACTATACAAGAGGCTCATGGGCCACAATGCTCATCTAAGTCACCTTGGCGCTGTTGTTATTCAGAACAGTGGCCTCATCCTTCCTCCCAGAGCCATGACTGGAACAAACTTGAATTTATACTACCTGAGGATCCTTGCACATCACACACACACACACACACACACACATATATATATATATAATATATATATATGGCAACAATTTATTGGTGACCATTTTAAATTGATTTGGCGATTGTTAAATTCTGGAACTATAATCATTTTCACCATTTTTTTTATGAAGAGGAGAAAAAAAGTTTTAAAGTTAGCATTGGACATGTATATAGTGGGGTTTCTTGGTAACCTTGTTTGTTTTTTTCAGTCACATAAGTGCGAACGAATATCACATCAGATCAGTGCACACCGAGTTCATGTAGACCAGATAAGACAAAATATACGATCTTCTCCCATCCTGGCCAGTAGGAGACAGCTATATGCTGATTCCGAACCATGGCTTAAGATGACGATGTTTTACATGCATGCTAAAAGTTAAAACCTCTAGGCATTTAACTGACCTATATTTCATGTTGATTTTTTCTTCACTTTTTTCTGATTGCAATAGACACCCACCTCCCGTGACTACCCCATAAATGCTTACATATATTGTCTAATATCAGCTTTAAAGTTGGCGCCCAAGAAAAATTTGCCTGGCGACTAAAAATTTACATTGGTGACTAAATTTTTTTGAATAGGAGCCAGCTGGCGCCTATAATTTAAAGATCACCTGAAGGCCTGATATATATCTCTATATTAAAATCACATATTTTTGTTGGGTCAAATTTTCATGATTTTTTTCTTCTATATATACCCATGTAAACCAGGTAAAATTTTGATACTGTGGACCCACCCTACCCTCAGGGATCATGATTTGAACAAACTTCAATCTGCACTACCTGAGGATGACTGCATTTTAATATGACTAATCATGGCCCTTCTTTTCTTGAGAAAAGGATGTATTCAGAATTTCAAAAGAGTTGACCTATAGGAGAGAAAATTTTCCCAGAAAATGTAACATTTAAAAATCAATGTTCATTTTTAGACCCCCAAAAATTAATCAATAGTTTCTCAGGCACCGCCGCATCAGGTCAAAAACTGCCACATTGATGAATTTTATTGACAAAAGGGAAATAACTCAATTTTCCATTTATCCATGTTGAAAAAGAAAATTGAGTTATTTCCCTTTTCAGAAATAAACTAATAGACTTTTTTTATTAAATAAATAATATATTTCTTATTGATATGGTATTTTATGAATTAACTTTTCAACAAATATTTGAAATAAAATTATTTAAGGTTGAATACATATTATAATTAATGTAAGAGAACAAAAAATGTAAGAATCAGTTGATACCATCATTTTGTGGAATGTCTGACATGAAAAAAAGTTTAACAAAGTTCTGCTTCAAATAAATAAATAAGAATCTGCCTGCCACATTAAATTTTGAAATTTTTGGCCAGAGAAACTATTAATTAATTTTTGTTTGGCCTTATAGTTTCTTAGTAATGGACCTGCTCCAAAAACTTGAATCACTCATCTGAAAAATGTAGGTCAAATCCCACATCCAGAGCAATTCTGGTAGTGTGCATAAATAAATGTATCTTAAATGCAAAGTTGGTTAGCATAGGGCTTATAGTTACTTTAGAATGAACCTAGTGAAAATACTTCAGCTAGCAAATTAATGTCCCTGAAAAGATGTTGCTTTGACAGGCTTGTAGAAATTCTAATCAGTATTGCTTGAAAAATATGTCTTTACTCAAAATTGTTGCTAGCATGTGTAATATATTACCTGGATATGTTAGCACAATTCCGTTCAGGATACAAAACTCTACTTTGTCAATATTGAGCTCCTTCAGTCTAGCAGAAAACTCCACTGTAGCAGCCACCAACTCTTTTCCCCATCCCATCTTTTGAGCCAGCTCTATAGGGACCTTCAAACCTTCAGCAAACTTTATACAGCTACCAGTATCCATTGACCTGAGAATTTTCAAAACAATAATAGTAAAGAAGCAAATTTTTAAGTACTAGAAATATGTCCATAGGACAAGAATTCCCCAGCTGGGGTTCATTAGTACATGTAATGCAACATGGAAAAAAAAATATGTACCTTGCTTCGTTTAATATAAGGGTAAATGAAAAATAGTGAGGTCACAGGGAAGGTTAAGCTCAGAAAATTATGACCCAGTTGATTGCTCTCACCAATTTGTGTAAGTGTATGAAGTTTGATGAAAATATTTAGAGCATTTCTTTGAAACTAAGTTTTAAACACAACAATTGGTAAGGACATAGGGAAGGTCAAGGTAAAAAAAAAAATTTGATACAGTTGACAAGTTCTCATCAATATATATCTGTAAATGTGCTTAGGTAAAAATATCTTGAATAGTTTCTTTGAAACTGAGCTAAATCCAAATTTTAAAAAAGTGAGGTCAAGGTCAAAGGGGCCTTGACCTCAAGAAGGTCAAGATCAAAATATGTTGCTGCAGTTCAATAACACTCACCAAGTGTATCAGCATATAAAGTTTGATAAAAATATTTTGATTTGTTTCTTTTACACTTGGCTAAACACACAAATTCAAGAAAAGTGAGGTCAGGGTCAAAGGAAAAGTCAAGGTCAAAAATATTGATGCAGCTGAATAGTAATCGTCAACATGTATCAGCAATATGAAGCTTGATCAAAATATCTTGAAAAGCTTGTTTGAAACTGAGCTCAACACAAATTTAAGAAAAGTGAGGTCAAGGTCAAAAAGTGTCAATGCAGTTGAATAGCTCTTATCAATATGTATCAACATGAAGTTTGATAAAAAGATCTTGAAAAATTTTCTTTGAAATTGAGCTAAACACAAAGCATGACAGATGGAAAGACAGGATGGAAGTACAGAAGACAGACATGACAAACTGTATATGCTCTAGTCATATTTATGGAAGGCATAAAAATTATTTACAGACAAACAGACAGATGGATGAACAACATACACTTTATACCATTGCAAAAGTTTAGATGGGAAACTTTACAGAGTTAATCATCTACACTGTCTACTAATCACATTCTTGCTTATAAAATCTAGTTGTACTTTTTTTTAGTTCAAAAACATATACCCTAAAACCTTGAAAATTAGCCGGATTTAATAATAAGCCGGTTTTGAAAATAAGCCACCTATTTCTTGCATTGAAAATTACTCGAAAATAAGCCTGATTTGAAAATAAGCCGGTAATAGTTCCATTTAGAACACAGTGTTATTTTTAATTACAATATATTTTACTTTATTACAAACATTCTAATATGACATTAATAATTTTATTCAACAAAGCACAAGATATTAAAGCACTATTATTTTCTTTTTACCTCACAGAAATCTTGACATGTCGTCTTTATCCTCGCAGAAATAATTTTATGTCAACAATGCACGAGAAACTGTTGAACTTCAGTTTTATAAAACCACTTAAATCTTTATTTAGCAACGGTAATCATGACTGTGTGCATCGCGGTAATCTCTTATTTTCAACAGAGCTCGAGTTATTTTAATAATTAAGTTTTAAGGTATAATCGATCGATTTTGAACTGCCACATTTGGCCGAGTGTAATATGCACGGCTATCGGACATACTGTAGCATTACCAACAGACATAGACAATTTCCTGTTGTTTACAGCTATATTTAAAACCTTAGTAAATTATGATAAGAATGTAAACTTGTTGAAAATGTAAAATTTATAATCTGTTGATGGTTAAATTATATTGGAAAGCGAGTTAAAATTAATTTTAGCTGCATATTCAAGCCGCCATATCACGATGTTATTTATAGACGTTTACACATTCCTTTGCCACGTGCTTGCGTAATGTATCAAATCAGTCTGAAACTCGGTTTTCAAAAAAAAAAAAAAAGCAATTTATAAGTTTATTTTGATTTTAAATAACTCAGTGGAAATTTCATGTAAACACCCCCGTATACGTCCCAAATAAAGCCATTGTTGTGAAGGAGTGTACATGTTTGTTTAATAATTTTCTCATCACCCCTATTATCAATGGCTTTGATTATTTTCATTGATATAATTGGGGTCGATTTATAACCTTCGTCCATTATAGTAATTTAAAAAAAGAAATATCAAGTTTGTTAAAACTTAATTATTAAAATAACTCGAGCTCTGTTGAAAATAAGAGATTACCGCGATGCACACAGTCATGATTACCGTTGCTAAATAAAGATTTAAGTGGTTTTATAAAACTGAAGTTCAACAGTTTCTCGTGCATTGTTGACATAAAATTATTTCTGCGAGGATAAAGACGACATGTCAAGATTTCTGTGAGCTAAAAAGAAAATAATAGTGCTTTAATATCTTGTGCTTTGTTGAATAAAATTATTAATGTCATATTAGAATGTTTGTAATAAAGTAAAATATATTGTAATTAAAAATAACACTGTGTTCTAAATGGAACTATTACCGGCTTATTTTCAAATCAGGCTTATTTTCGAGTAATTTTCAATGCAAGAAATAGGTGGCTTATTTTCAAAACCGGCTTATTATTAAATCCGGCTAATTTTCAAGGTTTTAGGGTATACATGCGGTGATAATTATATCAACAGCTCAGAAAAGGATGGTTCTAAGAGCATTAAAGATGTTATGTTTTAAGGCTGGAGTCTTGCCATATGTATGTCATTTTTTCTTGTACTACATGTACTAAGATCCTCAATTTCACACAATATCAAATTTATGACTTTGGTGAAACATGAAGCTGAAAAAGGTACAAGTCATCTGCCTTGGATTTTTGCCAAGGTCATTTCAAAATTACAATATTTTTCTCAAATTTTTTCAAATAAAATCTGTTAAATTTTAGTATTATAGATTCGATTGCTAAGAAAAGTGCCAAATAAGATTTGTTAAATTTTAGTACAGTACATTTGATCGTCAATATCATGTTTAAATGAAAAGTGCCAAATAATATTTGTTATATTTAAGTACAGTACATTTGATCACCAGTTTCATGCTGAAAAAAAAGAAGAGATTCTTATATTTTAATAGAAATAGTCTTTTTAGATATATTTCTTATCATTTTTATCGAGAAAAACAACTGTTCTGTTATTCAAATTAATAAATAATAATTAGAAGAAATTATAATCAGCCTTAATTACTTCTAATGGTTCTCTATTTTTGCTAATTTAATGATAAAATATCTATACCACTGTTATTAAAAATCTCATGTTTTAAACAATATAGCAAAACTGTAGGAAACATTTTGAGATTAAAATAAAGAAGGAGTAATTTTGCATTTCACAAGTAGTTACAAATTTGTGTATCTTTCCAATATGAATTTATATAGATGATTAAATATAAAGTCTTAAGGTGGAAAGGTAATCTATCACATCATACAAAAAGTTGTAGGATGCACAACAGACAGATCCGACAATTATCAAAGGGTACAACACCCTTATCTGGACGTGAGGCCCTAAAAAAAATAAGAAGTCGAACCATTGCAGCCCGGTTATATTGTTTACTACATGTACCAGTACATACAGACCTGTATGACAATCTGAGAACATTCAGCTCCATGAAAGAGGACTTCAACAATGCCATCTGATCTTCTAGTCGTAACTCTGTAAAACCTGTAAACAAACACAATCTACATGTAACTAGCATGTTCTCTGTATGGAAAAATGACAGACATTTTCTTTTCAGCAACTGTTAATAATCTTAATATTATGAATTGTGTAATTCTTGAAAATATACAGCATCTCTTCCATTAATTTCAACATTCTGTAACAAGAACCTTGCACCTACCAGGAACTTTCTTTGCCCAGTCAATAATGTATTTCAATTCAGCATACCCATACTGCATTAGCTGATTAATACCCATGCTCTGTAGGCAGATATTTCCTGTTAAAGAAATAATATCTTATTTTAATTCTAAACATTAACTCTTACATAGTATTCTTTATTTTGATGAGCCTGATTATTTCTACAAAGTCACCAATAGCTGTGCATCTTGCTGATCAAGAACTAGTTCAATGTAAAAGTATCTAATATATGCTTATATGAAAGACAAGAATTCGATTCTTTTGAGAAATTCTTTTACTTACCATCAACCCTTGGAATCAGATCAGGCCTGGCATTAATTAAGCCTTCTGTTATGGGATCTTCAAATGTTTCTCCAGTTTTAGATTCCTGGACCCCAGGCACAAATAATACCTCCCCATCAGTGTTGACCATGGCACGAATTTCATCTAGACGAGGTTTCTTGTTCCTGTGTTTTCCTCCCGGGGATCTGTCCTCTCTCACAGCTGTAAACATGAACAAAATCTACACATCAAAATCTACATTAATGCTAAGAGATCTGTCCTCTCTCACAGCTGTAAACATGAACAAAATCTACACATCAAAATCTACATTAATGCTAAGAGATCTGTCCTCTCTCACAGCTGTAAACATGAACAAAATCTACACATCAAAATCTACATTAATGCTAAGAGATCTGTCCTCTCTCACAGCTGTAAACATGAATGATCACAATCTACATCAACGCTGCACTTTGATTTCTTTACACAATTAGTAAATAGTTCATGTATAAAACTACGCACTCTCATTTATGCTAAATGTTGAATTTACCATTCAAGACAAGGGTTAACTGACTAATTATTATTTTGTACTACAAGGGAACAATGGAAAATATTTATAAAGGTACAAACTGACTTTCAGTACTGAGTAAATATCACAATCAAATCAATTAATTTAATCATTTCAAATGCACATATATATTTCTAATATCAATTTAGATATTGAAATTAATAATAATAGCCAATAGCCAGCTAAATGTCATGATGTTTTACTAAATAACTGGTTAACCATTTAAAAAAACTCAGGTTTACAAAAAATGTATCAATGTTTCCACATTACAAGGAATCTAATACCATGTATCACACTTGTTTGCCATGACTTTTGCCTCTTAATGAAATGTTTGTCAATTAAAAAACTGAATGTTTTTGGAATATTTTGTTCATGTCTTAAAGACACCCACTTTTCTAGAAAGAAGGGCATCACTTCTATGAAATGTTAGCCCCTCTGACCTGATCTGTTGGTCACAGCTTTCATATTTTGGTTAATGTTTGGTTAATATTTGTGGTGGATGTTTTACCACATTTATTTATCACACCAATACACTTCAATTATACATCTCACATACAGTAATAATAAAAATAATACTCTGAGAAAAGTTCTATATTTTATCTTTTCCCTATGTGCTCATCTAAGAGCAGAATCATTTAGATATTCCATCCATGCTAATATCTGTAATGAAAAGTCTATCTTCAGCTTGTTCCAAACTCAAATTAAACAAGAGCACTGCTAAGCGGAGCATCCCCTCGCGCCAGGAACTTCACCGGAAATGGCAATGTCTCCATACGAGAAAAATTCTCAAAACGGACGTTAAACAAGATACACTCATCTAGGCCTAGTAATCAAGGGTACCCAGTATTACTTTATGAAGTTTATAATAAGGTAAAGAAATTAAAATGTATTGCAATACTAGTTAAATTTTAACAAAAGTCAAGGTGCATACACTGTATCATGGGGGGGAGGGAGGTTGGGTCATAAGCATACGTGATTGGGCAGTTTCCCTTATTCCTAGCAGAAATATATCACGTATTTCCATAAGTTCTAGACCAAGTTCTGGACCAGTCTAACAAAACCTTTCACATCAGAGTACAGGAGTAGTTTGTATACAGGCAATGACTTTCATATTAAGATTGTAATTGTAAAAATTCATAGCCATTTATTTTTACTTGTTCAGAAAAATTCTCATATACATTAAAGTACATTTTACATGTATTTTCTTTTGTTTGATTTAGTATTAGTGACCAAAGCATTTTCTGCATTCTTTTCTTTAGCACAGAGTCAGTTGAGACACTACCCTGGCTGCTTCTGGTTGAGGCCTAGACTGACAGTAAATAACAGTTGGGGTAACATAAAAATTTAGGAAAAACATATCAGAATTATAGGTGAAATTAATAGAAAATTTTCAAATCAACCAAAACAAACCTTCTCTCTTCATGCCCATCTGTGTACATTTAACAAAGCGACAATACTGGCAGTTGTTCCTGGTGAATTTATTGATGATACAATTCCCCTCATTTTTACAGGTGTACACCAAGTTTTTCTGGACACTGCGCTTAAAGAATCCTTTACAACCCTCGCAAGAGAAAACCGAGTAATGATATCCTGACCCTCTATCATTACAGATCATACAGGGCGAGGAGTTCGCGGAGGTATCTTCTCCCCCCGTGTACACCTGAAATATATACATTTATTACTTTACATAATGTAAAAAAGATTATAATGCTGATTTGATCATTCAGTTATCCTTACCTTGACAATAAATATTATACGTTTTAACTCTTGAGATAGTTTACCTTCAACTAAATAAATTTGAACCTTAAAATATCTTATACATGTACATGAAAGAATGCTTGTGATGTTATTACTAATCTGGCAGTTTGAATTGCCACACTTTCTTTACAACAAGAAAGGCTCCATGAGTTCTAGAACAAACTACAGATTCAAGATGTAGTTAAGAAGCAATAATGTTGCACAAAAATCTCTTTCAAACAAGAGATGCAGCAGAAAACATTGCTCACTGCTTGCAGTAGAAAACATTGCTCAACTGCATGCAGCAGAAAACATGTCTCACCTGTGTTTCTTCATTGACCCCTGTGACCTGTATGATAGGTTGTACCACCATCTCATTGCTGGGTGAATGTACTGATGCTGCACTGGCCACGGTATGTGATGACACGGTCATTCCCTGGGTGTGTATCTGTATTTCTGGGGAACCCAACATGTCGGGGGTCATGTTCTCTGACCCACTGTTCTGGGGATTATCCAGTTCCATACTAAAGTTTCCTTCAGCATTTTCAGTGGAATTGTAATTCCCTGCACTTTGGAACTGAGTTGAAAGATTATCCTGCACATTTCTAACCCTGTCACTTTGTGACCTCAGCTCCCCAGGATTCGTGCTGTCCGCTATAACAAAACTAAAGTTTGGGGTATTTTCATTTCCTTGTTGAATATTCTCTATCTTTGTACTTATCATGGCATGATTCGGTTCAGCCATTTTTTTTTTTTAGTTCTGATGGACTCCCAGCTTGTTATCTGCAAAGAAATAAATCTGCTTGATATTTATAGACTCAAATTTATACAATATATCTATCATAAGTATTAATACCTCTACCTTGAAAAAAGGAGATTATTTTCTTATCAATTGTTGAGATAAAAGATAATTAGAGTACCTCTTCTATAACTTACAGTATATATATGTAGATCAAACCTATAGAAACATGAACTGAAGACATGTACAAGCACATATATATATAGGACATTTTTTCAATTAGTTGTAATTGAAAGTGTGTAACCATGGCAAAGAGATTATTTTTAGTATTTCAATAAATGACATACTGTCTTGTAAATGGCAAAGATAACATAGAAAAAAAACCCAAACAAACAATAACAACTAAATCAGCAATTTGAAGAGAACCTCCAAATGCAAATTCAAATACCAGTACTGTAAATGAACTTTCCCTTTGAAGCTATGAACCTCACCTGGTAGTTTCTCAGAGACAGAAAATAGTGAAAGTTTGATAGATTGAGAATTGGGGGGGGGGGGGATTCAAGACTTTTAAGGAAAGTATAATGTTGGACTGAAAAACTGTGAAAGAACAAGATGTGTTTGGGAAACACTGATGCCCCTGTATGGCAGCTTATGGCGAAAATTAAAGTTTCTCAAATGCAAGTCTAATTCCACGGTCAAGTTCACGAGATCAAAAATACTGTTGCCCAAAGAAACGACTTGTGTCATTAGATATACATACCTGTAAAAATTGAAAGACTTAGTACTAACTGTTCAAAAGTTATGGCCAAGGTTAAAGTTATTTAAAAGTGGGTCAATCTCTAAGGTCAAGGTCAAAAATATTAAACCCATGGAAAGGTCTTGTCATGATGAATACACAAATATGAAAGCCCTAGTACCAACCATTCAAAAGTTATGGCCAAGGTTAAATTGGGTAATTTTTTGCAAAAGTGGGTAGGGCTAGACAAATAGCATTGCTCAATGCCCGGGGCAACCAATTTTGTTTGGCAGGCAAGTTATTTGATAAGTGGTACCTGCCCACAGACAAGTGCTTTAAAAAAAAAATTCCAGTTAACAAAAATCATACACTCAAATTTTGTTTGTTTTACTGCTGTTAAAATATAATGAATCACAGCAGAGTATCCATTTTTGATGCAGTTGACCACTACATCGAATACTCGGTAGGAACTCCTCTAGAATTAACCCATTCATCATGTCCATGTGTTGTAAAATTTACACAAGATGTAAAACATGGCAGGTATCGATTTCATGTCAAAAAAGTTGAAGAGGATTTTAGACCTTTTTATTGTCAAATTGTAAAATTCATCCCACGAATACACACCATACAAACACATGCTGCTGTTATTAAACAGGAGGTGTTGACTGGTGAACAGAGAGTCATGGAGTCAAACCCTCAATCGACATTCAGGAGTGTTTTTTTATATTAAAATAAATGAATGTAGATACATGTATTATATTTTGTTTTCATTTAACTATTACAGAGAATGTATATGTATATGTATATACATTGACATGTATTTAAAATTTTAAGTTTAATTTTAATAATCAATGCACACCACACACGCTCCCTAGAATTAGAAATTTCCCCCCTTAATTTCTCTATGGGAGTTGTAATATAGCAAATCAGCTATATAGGACCTCTTGTAATGAATGTCAGACACTTCAGCCCAATGACACTTTGATCCATAGACAATTACGCCCAATGGCGCATTAACCCAGATGAGTCACCCCATGATTAAAAAAACATTGGTCCATATATAAGACATCTTGGCCCAAGCAAAATTTCATTAGAAAACGTATTGATGAACAATCAAGGTTTCAATTAACCATAAGAATTTCTGGGAATAAATTGATGATAATTGAGTAAAGAAAGCTAACTGTATAATGTATATACATGTCAGAGTTTCCGAAAACCAAATATTTCTTTTAGTCATTCGGACTAATGACTTAATGTGTTCTCCCAGTCCGAAGCAAATTCTATCAGTCCGAATAAATTTTAGTATATTTCATGATGTAATTCAAAAGAAAATGGCATTGGTTTATAGTACTCAAATTGAGTGTGTAAATCTATCAGCAGATCGTTACAACACCGATTGTGAGACCACAGGTATGCAATTAAAAAGTTCAAGCACTAGCACACGGGCTAGTGGCAGCAATAAATTCACTATCCCCAAGTAAAAAGTCGCTAGCCAAAATGTGGGGGGAGGGGGGGAGTAACAACTAATATGGAAAAAAAAGTTTATTGTTGAAAAATTCAGGGTCTGAAGACCAGATCATTCTTTTTAAAATTAAAAGTTTTATTCTCACTTGTAAAATTGAATCATGTATAAATTAATAATTATGATAGAAAAATGAATTTAAATAAAATATCTTCCCTTTTTCTGGGCATTGCACTGATCTAAACTAAAGCGAAAATCTTTTTTTTAATCTTTAATCATCAAATACATTGGATTTATATTTTTTGTAAATCATATAACACTCGTCTTTCCGTTGATTGGGTGATCGTAAATAATTTAACGAGATATCTGCATGTGTTTATCATAAACAGAAGAATGGAGGAAATTTGGATTAGGAAAAAAATGATCGATTTTGGAAGTAAATAAGCCTGGTAGTATTGCAAAATGTATAAGATTATGGAGATTTACAAACAATAGGAGCATGCTGCCTGGAAATTTTTCATTTATTGGGAATTTAATAGCAAAGAATGAGTGAAAATATCAGTAGTGCTTTTCGTGTATCACATTGGTATAGTTTTTACTTTTGGTAGCCTCGGGTGTCGAGCGATGCTAATTGTGCACCCCTGGAGACATCGCAATAGATCAGAGTACAATTAATTAGAATAATCTAACTGTGTCTCAAGACAAGCCATCGGTCACGGGGACCGGTAATAGAGCGAATTAGATCGGACATTTCAATTTTCTATCGGTTTTGCCGGTAGGACTGATGGTTTTCGGAAACTCTGCATGTGTATTGGGTATTTTCCAGATCTCCGACGAACAATTTTGAAGATACAAAAAGAGTTACACTGAAAATAACTATGAAATTCATCATATTTTTGGAGCTTGTATAATTATGCCTTCTACCCAAAAAATAGCTAGTCAATATAGATCTACATTCTACAGACAAAAATTGAAATCATTGGTGTGACATATAAGCTGCTGTATTTTTAAAAAGGAAATCAAAGGAAGACAACTCATGCATTTTACATCTCTTGTCAATATATTTTTCTGTGTTTCAACAATGGCGCATGAATATTCTAAAAAAAAAAATTCAGATAAAAATCATTAATACCTACTTTATATTCTAAAAGCATTTGGGTCTTCAATACCTGTATTTTCTTTTAATTTGCCAACATACACTTAATTTCTCATCTTTTTCCTCAGAAAGATAGATAACTCTGTATGAACTCTGCTTTTTTAAACATTCACAAAAAAAATTGATTTTCACCTGATCTGAGAAATGATTGTTGTTATGGGATCAGTGGGTCATACTTTACACAACTGGCATTAAAAATTGACAATTTATATTTGACTCCTAAAAAATTATTGGGCATTGCTAGTTAAGAGTCCTATGAGGTGTTGGTCAGGTCATATTAGCTGACCATATACGGGAATTAAAAAGCATGGCCCCATTGACTTAGAAACATTCGTAGGTATACCACAGGGGCTTGCTCCCGGCGTGTAATAATTATTTAATATTTAAAAAAATCATATACGTTAATACTAAAACTACACAAGGGAGGACGCCATTTTGGACCCCTTCCTCGCTTCAACCTCTGTTTTCGTTATATTTTCCCGTATTCTACTGACTCACCGCCTCAGATCTGTCAAGTAATGATTCTTCTAGGACATAATGCTTAAATTTTCCCCTTGGAGCCTCTACAATACACACTTCAGACTAATAATAATCCAAACTTGCTCTTTAGGACAGTTAATAGGGACAGAAAACGAAAGTAACCTCGGCGTTTTACATTCGAATACGGAATTAGAACGCGTTTTTTTCAAATTTATAATTAGCAGCTGTGTTAACTAGTAGAAAAACCCCGAGATTTTCGAATGTGTTTTCGTTTTCTGTCCCTATCAACTGTCCTAAAGAGCGAGTTTGGATTATTATTAGTCTGAAGTGTGTATTGTAGAGGCTCCAAGGGGAAAATTTAAGCATTATGTCCTAGAAGAATCATTACTTGACAGATCCGAGGCGGTGAGTCAGTAGAATACGGGAAAATATAACGAAAACAGAGGTTGAAGCGAGGAAGGGGTCCAAAATGGCGTCCTCCCTTGTGTAGTTTTAGTATTAACGTATATGATTTTTTTTTAATAAATAATTATTACACGCCGGGAGCAAGCCCCTGTGGGTATACCTAAACTTAGGGTCACTCCAGAATAAATTGAATTATAGATTTTCTACCACCATTTCATTGTGCATAGATCATAGCTATGCCAAGCCCACAAGGTATGGAGGACTACTTCACTTTATCATTTTATCAACGTTTTTTCTCGCTTCCAATTTACACGCCATGTTTACATTCGGAACTCTCTGAATTATTCGTAGTATACATGAAGATTATAATTATATGCCACTGTAAGTGTTTATTTTGCTACATTGAAAAACTGAACGAATTTTATAGCCTAGTAAAAATGGGTCGTACGACAATATCATTTTAACGACAGAACATTCTAACTATTCTTGGGTTTCTCTTTAAATTCCAGGCAAATAAAACACTCAGTACCAATAATCTTAGAAAAAATAATACTTCCAGACGAATGTGGATGTACTCAAAATATTTTCTCACCTGCAAACTCAGCAGTTACAGAGACGCGGCCATTTTGATTGGGCACGTTTGGCATTGCACAGGTCGTTCTATGTATACTTCGTTTTCAGAACCAGTACTATTCCCTATTCTCAGGAAGGAAATGTGTTGTATATTTGTCTTTCAAATGATTGCTAGAATGAATATTAACATAGAAACAAAAAACATCAAGACGTTTAACATACTACAATTTAATGACAAAAAGGGAGTTTACGATTTTTTTTAAATATATTTTTTCAAAGCCAGAAAAGTTTTCGGATTTAGTGCAAATAATAATGACTTCATCTGTGTTTTATGTAGCTTACACTCAGTACCAGTTAGAATTGTAAGTAGCTTTGTGACACTACCGGATATGACTGCGCGCTTTCTAATCGAACACTACAAATCTACTTCCTCCATGTGCGAATGTTTACTACGGTAGCTCGAGGTCTGCAGTTTCATGTCACAGGCCAGATTAGAAGGTGTGTGACAATGTCGGCAATAGAGGCAGGGAAAAAGGCTGCAGCCTTTGCTGCCGTTGACGAACACATTAAGGTATTTCAATTTCAAGTGTGCTTTTTCACAAGCTTTTTGTGAAAGAATAATTGAGTTTATTCAAGTTTCAGCAGCTTATTTAAATAGATTATTGTGAGTTGTGACATGATGGGGATGTTTTTCTTTAAAGTTTATTGTTCTGTATTAGCAAAACAGTACAGGACTATGTGGGAGGAGCTAGCTTCTGTACTGTATTAGCTCTTACACTGTGTTGTATTAGCCTAAAATATAAGTCTTTTTAATTCCTCATCGCTGACAACTGGCCCAAATCTAGAGGAAGCATACTCTTCACTTTGCTTTTAACGATGCATTAAAGATAAAAAAAAAAAATCTCCAACACTGAAGTTCATAGAAAAACTCACTGTATCAGCTGTATTTGTATCAAGGTTATCTGAGATTTTGATAGTCCCTCAAATACATCATGCTCAATCTCCATATAAGGTCACAAATCTGCAAGAGGGTAAATCATCCACCTTATCCATTAAGAAATTTAGAGAGCTCAGTTCATTGTGTTTACTAGTCTATCTTGTTGTCAAAACTAATTGTGAATCGTGCTCTGTCCGTGGGTACTGCGGACACAGTGCAAAAGTGGTAGGTGCTTATTTTGATTGAATTGCATTATAAATCAATTAGAGAACTCAACATGTTCTCTATAGTAGATGCATATTTGGGGCAGAGATCTACAATAGAGCACCCCATCTCATTCTTTAAATAATACTTGGAAAATTTCATATCCCATCAAGGCATTGTAATGGAACAGTAGCACTTAAATTGTGACATCAAGCAAGTAGTTTGTTTTTACATAATTCTGCAAATTTGCAAAAGTTTTTGAAAATGCCATCCAGCTAGGTAGATATATGCAGTTCTCCAGGGGAAACATCATTAATGTATAGGCAATTTATAAATTGCTTAAAATGAAGGGATAATCTACAACTTACCAGAATCGGAATTCAGACCAGGGATCTCTGAGCTACAGACAGGTATATGTATTATTCTTAGTGACCTATGATGCCACTAGCAAATGATCATTTTGAACCAGAATGTCTCACTTTTAAGTTTCTATCTTCATTCTCTCTCATTCTCTTTTTACATCTTACTTCCATCATTGTCATATTAAAACCAGACATAACAGGAAAGAAGATTACCGGTAAATGTCCAGATTAGTATTTAAGACTCCAAGTAGCTGCTCAAGATCTAGCACTTAATCAGTCTAAGAAATGGACATCAAACCTCATCTTCCATTCAAGCATTAAGAAAAAAAAAAAGTAAATTTAGCCATTTCAGAAGACTTCATATATTGATGGAGTGTCCCTTTGTAAGTGTAGAATCCAAATTAAATTTACAATCAAGTAGACCTACTTTTTTCTTTCTTTTTTCATTTATACCTTCTTAACAACTAAGTATTCATGTAAAGTACTTGGAGTCCTTCTTTCCTAATACAGTAAAACATTCTCATAACAAACATGTTTATCATGAATTGGCACTTACAGTGAAGTGATTTTCATTTCTCATAGCTTCAAAATATATTGTGAACTTCAAGGATTATAACAAATTACGTTTATAACATAGCAAAAACATCCGTCCCTGGCACTACACTTACAATAAGCGTGTTTCCCAGTATGATTTTTATGCCCCCGGATCGAAAGATCCCCGGGGTATATTGTTTTTGTCCTGTCTGTCTGTTTGTCTGTCTGTCTGTCTGTTGTCAACTTTAACCTTGCCCATAACTTTTGATTGGTTGGAGCTATGACTTTCATATTTCACATGTGTATTCCTTGTGACAAGACCTTTCTTTGGGTACCAACATATTTGACATTTTGACCTTGACCTTGGAGTTTGACCCACTTTTGCAAAATTTTATGAGACTTAAAACTTGGCCATAACTTCTGAACATTTGGTGTTTGGGGTTTTCAAACTTCACATGTGTATTCTTTGTGACAAGGCCTTCCTTTGGATACCAACAACTTTTACCTTTTGACCTTGACCTTGGAGTTTGACCTACTTTTGAAAAACTTTGACCTTGACCATAACTTTTGAAAAGTTGGTGCTTGGGGTTTTAAACTTCACATGTGTATTCCTTGTGACAAGACCTTTCTCTGGATATCAACCTCTTTGACCCTTTGACCTTGACCTAGGAGTTTGACCTACTTTTGAAAAACTTTACCCTTGGCCGTAACTTTTGAACGGTTGGAGCTAGGGCTTTCATTTTTTCACATATGTAATCTTTGTGACATCACCTTCCTTTGAATACCAACCACTTTGACTTTTTGACCTTGACCTAGGAGTTTGACCTACTTTTGAAAAACTTTAACCTTGGCCATAACTTTTGAATGGTTGATGCTAGGGCTTTCATACTTCACATATGTAATCCTTGTGACAAGACCTTCCTTTGGATACCAACAACTTTGACCTTGACCTTGACGTTTTACTTACTTTTAGAAAACTTTAATCTTCGGCATAACTTTTGAACAGTTGCAGCTAGGGCTTTCAAATTTCACAGGTATATTCTTCGAGACAAGACCTTTCTTTGGGTACCAACATTTTTTTATCTTTTGGCCTGGATTTTGACTTGCATTTCAGAAATTTAACCTTCACCATAAGCTGCCATATGGGGGCATCAGTGTTTCACAAACACGTCTTGTTCTTTGTATTTCGTAGAATAACCAAAAGGTTGGTATTGGAAGTGGATCTACTGTTGTGTATGCTGTTCAAAGGCTTGGTAAGAAAGAATCTGGTGGGAAAGTATTTATATTTATGAAAACATAACTTTACTTATAGCATCTTTAAATATTTTTATGTTGTTCTAGCTGAGAGAATACAAAAAGAGAACTTGAACATCATCTGTGTGCCAACCTCTTTCCAGGTGAGATATAGTCAAACCCTTTTGTTTTTTGACATTCGTGCAACTGGGAAAAAAAACAAACAGTTTGAAAGATTTGTTGTACTTGAAACTCAAATTGATAATACAGTTGGTACGTGCAAGTCATTTGAATTGTTCATGGTATTTGTATATACATGTATATGTTTATAAGATTAGAAAATCTTTAAAAATTACATTATCATTTTTGGGGGTCTTTATTCATGTATTTCAGGCTAACCAACTAATTCAGGAGCACAATCTAAATCTGGGAACTTTAGAGACTTATCCAAAGGTATATATATTTTTTAAAGGCTTTAGTACACTTCAAAAAGAAATTAAGCAATAATAAGAGAAAGGGGATACTTATTCAAATATGAGCCTGGAGTCAGTATATTTGGTGTAAAATGTTCAAGGTTTATAGATGTACAAAGTATGGTTTATAGATGTACAAAGTATGGTTTATAGATGTACTATGTATGTCAATCTAGCTGCCCTTTTGATTCAAAATTTTTGTAACCTGACCTACATCTTCATAATTCACAAATACAGTTATGGCAAACAAATGGGAAATTTACTTCACATTTTATAGAAAAAAACTCAAATTTGAAATTATCCTCCCTTTTCCAATTTTCTTTAAAATTTCATCAATTGATGTAAAATTAAAGCTGAACATGACTCGTAAATAGGCTTACGCCATTTTCGATATTACTATCTAAGATATCAACACCAGGGTATACTCTTTGCATTCCTTACACCTGACTGCTTTATTGTTATGGGTATCGCCGTGGAATGGCGACCCGTGTTCGTGCTGGTTATCTTGCATTACTTTTGTTTACATTTTATTGCAGTTACGTATATTTGTGTTTGTTTGTATATGCTGCACTGACCTGTGCAACTGTTGCAAATCTCTTTGGTATCTCACTCTCCTGCATTAGAAGAAGCACACTTATTTTTTTCGCTACCAAGTGCTGTATAGCATACTCCGTCTACACCAGTGACAATTGATTACACTGAACAGTGACTAAGTGAGCGGCTCTATATATAGGGACCCTCAGATATAGCAATAGTCCATTCGAATATGGCGGACAGATTCTTTTTACGAAGCGTGTTCAGCTTTAATTATAGTATCACAAATATATCTAATATTTGTGTACATTATCTGTGCAAATGATTATAATTGACATAATTTAGTGTCTTTCATATACTTTATAACATATTCTGATATATTTCTCAATAGATTGTGTAGAGAGAACCTGAAAAAGCAATTACTAATATTGTAAGGATGTTTATGACCAAAAATTCAGATAGATTCTATCTGCGTGAATTTAAAAAAATGTATGGACCCTAAAATATGTTATAAAAAGGTTGTTGACTGAATACTGGGAAATATAACCCCCACCCCCACCCCTTAGTCAATCTTTGTGTGGTCTGCTTAACTACACAAAGACCTCAGAAGGACATGCATGTATTTTCTAATAATCTGTCTGACAATAACCTCAATCTAATTAAAATTAGATGTTCCGAATCCGCTACCGCTTCTCAAACATTGATGTTTGAGAAGCGGTACCGGATTCGGAACATCTAATTTTAATTAGATTGACAATACGGTAACCTGTAAGTATAACTATTGTAAATTTTAATGTCAAAATTCAAGCATAGTACATTTTATCTTGTGACTACTCTAGCTGTATTAGATTTCTAAGATTCTAAAAGTAAGTCTTATTCTGAAGAAGCACAGCAAATTTTATCAATTTTCATGGAGGAAAAAAGTTTTTAAATCAAGATTTGAAAAAGACAATTTATTAAGAATATATAGGTAAATGTTCATTTGTTCTTAATATTATAGTCCACTGCTGTTAGTATATAAATCAGGATAGAGTTGTTTTTTTTTATACAATTATCAAAGTCGACCTTTGCTTTGACAGTGACCTTGAAATAGGTTAAAAGGACTATGTTTCCAACTTTTGTAGCTATCATCTCTTTGTATAATTACATGAAGGTAAATTGTGATAAAATTTAATCAGTGTTTCTCACTTTTGTAGCTATTGTCTTTCTTTATAATTACCTATAGGTAAATCATGATAAAATGTAATCAATGTCACATCCAGATTTTTACACATTCCACAATGTCATAAACAAGAATATAAAAAACATGTTATTTATGAATTAATTCTTTGCTTTAGAAAACTATTAACACAAGTGATGAGAAGGCTTAAAGAAGTGATGAATTGAAATTTAAATTAATTAATTAATCAATTGTGCATGTCTAGTACTTTTCAAAATTACCTGGTATGTTTCTCATTTCGTTCATTATAGTTGGATGTAGCAATCGATGGTGCAGATGAAACTGACAAAAATCTAACATGTATTAAAGGGGGAGGAGGTTGCCAAACTCAGGAGAAAATTGTGGCTTCATGTGCCAAGGAACTCATCATTATTGCAGATGACAGGTATTATAGAAATGTAACAACAGGTTTTATTGAAAAACCAAATAAGGCTATCCATGTATATATAATATTGAACTCTAAATTTTCTGGATTATTGAGCTGGATTGCAGTACCTGTAGTATTTGTACATATGATATATACTTTTGAAGTCAAAAGCCTAAATTTAAACTGCAGGGCTACATATCAGTAACTGCACTCCCTTGGATTCATTTTCATAATTATATCTGAAATCAATGAAATTTTTTTTTTATTATTTTCAAGGATATGTGTTGTAAAATAAATGTATATCATGTAGGGAATTATCCATAGACATTACATTACAATGAAAAGTTTAAGAAAAATATCAAATAACATTTGAAGATAATGATCGAACTCGAAATGTGTTAACATTGTAGTTGTCTGGGACAAGGATTCTCTTATCTATACATATCATATTGACTAGAACTAGAATGATGTTTAAGAAAGGAATTACTACTGTAGATCACTAAATTTTTGCAACACCTTATTTTTGCAACATTGTTGTTTGGTATTTAAAAGTGGAACAAAATTTTCACAAATTCTGGTTATTGCTCTATGTAATCTTTATTAGTAAAATTATAGGTGAGAATTAATTTTAACAATCGGACGGTCTCATTTAATTTTGCGAAAATAAAGTTCTCGCAAATAAAAAGTGATTTACAGTAAGTGCATGTAGCCTAAATCAATAAGCTTTTTGTAAAAATTTAAACCAATCCTCACCCTTTAGGTTTTTTGTTTACTGTGTTTGAAACTTTGAATTCATGCTTTATTGTATATAACAGGAAGTTTTTGCATTTTTTTAAAATAGGGAAGTACTGCCTCAAATATGTAAAATTCACAATACAGTTCCCAAATTCACCGTCTTGAATTATAGATCACTTACAGTAATATGTATCGAGTATTTACATGTATTTGAAATTCAAATATGTCTTGAAACAAGTTTAACTTTTTATAGGAGCTATATTGAAATGATTTAAGAATTTAATATTATCTTTCATTTCAAAATAATTTTTGCAATTTTTAGGAAAGACTCACAAGTTTTGGGTACAACTTACAAGAAAGGAATTCCAATAGAGGTTATCCCTATGTCATACAAACCAGTACAGATCAAAATACAGGAGCTGTTCGGGGGTGAAGTGATGCTAAGGATGGCCCAACAGAAAGCAGTGTGTAGAACTCTAATCACCAGATAACTTGTATAATAAGCATTCTGCATGAGCATGTGTACATTTTTAGGTCACCTGATGCTATCCATTTTCATCTGTCAGTGTGCATCGTGCGTTAACATTTGAACATTTTCAGCTTCTTCTCTGGAACAGCTGAACCAATTTCCACTAATTTTGACAAATGGCATCTATGGGTGAAGAGATACAAAAAATTTTGAATTTCATGGTCCCTGCCCCCATGGGGCCATAGAAGTGGGGCTAAAACCATCAAAATTAATGCAATCTTTAAAGATCTTCTTTACTCCTGGACATCAAGCTGTCAGACTGTTGGCATGATTGTAATAAGCATTGAGCCTTCCAAATTGGCAAAATTGTGAAATTCATGGTCCCAGGGTGAGAGGTTCTGGAGTTAGGGCGGGGCTGTAATAATCATATAGTGGAAATACATAAAATCTTTAAAAATCTTCTCTTCTCTTGTATATTTAGCAGATAAACTAGATACATGGTAATGATGAGCAAGGATGCCTCTTCCAGAATTGATATCTGATGATTGTATTTCTCTTGCTTTGGGGCAACATGTCTTTATCTCTCAGTTTATTTTGCTTTATTTAGACTTCTATTGATCCTTTGCAGTGTTGTACTATACTCAGGTGACAGATAAGGCGCTTCGGCCTCTGTTAACTCACCTGAGCCATAATTTCTGATCACCAGTTTAGCAACCATTTGTCTGTCTGTCTGTAAACTTTACATATTTTCAACTTCTTTTCAAGAACTACTGGGCCAGTTTTAACTAAAATTGGCTTGAAGCATCCTTGGGTAAAGGAGATTTCAGAATTAATGAGGGCCAAGCCCGTTTTCAGAGGGAGATAATTAAGAAAAGACAAAAATAGGCTGGGATCATTTCTCATGGGGTGGGGTCTCTCATTTCAGGATTTTTGATATTTTCACTTATGCTTTGCACTTGTCAAAATATCAAAAAATCCTGTCCCACTTGTGAAATGAGAAGATGGGTAAACAAGGCGGGCGAAGTGCCTATAGTGTGACAAACATGAAGTGAAAAATAAAATCTCAATTATATCAAAATTTTCTTTGATATTTCATCTAAAATTAAAGTATACTCTATGTAAAATCTCTACAATTTACAAAAATCTCGCAAAGTCTGAAATTATTTGCCTACGAAGTAGCATACACACACTAAAGAGGACAAAAAGGATCATTTTCTATTACTTAAACGAAATTTTTCGATATGAGTGGGACTTCGCTCCATTTTTTAGCTCACCTGAGCTGAAAGCTCAAGTGAGCTTTTCTGATCACCCGTCGTCCGTCCGTCTGTAAACTTTTAACATTTTCAACTTCTTCTCAAGAACCACTGGGCCAATTTTAACCAAATTTGGTACAAAGCATCCTTGGGTGAAGGGGAATTTAAATTGTTAAAATGAAGGGCCAAGTCCCCTTCAAAGGGGAGATAATCAAGAAAATACAAAAATTGGGTGGGGTCATTAAAAAATCTTCTTCTCAAGAACCACTGGGCCAGAAAAGCTGAAACTTATGTGGAAGCATCCTGGGGTATTGTAGATTCTAAATTGTTCAAATCATGACCCCCGAGGGTAGTGCGGGGCCACAATAGGGAGTCCAAGTTTTACATTGAAATATGTAGTAAAAATCTTTAAAAATCTTCTTCTCAAGAACCACTGGGCCAGAAAAGCTGAAACTTATGTGGAAGCATTCTGGGGTAGTGCAGATTCTAAATTGTTCAAATCATGACCCCCGGGGGTAGGGCGGGACACAATAGGGAATCCAAGTTTTACATTGAAATATGCAGAAAAAATCTTTAAATTTCTTCTTCTCAAGAACCACTGGGCCAGAAAGGCTGAAACTTATAAGGAAGCATCCTGGGGTTGTTTGGATTCTAATTGTTCAAATCATGACCCCTGGGGTAGGGCTAGGCCACAATAAGTACTACAAGGGGGGGGGGGGGAGAAATCAGGTGAAAAACAGCAAGGCCAAAGTTACTCAGGTGAGTGTTGTGGCCCATGGGCCTCTTGTTTGAAAGTTAATCCTAAAAATTTGCATAAAGTCCATTAAGTCAAGGGTCATATCACAAACATGTTTTAAATGCCACTATTCATCAGGAGCTGTGCAGCCTAGTGGTTAGCGTGTTAGTCTCAAAGCAATATGATACTCTAGATTTTTATTGTTAGGGGTTCGAATCCCACGAATACCATTTTATTTTTTTTTAATAAAAGAATAATTTTTTCCACGATATTTTTTCCTCAGAAAAGTTTTGCTGATCATAATTTCATAAATTTCAATAATGAGAACTTTACTTTAAATACTTAATTCACAAATTGAACATGATTTTTTTAATATCTAAAGCTATAGGCATTCTGTGCACCTTGTTCATCCATCTTCTTCCATATCCAAGTAGAAACGTTGGATATACTTCATAAATTGTTTAAATCTAAGCCACTGGGAGTAAAGTACGAGGGGCCACAACATGGTTTCAAATTCTTTCAAAATAATCCAAAAAAATACAACCAGCTTATAAGCGAACCGACTTATAGGCGAGAATATATGGTATATTAAGGAAAAAGTCTTCTCAACAACATCAATGCCATGTTAAGTCATATTGATACTGAAGTGTCCTTGTGTATGGATTCAGGTTCTGTTAAGTTGTGATCCTTGGGGCTAGGATGGAGCCAAAGTATGGGTCAAAACTTTTCCTGTGACTTGAAAAGGGGAAAAAAATCTTTTATCGATACAACTCATCATCTGGAGAACAAAAGGTCCAAAAAGTGAGCATTGTGACCCATTGGACTCATGTGTTTCTTTTCAATTTGTTCTGCACTTTTGGACTTTTGTGAGTTAATATGTACAGATTTATTGATTACAGGGCCCAGTGGTAACAGACAATGGTAACTTTGTGTTAGACTGGAAGTTCTCCAAGGCATGTGATGACTGGGACAAATGTAATACTACTATTAAAATGATTCCAGGTACTTAGATTAATCAATGTTACAATATGATGGTCTGTATATATTGTTATAAAGTATATCTACGCATCATATTAGCATCCTCATAAGGTATAGAAACAAATTTGTTTGAATATTTCTCTTTTTAATATAAGGAGAAAAATCTTCCTTTCTTTGAATTTCAAGACTCTAATTTGCCAGTTCTGCAGTTTCTGCAAGATTAGTCATGAACACAGAATATTGACAATTAAGATAATTTGCAAACACAACATTTATGACTACAGGATTGAACTGTACAAGTGAATTTTTTTGTTTTTGTTGTAGGTGTGGTTGAAACTGGTCTTTTCATCAATATGGCCAAGGTGGCTTATTTTGGAACAGCAGATGGAAAAGTAACCAAGAGATCTGTGTGATATGCACAACTTCTACACAAAAAAAAACTTATATTGCTTACGTATATCTAGGAATGTGTGAAGAAAAGTAAAGGCAGTTCATTCCTTTTTTTTCGTATACTTTATTTACGGTAGCTACGCATGATTTCAAGAAATATGACATAACTTGAAGTGTTGACTGATTACATATATGTTTGAATAAGATTTATGTAAAGTTGAATATAAACTTTAATTCTTGAAAACTACTACACAGAATCTCATGACAAACCTTTAGTAGACTATATATGCTTGCTGATTTGCCCTTCATGTATAATTTACATATGCATTGAATTAAATGTTGTCAAATTATCATTAACATCTTGTTCTATGTAAATCTGGGCAATTACTGTTAGTGCTACATTCACAGATAAATTTAAGAATGTAGTATCATTTTCATATGATTATTGATTGATTATTCAAGAGGTATATATCCTCATATGTTTCAAAGCATTTGTATTGAAAATAAAAATATAATTGTATGCACTTGTATGCTTTCAAAGTAACTGTGATTGAATTAATGTATGTGTTTAAGTTTTATACTTTCAAAATACATGTGTTAAATGTGTGTTAATTAAGTTTCAACCTAATGCTTCTGTGAAACTGTATTCAGATACAGTTTTATTACATATGCTTCAGTAGGGGAAATTCCAGAAAATATTTAAAAATAACCTCCATACAAAAGTTGACTGATATATTTATCAAAATACATGGTTGAGTTTCCAAAGTAATATTATCTTTAGTCTTCTACCTGTTAAACTTAAAAAAAACCCAGATATATATACTATGTTTATAATACAGTGTATTGAGGTTTTGACCTAATAATGAGGTATATATTAATACTGAATAAATTCTGCAAACATTAGATGATTGCATTCAGATTCTACACTTTTCCAGTTTTAAGCTGTACTGATTTTGTATCAGAAGAGCTAAAAGAAAGTCAGGCCACAGTTTTACATCACTCCTTCTACAGGTTTACATAACTTCTGCTACAGTTTTACGTAACTCCTGCTACAGTTTTACATAACTCTTGTTACAGTTTTACATAACTCCTGCTACAGTTTTACATAACTCCTGCTACAGTTTTACATTACTCCTGCTACAGTTTTACATTACTGCTGCTACACTCTTACATTACTCCTGCTACACTCTTACATTACTCCTGCTACAGTTTTACATAACTCCTGCTACAGTTTTACATTACTGCTGCTACAGTTTTACATAACTCCTGCTACAGTTTTGCATTATTTTACAACAGTTTTACATTATTCCTCCTACAGATTTACACCACTCCTGCTACAGTTTTACATTGCTCCTGCTACAGTTTTGCATTATTTTACAACAGTTTTACATTATTCCTCCTACAGATTTACACCACTCCTGCTACAGTTTTACATAACTCCTGCTACAGTTTTACATAACTCCTGCTACAGTTTTACATTACTCCTGCTACAGTTTTACATAACTCCTGCTACAGTTTTACATAACTCCTGCTACAGTTTTACATTACTGCTGCTACAGTTTTACATAACTCCTGCTACAGTTTTGCATTATTTTACAACAGTTTTACATTATTCCTCCTACAGATTTACACCACTCCTGCTACAGTTTTACATAACTCCTGCTACAGTTTTACATAACTCCTGCTACAGTTTTGCATTATTTTACAACAGTTTTACATTATTCCTCCTACAGATTTACACCACTCCTGCTACAGTTTTACATAACTCCTGCTACAGTTTTACATAACTCCTGATACAGTTTTGCATTATTTTACAACAGTTTTACATTATTCCTCCTACAGATTTACACCACTCCTGCTACAGTTTTACATTACTCCTGCTACAGTTTTACATAACTCCTGATACAGTTTTACATTGCTCCTGCTAGTTTTACACTTTTCCTCCTATAGTTTTACTGGTATGTGAGGAAAGGTCTTGTCACAAGTAATATACATATGTGAAATATGAAAGCTTTAGGACCAATTTTTTATAGGTTAAAGTTTTTCAAAAGTTTTTCATATTTCACAATTTGAAGTTATGGCCAATGTTAAAATTTTAATGATTTTAGAATTTCCTTTTCAAAAACAGCAGGGCCATAATTACTGATAAAAATATGCAAGCATTCAAAGGTAGTGCAGATTCAATTTAACCCCCCCCCCCCCCCCCCCCCGGAAGGTGGAGGCATAATATATAAAGAGAAATGAGAAGAATTTCCAAGGATTTCATAATTTTCAAAACTTTTTTTAAAAAATAGAAGGTTCACACTAAATCGACTTCATATGGAAATTATTTTTCATAGAAATCTAAGTATGACAAAGACTGATAATGCAACTAATCGGGAATTCTTCAGTTAGTTTGGTTTTAACACTTGTCTTGAAAGTTCATTTCCGGAATCTTTTGCAAGGCGGAAAACTCTTTCCTTTAAACAGAAGTGTCTGTCTCGTGTTTTGCACAACCTGTGGTAAGTTTTTAATTTATTTTGCTCACAATTTGGAAAAACATATTGCTCAAAACTAATGCTAATTTATTTGATGAGTAACAAAATTTGCGGTTCGAGTTTACTCGGGCTTCCCTCCCTTTCCAAATCTGGTTGAAAATTGCAAATGGCGTCTCTATTTCATGGACACTGAATGAGAGGTTTTATGTCTCGATTTTTCAATTGTATATTTAAGTTCATTTTGAATGCTGCTCAGTTATGACTTTTATTTACAAGATTGATTTGAAACAGCTCGAGTTTACTCGGGCACCAGAGCATGTTAATGTAACCATTATTTCAAAATGGCGCTTGTCCAGGAAATATTGAACAAAGTTTCAAGGCATGTCAAAAAACAAACTTTTTTTGAGCATCTTTAGTTTATACCAGCGTAATGAGATACATGAACTTAATCCGAGATTCCTCTGTCTTTAGTGTCTTGTAGATATTGCATACTGTGCCGGAATCATTAAATGTGTGAAATCATTATTAATGATACAAATAATTCTAATATTGAAGATGTGTAATTCCATATGAAAACAATATCTTATGTGAAACATTGTATAAATCTGTAACAACTATTAAGGATAGTTTGGTCGGATATTTTGGACATGTTATTAGGCATCCTCTTTTAAAATTTTAATTCAGTAGGACATTAACATATAGTAGGTTATATCTGTTGAGAACTTTGCCTCTGTTTAAATGCAAGGGGGGGGAGGGGGGGGGGGCTCAAGTATCGGAAATAGTCATTCATACGTTTATTATCTTAGGTATTATTTTAAAGTTAAACTCCTTAGAGTCCTTTGCCAGTTTCCACTTTGTTAGTATATATCTATTATTGATGCTAGTGAAGCAATAAACAAACAATAACTAATTTTTTACTGAACAGATTCAGGAAAGCATTTGCCTAATATACAATCATAATGTTTTAATTGCTTGGCAAAAGTAGCAGAAACTAATTCTCATGTACCCTGTTAAACAAGGCAGACAAAATTTCTGCATATAATAAACACTTCTTCCAAAATTATGAAATACTACACACTTAAATTCCTAATTGCAATTTTGCAGAACATATTCATACTTTTGTTGCTGTGTGTGTGTGTTTATTATTTTTTTTTTATACCGAGAAGTCAAGTATTCTAAGGGTAAAGTAAATGCTTTTCTTCCCTGAAATATATGTCAACATTTTTTTTTTTTTTCAAAATGAAAATTGTTCATTGGCTTTTATTACAGTGAAATACCAAGATGGATAACAATACAAAACCATATGTTCCACCTAGTAAGGAGAAAGAACCAGAGGTAGTTCAGGTAGGTGAAGACCAATTTTGACCTGTGGCTTTACATGCAGGGCAATAAAATGACAATGTAATACAATGTACACAGTATGTCTGACAGTGAAACCATTAGGGCGAGCAGTTTCATTTTTGTAACAATTATTCTACAACTCTATACACCTCTCAAATGTTGTTTTGTATTCGGCTTATGACTATACAAATTTCAGAAAATTCCTTTAGCGTGTATTTAATGTGTATCATAATTAAGTTCATCCCTTTTATTTTAAACTATATTTATGACAACTAAGCTTTGCACATTCCCCCTGCATCAGGATTGAGATTCCGAACTTCTCAGATATTTCCGACAAAATCGAAAATACCTGAGTCATTTAAGTGACGAAAATATGATTTCAGATACAAAGTCATGTATAGTGGGAATCCAAACGATAGTTCTGTGGCATGGAAATTGAATTAAATCATTGTAATTTTCTGTAAGTAAGTTGTTGCTATGCTTAATCCACCATGTTGCTATGCACTACAAAGGATTATTGGGAGTTTAGATTTTTACATGGACTCATAAAAATTTATTTGAACAATGTGTGGATTTCAACATGAATTTCTTCCATTTGTACACATCTATAGAGCTCGCTCGCTCGCTCACTGCTCACTATGCTCACTATTACATGTATTTAAAATATTTTAGTTTTAATTACAATTAAATTTTTAGACAAAGAAAAACATTTCTATTAATTTCATCATTTTGGAATTCTTAGGTCACGAGTCCCTCAGATGACCTATTGCTGCCTGTTTTCATCCATTGTCATGGGTCATACCATGTGCGTTATCATTTGAACATTTTCAGCTTCTTCTCTGGACCTATTTCAACCAATTTTGGCATTAAGCATGGATGGCTATGGGTGAAGGGAAACAAAAATTGTAAAATTCATGGCCTCTACCCCCCGGGGGCCTGAGGGGTGGGGCTAAAAACAACAAAATTAATGCAATCTTTAAAAATCTTCTCTACTCCTGGATATCAAGCAGTCAAACTGTTGGCATGACAGGGTTCGACACTAACATTAGTCCGTTAGTCTCAGACTAATACATTTTAGTTCGGACTAATAAAATCTAGGGCTAATTAGTCCAAACGGACCAATAAAAAATTCTGGAAAACAATATGATGTCCGATGTTCGACGTCTTTTAGTGGAAAACCCTGCATGTATTTTTATTTAACTTTGGGTTAACTGGCGGGTACTTAGCTAATTCCGAGTCAAGTTGGCGCTAAATTTTGCTTTTGATTTAATTTTCTCTGTAAAAAACTTCACGTATTACAAAAATACATTGTCATGTTTACTTTTTAAGTTAGTTGTTACAAAACATTGATGTTTTCTTTTTTAACGGACTCATAAAATCGTGTGCGGACTAGTAAAAGTAAAGAAGCATTAGTCTGGGCGGACTAAAGCCTAAAAATGTTAGTGTCGAACCCTGCGTGATTGTAATAAGCATTGAGTCCTCTACCAAAATTGTGAAATTCATTCCCCCAGGGTCAGGGGCTCTGGTGCTAGAGCGGGGCTTTATAGATCGTATAGTGAAAGGTGCATTATTTCTTTGAAAAAATCTTCTCTGCTCCTGGGTATTAAACAAACAAAGTACTTAATATAGCAAAATGGCTATTTGAGAACAAATCGCGAGAACAATAATTCGCAAGTGGACTGTTGATCAAGAGATTTTATATGAAATTCAGTACCATAAAAATAAAAGCGAGTAAATTTATTTCCCGAGTGGTGTTTCTCGCAAAATTACATGATAATTAATTGCTCACGTATATTTAGGAATCTACAGTAGGTAGACTCATAAATAATAGATAAATAAAAATGAGACAAAAATAACTTGTCTTATTAAATGCTCTTCAAGGAGTGATAAATAGTCGACAGATTAGAACTTACAGTTACTTTTATAAGTTGTTGCTGAATACTAGACTAATTATTCCTTTGATCCTGATTATCCTATTTCTCTTGCTTTTGGGCACCTAAGCTTCATTTATCAGTTTATTTTATACTCTATTGAGCCTCTAAATTGTTGTATTATACTCAGGTGGCCATTATAAAGGCCCTTGTCTATTAGTCTGATCTTATTTTCCAGACTGTAAAAGTACCAGCCCAGAGTCGTTTGAAGGAGGAACTTCTCAAGCCTATGCCCAGTAAAAATGTCAACACCAAGCCACCCACACAGATTATCATCCCCGCCAAGTACTCAGGCAACAAACAGTCCACCACACGTTTGGCAGCAGGCACCAAAATCATCCTCCCAAGTAACATGGGAAGCTCTGGTCAACCATTGCAGTTCATTGTCACTTCCCCACAATCCTCTTCACCCAAGGTAACACTACAAGGAGGTCAAGGTCAGTCTCTCATAACAGGTGCCAGGTCCATACTGCCCAATCTAGCTGGAAGACCTTGCAAGATTATTGTTAGTTCTCCACCATCAGCAGTTACCACAGAGCCAATCTATCTTCCACAGACCTCTGCTAACACAGTTCAGTATATCGTCACTTCTCCTGAAGCCAGTGAGCTTAAAACCATTTCCTACGAAGAGGACAACAACAAGTACATCATTGAAAACACAGAAAATGAAAGTACAGAGGAGATTGTCGTAGAAACACAGAATGTGTTTGCTCCTCAGGAAATCACAGTGGATGTCCCCACTGATACAGATGCTGCTAATTCTTTGATTGCCATTGCAGAGCAGCTCCAACAACCCAAAGTGGAGAATTTTGTATATATGGTTGATGATAAGGGGGACAACTCTGGCATTATAGCTGAGCATGCAGTGGTTGGGGATGATATTGAACCTGCTGAAGTGGAGGTGGAGAGTGTGGAAGTAGAGGAAATTAAGATTTCTCCTCGCAGAGGAAAAAGTAAGTGTACATGAATTTGAAGCTCAAGTAATTATTTTGATTTTGGAACATGCTTTGAAATTTTTTAGAAATTATTTATCACTTCTTTTATAATTTCACACAGTGTTAAAACATACATATAACTGAAATATCAAAGTTTCAGTAACTATGTATAGAAGTCTGTTTTGAATTTTACAGAGGCACAACAGAAAAGACAAACCAAAACAACTGAGTTCAGTGATGATGCCAGTGATCTGAGTGACACTGATATGAAAGCAAGAATCTCCAATATTGGCCTTGACCATTTATCCTACCTTTCCTCCAGATCAATGGTTTCATCAAGACCCATGGTCTATTCCCCACAAGCCAAGGAGAGGCAAGCAGCATTCACCTCAGATGAAAGCACAGACTCAGATTTCTCAGATGATGATGATGACGAAGATTACAAAACCCGACGAGTCAAAAAACCAACATACAAAGCCAAAAAACCCAGTAAAAATGTTGTATCAAAAACTGTCAACTCCTGGATGAAGAAATTTGTTCCCAAAGTCTCTCCTCACAGTGATGCTGAGGAAAACAGTGATGACAATGAGGATTATAGTGACATAGGCGTCCCAAAGGAGCACTTGATGGCCTGCTGTGAGAGATTCCGCAAGGTGACAGAAAGCGTGGAGGAACTGATGAGGAATAATGCCAAGACTAGGAGCTTCAGAGAAACAACAAATCCCAGTGGAGACAGAGTATTTGAATGTTCCACTTGTCACAAGCTCTTCACCATGAGAGACACCATAAAAAAGCATCTGATCCGTCACACAGGTTAATTGGACATTCTTTTCTAATATATACATATGTATTATGCAATGACAAATCATAAGTGAACATAGGATGATTTATTTCAGTGAATATACATTTTTTTAAGCTATTTTATAAAAATCTTTAATTGAAATTCATTGTGAAAAGCAAGTTTATGGCTTTATTAATGGTGATGTAACAATCATACATTTTCCATGGAATTTCTTTTTTCTAGGACAAAGATGTTTCCAGTGTACTAAATGCAACAAGAATTTCATGTTCAAGTATGGTCTGAAATGTCACATGATGACCCACACTGGGAAAATGCCTTGTGTTTGCTCGATTTGTGGAGGCAAGTTCATCGAGAACAGCAAGTTAGAGGTTCATATGAGGAGGGTTCATACCTCAGAACGTCCATTTGAGTGCGCTCAGTGTGACAAGAAGTACCCAACAAAGAGTGAGCTCAACAACCACATACTTAATGTGCACACAACCATCAAGCCTTATCCCTGCCCATTTTGTGACAAGAAGTTTTCCCATGATGCAAAGCTCAAGAGACATTTAACAGTTCATACTGGGGAACGTCCATTCAAATGCTCATTCTGTGAAAAGGCATTCACACAGAGGGCTCATTTACAGATTCATGAAAGATGTCATACTGGCATCTTCCCTTTTGCTTGCAATGGATGTGACAGAAGGTTTTATGACAAAGTTTCCAGAGACAGACATTACAGAAGGATACATGAGGGTGTAGAGAAGCCATATTGCAAGAAGTGTAACAGCTACTTCAAGACAAAGACCAGTCTTACGCGTCACAAGAGGGAATGTGGGAGGATCAAGCAGGAGCCACCAGTAGTCGTCAGCGATGAGGATGATGTAATGGAAGATGAGGTAGAAGAAGATATTCCAGAACCAAGGAAGAGAGCAACTAGGGTCACAAGGTCACCAAGATCAAAGAAACTTACCATTAAAATCAAAAAGGTTGGAGGAAGGAAAACTGCCAAAGGAAAGAAATCTGACAAAAAGGTCAGCGTAGAAGCCATGGAAAAATCTGGAAAATTGTTTATCAGAAGTGAGAGAATCAAAGCTAGATCAGAAGCTGCCAAACGTAGAAATCAGCAAGCGGAGCCTGCTGCCCCTCCTTCTAAGAGAAAAAGAAGGTCACGATAAGGTGAACTCCCATAATTGTAACTCAGGATAAATAGTTGAAGATAATCTACTTGTTTTTTTTTAATCAGTGTTTGACTTGTTAAAATGAATTTTTAAGGCTTTTATGACATTTTATACAAAGAATTAGTTTGTCCATTTTGTAAAAAGAATGTACAATTATGTTAATATATTTAGTCAATGTAGTTTTCCCTGCATAATGCTGTAGCTATTTACTTAGTAATAATAGCAAATGTAACCAATGATAATATATATAGAAACGCTGTTCTAGTGGTTTTAGAATTTTGTTATTCATGTTTGATATTATTGTTTATTACTATACAGTTAAAAGTTTAGAAATTCAAATCTTGTTTACATGTGCATGTATATTATTTTAATATGAGTTAAATTGAAATTTGAACTTTTGTGGTATCTCGTTCATAGAAGTACAATATTCCTCTTGATATCTGACTTTTTTTTAAGTGAACAACATTTAATTAATTTAAAAACAAAATTTCTGCATTTTTACCACAGCTAGAAAATATTGTGAATTTGTCATCATTGTTTATTAGGATACAATGTTTTATGTTTGTAGGTGAGGAAAGTGTAGATCATGCATGCTAATAATTACAATTATTTTATCATATTTATCTGAACCAGCCTTCTCCTTTGTAAAAGAATTCATTACCTTTCAGGTGAAACATGGCTTGTGGATTTTCTTTGTGACATTCATTTTCTCTATAATAGAATCTTAACTTTATAACAAAAAAACAGCATTAATGAAAGCATCTAGCATGTTCAAGAAAGTAAATGCTTCTTGGGATTCATTTTTTGTGATGAGTTCTCCAAAGTAGGCATCAGTTTATTTATATTTAATTGTTTGTAAACTTGTGAGTGTAAATATCATGCATTGTACTGTTTGTATTGTATTCTGTTAAATGTGAATAAAATTGAAATAAAATTTTATTAATTTAATTAAATCCTTTTTCCTCTCCAGACCTAGATCAAAAAGTGTATCTACTGGTTTTGTCTGTCTGTAAAAAAAATTTACAAAATACCACACCTACAGGATTTGTCGGATTTGAAACTTAGGTATACATGTAGACTACTTAAAAAACATATTTCTTTACACCCGCTTTTATATACTTTTGATGAACAACATGCTGAAAATAGAAGTTTCAAGACCCACAGCTCTAACAGTCTTTGAATAGTGCAAAACAGGGCAATTGTAGGCGAAACAATTACTGTGCATCAATTACTGTGAAATATATGGCTTCTGTAACTCAGAACAATCTGTTTTTCAAAACAGTTTTTGTTTGACCTGAGTTAAGCATGCATATAAAGTTTAGTCTGATTTTTATGTACCTAGATATTCAGATTCATTATTTGAATATGGTTTAAATTAAAGTGGAACATGCCCAACAAAACTGTTCAACTTTTAATGTGCATCATTTGTGTTGTGAAATGCATTGATTTGTTACTTGGAAACTGTTAATTTCAAGCATATGGTTGAGTTTTTCTTTGACCTGAGTATTTAATTACATGTAGCATACACACCAGAGCAATTATTAATATGTGCATAGACATTTGCATTCGATATGTAAATATTTCAAGTGCCCAACAAAACTGCTCAATTTCTTTAAAAAAAAAAAGAGAGAGAGAAATGTACCATCATGAATACAGGCCTTTATTGGGAATTGGGATGTCCCTCTTTCCTTCCCCCAATTATCCAATATTTGTATATATCTAATAAATACAATGCTTGCATCTGCAAGGGTGGATCTAGAGGGTCCGGAACCCTCTCCCCCCCCCCCTTCTGGATTTTCAGAGTTATTTGATTTCTGTGTAAAAGAAGGGGAACAAATGACTTTGGAACCGTACCCATCTCAAGACGGTAAGGAGAGTCACCCCCTCCACGTGGGTTTGTGTCAAGTTCTTTTTTCTTTTCTTTTTTCTTTTTTTTTTGTCAAAAATTTTCCGAATCTGACATTTGTTACAACTTATGTGGACCCTCCAAGGAAAAAAAAAACCTGTATCCGCTCCCTCAGATTACATACTATGACTTTTTTGGCTTGTCAAGAACCCCCCCCCCCTCCCCAATCTGAAATGGCTTCCTGTTGCCCAAATTAAACTAAATTTAACGTTTAAATGTACATTACATCATTCTTTGTCCTTCATAATCTGCTTTATTAAAGAAAAAAACTTTTTGATATTTCTTTAAAAAAGGATACTTGAGGGGAAAAAAATTAATAGTTGTGCTCATTTCGGATAGCGTCAGAAGCTTTCATGCAATGTTCGTGTTTACATTGACCTATGACGTCAGGGACGATGAAGGGGCTTTCCCACTTCGAAAAATACATTCGTTGCGTATTATAATAGCATAAGTGTTGAAGAAACTTCCGTAACTTTATGATCAAGAATTTAAGATGGCAAAAAGTTGTTGAAATGGGTACAGACGGTCTAATGTACAAAAGAGAGGCCTCAGAGCAAGATGATACCGTGGAAGACCTTGTAAATATAACAAAAGGTAAGATAGTGAAGCTGTCGTGAACCTGTTGTCGTCATGTGTATATAGCGTGTCATGAGTGATGGACATACAGAATTTGGATATATGACAATGTTTAATTTATTGACTCTTCGTAGTCTATTCGGAAAATGTACTGTTACTTCTTCCCGACCTGTGTGAGGGTGCAGGGTGGGGCTTCAATGTCAAGGATGTGCACGTTCTGTGGGCCTATAGTATTATATGAACCCTATACATATTTATAAACAAATATGCAAATAGCTTTTGTCAAGATTGGAGGAAGGGGAAATGATATAACATTCGGTAATTTCTGTGATACAATATCAAAGATAAAAACTATAAACACTTGCAAACTATACATATCTGTAGGTACATCGTATTGTATCATATTATGATTATGAGAGATAAGGTGTCATTTAGAGTGTACATGATTGTATGTCTTAATTAATTAATTAATGTAACATTAAATGAATCAATATTTCATTGAAATAAGTAATCAGATTCCACCATTTTTTTGTTGTTTTTTTTTCATCATGGGCTGTATATTTATTTCAAAAATTTGCATACATGAGGTATTTACTGTATATTTAATTACATTAGATAGAATTTCTCATATTTATTTAAGACCACATAGTTCCAACTAAAAAAATATTTATGTTTCAACTTTTGTAAGAAAACGGAAAACCAGTAGTTAGAATTTAATTAATTGACTGTATGGGGCCACCATGCACCAGCAATTGATTACGCGGGGAATCCATCCACCCACCTTTTCCTTACTTCTAGATGACGCACGCTTCATGTATAATGTTTATTTACAAGTTTCTCAACTACATACATGTTTCTACTATATATTTCTTTAAAAGTATTTTTGATGAAATAACAGGAAAAAGTGTAAGTTAATTCAACCATTGGTTTAATTTATTTCATTCTTTGTTAAATCATTATGTGTGAAAACATCATTTTTTAAATGACATTATGAAAAAAAATTAGAATTATAACCCGCAATAGAGTAGGCTAGCATTTAATACCAGAAACAGACTAAGTATATAAAAAAAATATATAGATTTGCCAATTATGATATAAGTATATAAAATGACGTATTTTAAATATGTACATTATGTACTTACAAATGTGTTAATTTAAGAATTCAGGAGTGCTGTACATTTGTGATATGTACATAAAGAATTAAATCTTTCTTTTCTAGCTCACTAACTGTGTGGGCATTTCCAATAATTTATTTATATCATAATGGAATTCCCATTCTACTGCTAGCTGCTACACCTGTATTTAAAAGATCTGATATTTAAAGAGCAACATTACACTTATGCTGATATCAAACATTGGCTGTATACATACTATATACATTTTTGCTTGAAAGTTGCACTTAAATAACCATTTGATATTTAAAAGAAATTAAAAATCTATGGATTTCAATCCTGTTAACATTGGTAAAATCTATAGGCAAAATCATCAAATGTAATAGATTTTTTTTTTAAAGTTTCTAGTATTTTAAATATATTTGTTTGAAATATGAAAATTTTCGATTGGAAGAGAAAAATTACTGTAAAAAAAATTCATAGCAGTATCGATCATGATATTTATTTAGGTACAGCAAGGAGGCTATCAATACTGATATTAAAAAAAGATTAAAGGGGGGGGGGGGGGGGCGTTGAATTTTAATTATCATTTTTAAAAAAAAAAAGAAGTAATTTTAGAATTAAAGTACATGTGTGTATAGGTTTCAACTTTGTTTTAGGATTGACACTGTCTAAAAAGAAACAAGAAGACAAACCAACAGAGGATCTTATTGATCTATTAGACAGTCTTAAACTTAATGTTACCAACAAACGAGGGGGAAGCAAGTCCAACAAAAATCACAAGAACAGTGCTGTAAGTCTAAGGGGAAAGCTTTTTTTATTGTGTTTAACATGCAGTTTTAATTGAGTGTTTTTCTTTTTTTTCTTGTTTTTCTTCTTTAATTGTCTTCTCCTTTTTTTTTTTTTTTTTTTTTTTTTTTTTTTTAAAAAAAGATATATATATGATAGTGTATTTAAAAGGTAATTTAAATTGCATCAGGAAATTGAACCCTATATTATACATGGCTTTTCCTGTATAAATTATTAGAACTGGTTCCTGATTGTTTTGTATCACCTGTAGCATTGCTTAACCTATATTAGTTGTTTTGATGAAGATAATTGTGAGATCTTTTAAATAAAATAAAAAAAATGCACAAGCACAGATGAAGTATTTTCATTACATATTAGATTTTGTGTGTTTAAAGCAAAAATTAGCCTTTTGCATCAAAATTCCCAATGGTTTTGATTCAAGTGTTTGAAAATTATGAGAAAAGTGAAATCCAGTTTTAGGATGTATATAACCATTAAAATCAATTAAGTGCTTGTAATTTTAGATTCAAATATAGATAAACATTTATATTGATGTATATCAATGGTGACTACATATATATGTTCTAAATGAGTTAATTTTTATTTTTTTTTTTTTAATTATTGATCACTCCATTTTAAATTTGTACCATTATAATTCTGAATGATTTTTATAAAAGGTTTTCTTTGTCTTTTTGTAAGGAATTTCAAAAGAGGGGTCCGGGACAATTTACCCCCCTAGAAACTGGTTACTGGCCTCCCATAACTTCTGCCAAGAGAGAACCAGATTTTCTGTATGGAGGCAATGTCAACTCAGAGTATTCCTGGTCAGCTATATCAAAAGAGTACAACTATGCCCCTGGAGTGGACTCTAGCTGCACCATTTGGAATAATGCAGCTCAGAACTACAGTCTTATCAACCATCAAAATAAAACTGCCCAAAAGATAAAGGAACTATCAAATAAGTATCACACCGATCCTAACAGATGTCAAAGACCTGTCAAGGATTTAGATGAGCCAGATGGAATCACTGGTGAGTACAGTCTAATGATAGCTCTTCTTCAGAAATATATGAGAAGCATTTAGTACTATATGAGAGGTGGTAATTGCCTGGGGGTTCATTTTTTAGCTTGCCTTGATGAAAATGAGTTTAGCTGACACTATACCCCCAGCATCGCTGTCAATGTTAGCATAGGCTTGACATAGGCTTGCTTCAGATGGTGAATCTGACCTATGTTTTTTGGGTGAGTGAACAGGTTAAAGTTTTTGGAGCAAGTCCATTCCCTAGTACCTATTAGCTATTAGCTATACCTACCTGGACCAAACTTGCATGGATGATACATCCAGGGATATCTAGGGATGCACATTGCCAGACTTCCTCAGGATGCCAGATCTCACCTAGATTTTTCAGATGCATAACCAAGTTGTTTTTGGAGCAAATCCTAAACCAAATATGTAGCCCCATTTGACCAAGCTTGGACTATGCATATAGTGATGAACACTAACAGACTTGATTCAGAGTTTGGATCTGACCTACAAGTATTGGATGAGTGACCAGATGAAAGTCATTGGAGGAAGTCCATTCCTAAGTAACTGTATGCACTATGTCAACCAAACATGCATGGATGCTGCATCTAGGGATGTACACTACCAGACTTACTACAGATGCTTGATCTGACTGACAATTTCCGAATGATTGATTAGTAAAAAGTTTTGTAGCATCTCCATTCCCAAGAAACTATAAGTCCTATTCAGACCAAACTTGCATTAATGTTGCATCAAGGTAAGCACACTAGTTAGTTACTTAGTTTAAAATACAGTTTCCTGTAACATTACCAAAAATTCAAAGGTCAGTAGGTAGGGATTTTTTTTTGCTAATGTTGGATCTCGCTCATATAAGTATGTATAATATTTAATATTAATACACTAAAGGAAAATATTTTTTGGACATTAAGAAAACTATAGTGTGAAATAATAAAGTATCCAGCTAAAAATATTCATTTTTGCTTTCTGTAAATGTGTAAATACCATTAAACATTAAAGTGAGTCAAATATCCAAGGACTGAAATAACCATGTGTGCATTGGTAACATTTACAGAAGTCACCCAATATGGCTGCCTAGCGGCTAAAAATGAACTCAAAGAAAAATGTTAAATGATTATTAGTCTTCATTAAAGGTGAATATAGTAGACTGTCTTATAACTCAAGTAAAGCCACAATTGACATTTTTGGTAAAAGTTGCATCAGCTGCATGATTGATCAAGAGAGAAAAAAAAATTCTGCCAGACTGTAATTTTAATGGGTCAGTTGGGTTACAGGAAACAAGCTTAATTTTTGTTAGGCCTAATATGGGGTACAATTTTTTAAGTGAATATAACAATCTTTGGAGGAAAGCAAGACTATAAAGTTACTCAGGTGAGTGTAGTGGCCCATGGGCCTCTTCTTTGTCCTCTAACAATCAAATTGTAGTGTCATGTCTCACTAAGACATCATGTAATTGCAATAAGTAAAATATTTTGATGTTTTATTAGACTTTGGCATTGTTCATCATTCATAAAAATTACAATGAACAAAGCTGCAGATTGGCCAACTCCAACACAACCATCTGAGAAAAATACACGTAATATTTTTTCTTTTAAGTAACAACAGCTTAGGAGATGCACATCAAACTTTAGGAATAGAAAAATCATATCTTTGTATGAAGGTTGATATGATTTTTTTCCATGCACACTCATCTATTTATGATGAACAATTTTTGACAGGTGTATTGTGCAGTTGCTGTGCACTTTATTTAAGCTTACAGCTTCCCCAGTTCATATAACATTTTATTTAGAGCTTGATTATTAAATCACCTGAGTATTATCATATTTAACAACATTTGCTCTTCTCGGGAAATACATGAACCAGTAATTCAATGAAAAGAAGATGAGTAACACAATTTTATAAGGTTTGTAATATTTTTTATAAACAGATCAGGACTTGGAAACTGATGGCTGTGCTCCAACAATGACATTAGATAAGAGCAAACTGGAAGATATTCCAATAGACTGCCCCACATTGGAGTTGATTAACAATGTCATCAGCAGCCAAGAGAAAGTGTCATCACCATTATACATTGGAATGTCCTCCCCCTCATATCGAAGGACCTCCCCATTCTATGCAAGCAGCCCTTCTTCAGGATATTCAGGGTCTCCTCCCCCTCCCTATTCCAATGAGCCATCTCCATGTTACACCCCCTCCCCATCATACCCTGCTTTCTCCTCCCCTGCAATGTCTCAGATCAGTAAGTCACCACAGCATCTAGAATCTGTGAATTTGGACTTCCAAGACTTAGAGGAGATTAAGAAAGAAGATTTAGTTGGAACACGGAAGAAAACAGACAATTTTTTACAAAAGACTACAAAACGTCCCAGCAGTGCTGATGATGAGTCTAAACCCTCTCCCCCCAAACGAACAAATGTTGATGCAATGTATGATAAAGACCTAGATGAAGATAAGTGAGTATCTGTTTTAAGCATCCTCCATTTTAACAAATGCTGCATGTACAAGGGGGTAAAAATCAGTGTTAATTCACAGAAACCACAAAGAAGAACTTTGTTATTAGTTCTTTCCTGTAATGCCAATACTATAAAGGAATTTCATGTACATGCTACGTTTGGTTTTATTTTAAATTTCATTATTTTAAAACGACTGGTACTGCCTACTACTTGGAATTTTTTTGTAGTTGTCTCCCTTGTTCAATGTCACAGAGAGTCCAGAAATGTTACTTTTAAACTTTCCCTTGTCTATTTTATGTGCTCTTTTTTTTAAAGCATTCTTCACTCCATGATGATAGCTGGGTCACCAGTAGAATTGATTGAATATGTTCTCAATCTTCTGAGAGTGGATGGAGAAGATGTCCTCCAGAAGATCATAAATGACCAAAACAACATGCAAAGGGTACTTTTTCTATTTTACTGTTTTCAAATTCGAAGATACATATTATCAATGTTTAATTTTAAATGAATATGAAAAATGGTGCATCTCATGTAGAATTGTGTGTACAACTCAAAAATCAGCTCATTTTACTGGAAAATATTTATATGAGTAGTTTAGTCCTATCCTTGGGGTTTTATTGAAATAATTTTTATCCATTACATTACTTAAAGGAAATTAAAAGTAAAATGTTCAGATTTTGTCCAAGAGAATGTCTTAGATTATTGTATTTTAAGTTTGCACTTGTATTGAATTAAAAAAAAAAACATAGTTACCTATATACATGTATATATATGTGTACATCTATAAAAAATGTTATTTATTTTTATGCTAATTAAAAATTGTTCTATTTTTAGACCCCTTTATTTCTGGCTGTGTTTGAAGGAAGGGCTGAGGTGGTAAAACTATTATTAAAGTATGGGGCAGATCCTAACATCCAGGGAAAAGTTATTGTAAGAGTAGATCAGTATGAACTCCGAGCTCCTCTACACCTGGCAGCAGAAATGGGAGATGAGCATCTAGAAGTACTTGATGCTCTCATAGATTGTGAGGAAACTGATCTTGACATTCGCAGTTTAAGTGACAGTAAGTTTTTTTAAAGCTACAGCAGGAACTCTTGCATGCTTTCACACTTATAAATATACATATATTTTTTTCCATTTGTAGAATGCTTAAAGTATTGTGTGTACTTTTGTTTTTCTGAACTACTTGATAATTATTTGGTAAATATGTTTGAGGATATTTGCCACAGATTCAGACTTTTACAAACATTGATGTTTGTTTTAGGAGTGACACCACTTAATTTAGCACTGATGACACACAGAAGTAGGAGAAGTCCAGCCTATCCTAGGAGCTGCAGTAAGTGTATAAAAGCCCTGGTGGATGCTGGCGTGGACACAGATGAAATGGTTTGTTAACATTATATATTTTACTGATTATCTAAATGATTATATATTGATTTTAGGGTGCAATATATAGTCAACATGTCATAAATAAATCATATGGAGAGATATCTTGAAAACTAGACCTTGCCTAGTGGTATGATCAAGAATGTAATTATTTTTGTGTGAACTGTCTAATTTTATGGGACAATCCTGTCAAGTACATAATAAATCTCTCAAATTCTCTTTAAAACAGGAAGCTAAATACTTCAGCTTGACACCTTTTACAATTGTTATTTTAAAATAAGTGTATTCTTATTTCATTTCATATGAAGATTTTATTTAAAAAAAAAAACAAACAATGATACAGGATTATTTACACAAACTTTTCAGGATGACAAGAGCAGCAAGACCCCCCTCATGTTAGTGATAGACACTATGGACTTAGATCTCATTAAGTTTTTTCTGTGTGCGGACACGTCAACTCAGCATGCGGATGTCATGTCGAAATTGCAGGCAGTAACAAGAGGTGGTGACACACCTTTACACATTGCAGCTGGTGTTAAAATGAAGAGCAGCAGAGAAAAACAAAAGCTATTACGAATCCTGATTCGACATGGTGCTGATGCCAATGCTAAGAATAACGTCAATGAGGTTCCCAAAGATATTGCTACCAATGAAGTGGTAATTATTTTCAAAACTTTGATAGATATTTTTTTTTTTAAATAGCTTTTGAAAAATCATGACCCTCTATATGAAATTTTCTTTTTCTTTTTACATTTTTTTAGTGAAGAAATTCCATTTTTTTGACTCTAAAATTTGTTTTTGAAAATGCACAAATTAGATTTCAAACAAAGATTATCAACATATAAATGTTATGGATGTTACTTTCTAAAATTTTAAATAATAATGATAAAATATATTACTTTTGGGGAAAAAAAATGATCTAATCCCATTTTATTTTTCAGTGGAAGGACATTTTCAAGGAGAGTTTTAAGTGATCATCAATTTTTTTTTTGTTTGGACTCCATTAACAGATCATGGACCTAATGGATACTGTGTTGTGATAATACAAAACAAGATTTCTGTAGGAGGAATGTGACACATCTACAATTTCATCCTTAAAAGATCCAGCTTTAGCCGAGTTTCTCAACTGTTGTTTATATGCAAAGAAAGTATTATTTGTTTTTTATTGTATGTGTAAATAATTTATTCAATCAGTCATCCTCATACCTTTTTTTTCATATTTTTGTGCTGTGTGAAATGATGGTAGTTGGTTGTTGAAATACTTTTCTTGCTTTAAGAGTCAGATTTGGACTATAATCATATAAAGATTCTGGTTCAATGTGAGCTGATGATGAAGTCTTATTTGTGAATATTTATCAGAACTATATTTATCAATATATTTGTAGATTTTCGTCTGCATGAACAGGTTATTTATAACCAAGTCATTACCAAATCTTTTAAACATCTTATAACTGTAGAATGTAAATTTTTCAAAGGATGAAAGGGGAAAAAAGATATCAGAGATGAAACTGGAATACTATATGCCCATGTACAAAGTGTAAATAGCTGTTATGAAATTCATATTTTTTTAATACAAACTGCTTGTTTGACTAATTATAAAACTCATTGCTAGTGATGTGTAGAATGGATGTACAAAAAGACACATTTTTTTCTTTGGTATTTTAAGGTTGTGACTGATTAAATGACTTTTTTGGAGTAAAATACTTTTGTGCCCACTAAGTAGAACAAATACTGCCATGGATGATTCATATTCACAAGTCTCTTGCCTTTTTTCTTTCGTAAGTAAGGAACTTCTTCAAGTACTTATACAGTACATGTACGTGAATTCCCCATTGTAAAACTGAGTTCAGTTATAACATGGTTATTTTACTTCTAGACCTGAAAGAAAACAACTAGGGCATTCTAGATTTCACAAGTGTCTAGGGTAATTCTAGTACTTTGTGAAGGTTATGGAGAAATGCTGGTCATATCTCGATCAAATTTGTCATTTTGCTTCTATCAAGGCTATAGAACTGTATATTTAACATCTTAGATCAGACAGGGAATATACATGTAGATAACATTATGCAAGTATTGAGTGAGGGGTTAACAAAGGGTATTATATGTATGCTTATAACTGTTGATAAAAAAAGCTTTACAAAGTGACAGGAAGAAAATTTTATGGAGCCTTATTGACTCCATTGAGGAAACCTTTTAATATAGCTATTAATAAATTTATTTGGCTTTATTTGAGGGGAAAAAAATGTGACTGGGAGTTTTTTTTTTTGTTTTTGTTTTTTTGTTTTGTTTTGTTTTGTTTGTGCCTTTGTTTGTTTTGTTTTGAAGAACAGATAAAGTATTTATATCTCTGGCACTTACTTGTATTCAATGTTTTCATTTAAGTGCTACATGGACTACAAAAAGGGTGATGAATTTGTATGTCCATACATACATCTTGATTTAAAAAAAAAGAAACTTTGAACTAAAAGCTTTACAATATTTGAGCATAATAATGTATGTGTATAAATATAAATTCAGTTCTTATGATTTTTTTCCTAATAAATATAATCAATCCTTTAAACACAGAGGGTAGACTATTGTTAATAAAGTGTATCACAATGTTATGTTAACCATGCAGAATTTTGTCATTTTACCCACAGATTTTACTTGAATGTCCATCTGTATTTTATTGTGAAATATCTTTATTCTAATTGTTTCTACAATAATTCAAATCATTTTAATTATTTTAATTTTTTTTTTTTTCAAAATATTTTACAAACAGCCTTCATATACATGTTATAAATATAAATGTGAATAAAAGCCTGTACTTAAAATGAATATCTGTTATATTGTATTTGCACGAAGAAAAATTCAAATTACTCATGTGATTAACATTTGCTCCTTACAGTATTATTCATTGAATTCAAAGAATTAATCTCTATGGAACGAAAAACTTTGCATAAAATTGGGAAGAAGATCTGCTTTCCTTTTGGAAAGTCAGAAAATTTTCATGCCAAGAATTTGCATGTATACAGTGTATTTCACTAAAAAAAGTAACAAAAATTTCTTTGCCTTTTGGCGTTATTATGTATACACTGTAGATAAATAAATTTTCGTGAGACTGTAGTTTGATATTTATAGAGAAACTAAATTTTCGCAAATTGTTCTATATAGTCTTGAATAGTATAATTATATATGCAAGAATGAAATTTTTGTGAGCAGACGGCCTTGCATAATTACGTGAAAGTGAAATTCTTGTGAATATAAATGGCCATTTACAGTACAGTCCAATTTCTTTCAAACCATAACTTTGACTTGGATGACCACATTCAGAAACGCACTGTGATACATACTTTTATTATCACCGATTGCATAGAAATAACTGACATGTATAAGAAATTCAGCATGTGTCAAAGATTATTTTTAGTAAGTGTTTTTTTTTTTAGCTCACCGTGAGCTAAAAAAAAAAAAACTTAATAAAAACACCTGAGCTGAAAGCTCAGTTGAGCTTTCCTTAGCACTTGTTGATCGTTGTAAAAGGGATTTTAAATTATTCAAATGAAGGGCCAAGCCCATTTCCAAGGGGAGATATTTGAGAAAAGGCAAAAATAGGGTGGGATCATTAAAAAATCTTCTAAAGAACCACTGCATGGGCCAAAAAGGGTGAAACATATATGGCAGCATTCTGAGGAATAGTAGATTCTAATTTGTTTCAATCATGACCCCATGGGGTTAGGGGGAGGGTGGGGCAATAAGGGATGAAAGTTTAACTTTGAAATATGTGTAATGTCTATAAATTTCTTCTCAAGAACCACTGGGCCTGAAAAAATGACTATGGCGGCTTCCTGAGGAAGTTTAGATTCTAATTTATTCAAATCATGACCCCCAGGGGGTCATGATTTGGCAAACAAAAATTTCATACATTTTAGTTTTAAAATTTGATCATTTTTGTATATCTTTATATGGAGCTCTTCTTCTAAAGGAGATCAATATAGTCTGAAAATGGCCACAACCACCCAGCCCTCTTAAAGTTTTTGCTGACAAAAAAAAAGTTTGCACTATTTTTTTGACTTCAATTACATCACAATGGAAATATTCTTACTCATCCCACGGTAGTTCCTGGGAATGTGAACTTTTTTTAATTTGTAAAGAATTTTAAGGAAAAAAATTGGAAATGTAAATATATATTGATGAGAGCTATTCAACTGTAGAAATATTTATTTGCTTTGACCTTTCCTTTGACCTTGACCATACTTTCTTAATTTAGTGATTATCTAAATTTCAAAGAAATTTAAGATATTTTTATCATATTTTATGCTTATACATATTGATGAGAGCTATTCAACTGCATCAACATTTTTAATCTTGACCTTTTCAGTGACCTTGACTTCACCTTTAAAATAGTGTTAAGCTCATGCTGTTTTAAATAAACTATTCATTATAATTTTAATCAAATCTAATATGCTGATACATAATGATGAGAGCTAATAAATTGCATCAACATTTTGAACTTTACTTCTTTTGACCTTGACTTCAAATTTGTACTACTCATTCAAGATATTTTTATCAGTCTTTAGATGCTTATACAAATTGATTAGAGCCATTTAATGGCATCGACATTTTTTACCATAACCTTTTCTTTGACCTTGACTTCAAATTTGTGTTTAGCTAAATTTCAAAGAAACTATTCAAGATATTTTTATCAAACTTCTTATGCCTTATACATATTAATGAGGGCTATTCAATGGATCGACATTTTTACCTTGACCTTTCCTTTGTCCTTGACCTCACTTTTCTTAAATTTGTGTTTAGTTCAGTTTAAAGAAACTATTCAAGATTTTTTTTATTTTAAATGTAAGCTTATGCGCACTGATATATTATTTGGTGAGAATTTACTTGTGTCCTTTTTTTTACCTTCACCTTCCCAATGACCTTTAACTTTACTTTTTATTCAACTGTGTATAAAACTCAGTTTCAAAGAAACTTTTCAAGATATTTTCATCAAACTTCATACACAAATTTTCATGTCGCATTATTAATGAACCCAGGGTGGGACATTCATATCTTACGGAAATATTTCTATTTTTTTTTTTTTTCAATAATGGACCCTGGGTTAAAGTTGGTTAAATTTTACATTGAATCCATGTATACAGGAAAAGAATTTTCCTCTCAATAACTGCAAGACTATGTTGGTCATATTGATATTGATGCAAGGCTGGGAACATAAAATGGGGTCACATTTTTTTCAAGAGAACATGATTTTTTTTTAAAAGAAATCTGAAGAATTTGAAAAAATTATTAGGTCCCTGGTAACACGATTTATAACCTGATTTTTTTATGAATTTAAAATATTTTTAAATGTACAATTTTAATTTAAAACCACGTAAGTTCTTTTATAAAACGGACCCCCCTTTCAAATCCGGAACAACATTTTCGGTTTGGATTTTATAGAATTTTAATTTCCGCCCTCACTGTCGCGCCCATTATATTATATTCCAAATTATATTCCAGCGAAGTCTTTTGCTTCAATGCCAGAATGCTTAGAATTCTTGTTTATGTAAAGACGGAGGTAAAATCAGTGTTTATTTAATTGAAACGAGAATACTATGGATTTGGTTGGTTGAATAGGTAATTAGTGTAACCTTTATGGATGTGTCTGTTTAGCGACCTCGATAATTTGGAATTTCCGCTTGGTTTTCTTTTCGTTAAAACCCCGAGCTGGTGTACAACATATTGATTTCTTATATATAAATATAAATAAAGAAATGCAAGCATTGTTATGCTTCAAGTAATTTACTTATTAGAAATTATGTTGCATAACAGTTTTTTGTCTTTTCCAAATGGTGGTTTTAAACCTGTTGGGGTCTTTAGCGTTTATGTCTTTAGGGTTGGTCTGATAAACGACAAGGTCTATGCAAATAATCCACATTACCTAGAAGTAAATATCTAAGCACAGCTTTAATAATCAACAATCAATCTATTTATACCTATTATTCCTATGGCTAAGTCTTACCATGATGAACTTCAAGAGATATACAATTGAAAACTGATTTCATTATAAGCATATGACAGATACAGATTTCAATATAAGTGTATGAATTAAGATCCAGTATAGTAATATGGCGAAACAAAAATAATCTAAATATTTAACTCGGTGAGATATATACTGTAAATCACATTTTATTTGCGAGAAGTTTATTTTCGCGTAATTACGAGAGACAGTGTGGTCGCGAAAATTTCATTCTTGCATTTATTAGTTTAATTACTGAAGATTATTATAATAGAGCAAATACCACAATTCGTGAAAATTTTGTCTCGCTAATAAAGAGTCGATGACTCTTTAGCGATAATAAGGTGTCATCAAAATTTAAGTGATCGATCTACAGTAGTATTACAAATCCTGTTACTTTCATCTTCATTTCAGACTGTGAATGCAAAGCAGTTTTCAAAGATTATAATTAACTTATAAAACAGTTCAAAAGAAGTAAATGCATAACTTATAGTTTAAATATGTTTGATAATATTTTTACCACAACAATAAAGTATATAATAGACTTATTAGATGTAATATTCAGTATCTTATACATTAATTGGAACCTCATTAATCTCATAATTAAGCCATGAACTTTGAACTGGATGAGTCACAGGATTATTATACCCTCGCTTGAAAAGTGCGTTGTGGGTGTATAGTGATGGGGTGTCCGTCCGTCTGTCCATCCATCTACAACCGTCCATCTGTTACGCTTTGGGGGATACATCTCTTATCCGCAACTGCTCTTATACCACTGAATAAAATATAATGATACTTTCACAGAATCTTTGTTTCATAGTGCCATTGTGACCTCCTATTTTACTTTTTGATTGTAGTACACACATATTTCGGGTTTCTGATACATGTAGCACAACATAGAACACTGCCATTCTTTCTATGATATTGAGGGGTATCCATCTCTTATCTGCAACTCCTCCTCTACCACTGAATAAAATTTAGTGATACTTTCATAGAATCTTTATTACATTATAGTGCTGCTATGCATTTCCTATTTTATTTTTTTTGATTGGACACTTACTTCGGGTCTCCCTTAGCAAAACATGGACTTTGCCATTATAAACATATGAGAGGCAGGGGGTATTAATTTGTGAGCTCAGTGCTCACAGTTCCTCCATTTGGCTGCTGTATAAACTATTGATGCAACATAAAACACTACAGTTAAACACAGTTAAAGGAACACATCTATGATGAACTAATGCTTACAGCAAAGTGATTTATGCTCCCAGTAGTTTCAAAACATATTAGGAACTTATTGGATAAAGTGAATAATGCTTTTATTAACCAAACAAAATTTTTGTCCCTGGCACTTTGTTATAAGTGCATTTTACTGTATTGTAAATTTGTTTATTATTATGTTTTGTTTTGCATATACTATGTGAATACGAGTCAGGGTTTTTAACTTAGTGCATGACCCAATACCCTGACTACTATTTAAGCATTAATTTAGTATTTGTCATGCTAAACAAAACATTAGTATTATTATTGTGCTGACTATACTCCAATGTTCTGAGCACAGTTAAATACATTCTTGTTTTCTTTTCAAATAAGTTGACTATTATGATGTAATTGGTTACATAGTGACATCATTAGATGGCAACATCACAGTCTTATCTCACTATTCCCTACAGCAATTCATAGTCAACCATCATGATAAGCAATGGTGATACTAAATAGATAGCAATGAACTATTTGTTTTATTTGCAGTTTCATTTTTAAAAAAAAAAAATGTATGAAAACTGTCATTTTTTTTGTTGACAGATCTAGATGGCTGAAAATCTTGAAGAAGTCTTACCCCATACAGATCTTCAAACTGAGGAGAATGTAGTGGTAGTATCAATACCCACAGACTCTGTAGACAACATCCCTCTTGAAGGTCAGCTGCATTGTGAAACTCTATCCCCAGATATTTTGCCCTCAGATAATGCTGCGACAGAGGATATTGTATTGGAGAATCCCAGTGGTGTGTCCACCTCTGGACTATCACTGGGGACGCCATTGTTACAATGGACCCCACAGCAAACCATGTACACCAGTGCTGAGGCAATACAACAAGATATCCAAATACTGGTAAATTCTGTTAACAGTGTTACACACAAAACTATGTTATGTATTATCGACTCTGTCATTTTACCGGTACTTCTTATTTCCCAAAAAAGTTATCTTTAACAGTTTAAGGCAGTGCAAATTGATAGCATTTTTACCTGCTCAGGAATTGTAACTACACACTTTATACTACACATACCGTAGAAATACTTTTTTCCATGTGGTATTAATTCATGCTATCTAAGTGGTAACAAATTTTCCACAGAAATTTGTTCCAGCATACTTTAAATAAATTTTCTATATATAGTGGCAGTCTTAAAAATTCAGCATAATTCTCTACCAGTGCATTGAATGAAAATTGTGATTCCTCAGAATATCAACCTGTGGAAAAAAAGTATGTTTACAGTATTCACATGTAAACAATTGAAAGTATCTTAATTTTCATTATAGCTCATTTAATTTTCAGTTCAAAGCACACACTACATGTATTAGTTGAAATTATGAATTAGCAAAGCATGTATCAATCTTCATATATCTGAAATCTACTGGTATATATAATCAAAATGGGAGGTGAGCGTTGTTTAGCATTAACATACATAAAGACATACTGTGTTTATCTGAAAGAACTTGTTCCATGATGTTAATGAGAAAATAAGATTCCAACTGAATAGACCTAACCTATATATATCTCCTATCACATTACGAATGTGTGAAGAGTATTATATGTACTGTTGTTACAGATTATTATGACATCGTTTTCCTTTTGTATGGATAAAAATTTGCATATAATTTTATTTCCCCGACTGTTTCCTTTTTTTTTTAGCTTGGAAAATTGAGGGAATATGGACAAGAGAGCTTGCTTATCACAGCTGATAAGGAGGCAATACGAATGGATGGATCATCTGGAGGGAAAGAATTCCTCAAGGACCATGAGGCTGTAGCTAGATCATTTCATCAGAGGTGTTTTGGTAAATACTTTAGTATATCATAAATTATGATTGTCAGATTGTGGGGAAGAATTATGTTCATGCTGTTCAGCTACTAAACTAGAGAATATTGAATTTTCTTATTTCTTTAATATACTAAAACATGGTTTTTATTTCATAGGCAGTGAAGACAAAAATTCAAGTGCTGATGATGCAGATATGAGTGAAGGTAATAAAACAGAAAATTTAGGGGGCAGGTTTCCTAAATTTAAAAGATTCTCTAATTTGAAAACTTCACTGTTAAACACATTAATTTCCATAGGCATTTAAATCTTGTTTCTTCATATAAATCTTAGTCAAGGAGTAATGATGCACAGGTATGGCAAATGATTTGAATACTGCCTGTGTAAGTATTCCATTACTGAAATTTCAGAAAGTGAATTTTATTACAAAAAGTGAATCTCTACATTAGAACTTCCTTATCTTTAACTAGAAGGGGCTGAGAAAAAACTGAGAGATATCCTAGGACTCAAGTTATTTTGATTAGAAATTCACAAAGAAAAAGTGGCCTCTCTCTCTCTCTCTCTCTCTGACATATACATGGTACTTGAGATATCAACATTTGAGATACCGAAGTTCTACTGTTTTAAAATATGATGACAACCATTATATTGAATGTGCAATCTGGTAACTTTAAACCTAAGCTTTATTTAGAGGAAATCTGCCAGATAAAACAAGGTGCTGCATATGTGATTTATGACAACATGCTTTTAAAAGATTGTATTCATTGAATACCTGAAGAATAAATGTTTGTCTCAATCAAGGTCAAAACAAAAGTTCATCAATAATATCATTGATATATTTTGACCATTTAAAATATCCTCATTGGGTAAATAATCCTTCTCATGATCCTTTGGCCCAAATCTAAAATGGTCATATATTTGAACTTGGATAAGTGTAATAGGTTGTAAATAAGGTATCAAATATAATTCATCTATTGTAAATAAGGTTTCAAGTATAACTCAGCTGCTTCTCCTGAGGTTAGAATGTCTGACATTCTGTAAACATACTTTTTCCACGGGATTTAATTCTGCAGAATCACAATTTATGTTCAATCTGTGTGTAAAAAATTAAAATTAAACAGATTTCTTGGATTGTCTTTGTATGCCTTAAAAGCAACTTAAATATGCTGGGACAAATTTCCATGGAAAATGTTGTCACCGTTTATATAGCATAAATAAATCCCACACATAAAAAAATTATGTCTACAGTATATGCTTGGAATCAAAACAATATTTTACTCTCTGAAGAAAATGATGATTGAACAGGGCATAGCTCTTCCAGTTCAACTTATCTAGGTATAACTTTCTTCTTCCTGTGCATAATGTATTTCGATGCAATCTTTCAACAAAATTATAAAGTAAAATCAGAATCTCCATTGTAATTGAGGCTACATCAAAATCTGTTCCATTCAAATCTCTTAATGAGACATACAGTCAAACCTCATTACATCAAACTTGATGGGACTGAGAAAAAAACTTTGAGATATGCAAGTGGAAGTGTTGGAGATATTGAGGGTTAAATTGTGAAAGAAAAAGTACTTGGGACTTCCATATCTTCAGTATATCCATGGTATTTGAGATATCCTTGTTTGAGATTTCGAAGTTCAACTGTATCTTATGGACAAATAAACCAACAGTCAGACAAGTATGTCTGTATGTTTGATGACAAGTCCTTCCAGTTTTATTGGCAGAAATTCTTAAGTTATTTATCAAAATAAGGGCTGAATTATTCTAGTGTTTATACTATAGTTTTTGCTTGCAATTCAGATGCAGATGAGATGCCATTTGAAGGACTGGAAGATGGTGTTGCAGAGAATGTAATTACTGAAGTGAAAACACAAAACAGAAAACCCACAGCATCAGGTATTGTCAGGCAATATTCTTATGTTTTTATTTTGAAAAAAATAACACTGAAGAAATTTCCAAAAACAGATACACTCTTGTTAGCCCCACCCCACCAAACAAATAGCTCTTCTGTTTAAGGTATTTTTATGGTGAAACACTTATGCTTGTCATTGTGCTCTGATTCCAAATTATTGAATTAGTAATGGGAAATCGGGATTTTTTCATAATCCATTTTCGGAATGATCGGATGCATTATAATCGATTAAGAATTGATCAATTTCAAATATTAAATTTGTTCATTTTTGGATGAAGAATATATTAGTTAGAAATTCTGGAGTGATTTCTAGAATACATTTTTGAAATATTTTGTATCATGGGGTTCATTTATTAGATTATTATTCAGGATTTAGTTAAATTCAAAGAAGAATGAATCAAAAATCAAAAGAATAATTTGCTTTTAACGAATAGTTTGCATAATCGATTATCAAAATTATAGTCGATTATCTATAATCGGGGACCACTTCGATTAGATAATCGATTAATAGGTACATCATTATATTGAATTATATAAATTTCTAGAGGGGCCTGTCCTAAAGAAAATAGTTCATGAATCAGCAAATGAAAAAACAGAAAAATCAGAAATATCTCCAGCACCTGTACGAAAGCGAGGAAGGCCACCTAAAATTAAAACTGCAGGTATAATTTGAAAATCATTCCATATTTGATGATTGTGAGTCTGGATGCATTGAAGAAAAGATGATGTTTAGAATTGTATTAATGTGTACAAGTACCTGCTGTACAAATTTTATAAAATGAAAGATAAGCAAAAAAGATTACGGTGGTAATATTCAGAAATTAAATGTAAACTTGGTATTTTTTTCAGTACCAAATGAAGACCAACAGTCGGAAACCAACAAGGGAATTGAAACAGAAACTGCCAAAAAAGAAAATGTAACTGAGAAAACTCCAGTGAGGAAAAGAGGAAGACCACCCAAAAATCGGGATACAGGTGAGCAAGGTCTAAAACTGTTTACTTCTGATTGTTGTGGTGCAGCTTATTGAAGTCTCTTGGTCCTGTTGTTATGGTAAAAAAAATACTTCTGATTGTTTGTGAAAAATAATTCTTCGTTAAAAGTTTCCACTCTGTAAAATTATTTTTCCCAGAGTCGGTCTCTTTTAAACAAAGCTTGTGGATGTGCAAAAGTAACATATGGTAGTCCAAAATCTCTTAACTGACTTTGGGTAAAAAAAAAACTGGGAAAAATACCAAGAGCAGTGTATTTATAAAAGAAAACACACAGGCGAGTAGCAGGACTATACTGCAATTTGAAACATGTTACAAATTATCATCAACCAGTATGTTTACATGTTTCTCACCTCAGAGTCTGTTTAGCTTTTGGAGGTCGTGTTATCTCACCTGTTAAATATCCATAACGTGCTTGTTTTGTCATCATGGTTTTTTTATGGAAATTTCTCTTGTGTACATTGTTGTTAACCAAAAAAAAAACCAGTAGCAACATTAATTTTTATACATATTGTATGCATACAATTGCTTTATTGATGTACTCTACTTAGAGGAGTTATTTCCCCTTAGTTATTCACCTATGATAATTGATCACAATAATAAATGTAATAGATTGGTAAATAAATTGAATAAAGAATTATACAAGAATTTTTAATGTTTGGTACTTAAAGTATCTTTTTAATAGTTTTTAATGGTCAGATATACTTGTAAGTAATGAGACAAAATTACTTTATATTTGTACACTAAATGTAATTCATAAATCAGGAGAGGCCAATATGATAAACATTACTGGGTACTATTACTTTTTTTTTAGTCTGTGATAGTGACAAATGGGAGTTTTTAGCACTGGCAAGTTTATGAGTTGTTGCTGAGTGCTAGACTAATTATTTTCCTGATCCCTGTCAGTCCTTGATCATCCTATTTCTCTTCTTTTGGGATAACATATCAGAATCAATTTTAGCTCACCTCAACGAAGTAGGGGGAGCTTAATATGTAATACCCTCGTCGTCGGCGTCCCAGGTTAAGGTTTTTGGAGCAGTTTTCTTTTCAAGTACTTCTATGGATATATTAGTCAGAGATGCATGGAGGATGCTTCTAGTGTGTTTCATTGTACCAGTCAAGGTTTCAGATGCTGCAATTTCAGCTAAAGAATGACCAGGTTAATGTTTTTGGAGCAGGTTAAAGTTTTTGGAGCAGGTTAAAGTTTTTGGAGCAGGTCTCATTTCTAAGTAACTATAAGCCCTATATTGACCAAACTTGCATGGATGATACATCTAAGGATGCACACTACTGGACTTGCTTCGGATGCTGGATCTGACCTATATTTTCCGGATGAGTGACCAGGTTAAAGTTTTTGAAGCAGGTCTCATTTCTAAGTAACTATAAGCCCTATATTGACCAAACTTGCATGGATGATACATCTAAGGATGCACACTACTGGACTTGCTTCGGATGCTGGATCTGACCTATATTTTCCGGATGAGTGACCAGGTTAAAGTTTTTGGAGCAGATCTCATTTCTAAGTAACTATAAGCCCTATATTGACCAAACTTGCATGGATGATACATCTAAGGATGCACACTACTGGACTTGCTTCGGATGCTGAATCTGACCTATATTTTCCGGATGAGTGACCAGGTTATAGTTTTTGGAGCAGATCTCATTTCCAAGTAACTAAAAGCCCTATATTGACCAAACTTGCATGGATGATACATCTAAGGATGCACACTACTGGACTTGCTTTGGATGCTGGATCTGACCTATATTTTCTGGATGAGTAACCAGGTTAAAGTTTTTGGAGCAGATCTCATTTTCAAGTAACTATAAGCCCTATATTGACTAAACTTGCATGGATGATACATCTAAGGATGCACACTACTGGACTTGCTTCGGATGCTGGATCTGACCTGTATTTTCCGGATGAGTGACCAGGTTAAAGTTTTTGGAGCAGATGTCATTTCCAAGTAACTATAAACCCTATATTGACCAAACTTGCATGGATGATACATCTAAGGATTCACACTACTGGACTTGCTTTGGATGCTGGATCTGACCTACATTTTCCGGATGAGTAACCAGATTAAAGTTTTGGGAGCAGATCTCATTTCCAAGTAACTATAAGGCCTATCTGAACCAAACTTGCATGGATGATGCATCAAGGGATGAACAATCTCAAAACTTGCTTCGGATGCTGGATTTGACTTACATTTTCTGGATGAGTGACTAGTTTTAAGTTTTCAGATGTCTATTCCCAAGTAACTGCAAGCCCTATCAGACCAAAATTGCATAAATATTGCATCTAGGGATGCACACTCCTAGATTATTAGTTTAGTGTGGGACTTTTCCTTACTTAAAGACAACATTCGTTGAGGTGAGCTCTGTAATCTCTGATTACCTATGTTTTATTTTGTTTTATTATAGAATCTATGGATCCTTTATAGAGTTGTATTATACACTCATGTGAATGTTTAGGCCCATGGGCCTCTTGTTTTAGAGATTTTTTGTTTTTGTTTAAAAATTATATGTATATTCTATATTTAACAGATACCAAAACCCTGGAGACAGAGACGACAGAGAAGAAAGAAGAAAAATTGGAGGAAACTGAAGGTAGCCCTGTCAAGCTGCCATACACTGGGAAGAAAAGGGGAAGGAAACGAAAAGAAGAAGGTAGATAACATACATTTCAAAGGAGGGGGAGGGGGTAACATGAGTCTATATTATCAGCAAGAGTAATGCTTTGACAAAAAATTTCCTGATAAAAGTGCAGGATAAGTCATCAAGAGGTACTGTGGAATCATTTTTATTCATAGGGGTCAATGTTTGTGGGTAGCCAAAAATTTCCCGGTTCATGGGGACGTAATTTCGTTGATAACCACGTTCTATTTCGTTTTTTTTTTTTTTTTTTCAAAGTTAAAAAAATGAAGGATAACCCTGTCAATGTTGCTCATTTGAAATGATACGGAGTTATCTCTCTTGTGAACACAAAATGTATCATTATAAGATTCTCCAAACAATAGTGATTATTTCTCAGCAGTAAGTGTATATTCTGTTGAATTTTACCTCACTCATCTCATTTCAAAATGTCCATCGCACAGTGGCTTAAAACGGGAAAAATCAAGACTTCCACGCCAACAACAATAGGATTGCCTGATCCAAATGAAAGTCATATTTGATTTTTTTCGCAGTGCATAGAACTGAATCGTTATTGGAAAAATTAAAAGCTAACAACATTCAACCTCTATATGTACCGGCGGCTTGCACCGACAAATTACAGCCGTTAGATGTCCCTGTAAATTATGATTATAAAGAACAATTTAAATCATGTTTTCACCAGTGGTACGCGGAACAGGTTTTTAAATCTCTAGATGAGAACAACGACAACAATGCCAAAATTGACTTAAAAAACATCTACCCTGAAACCAATTGGCTAATTAGCACCCACTCCAAAATTGCACTGAAAAATGACCTCATTAAAGGGTCATTTGAGCGTGTTGGACTGTAATGTAAACACTACTTAATAGTTTGTGACTACTCAAATATTTATCACTTAATTACTTATTGTATATAGTTATCGATGTCTTTGATACTTAATAAAATATTTTTTTTCCTGTTTTTTTTTTTTGTTTAAATAAACACATACAGATTGTCTTCTTTATGCGCGATCACATGGACACAAAGGTAACGGTTATTTTATATAAAATAGCCTGTGTAATCGTAACTTTTAATAAATAATAAAACAAATGTTTGTATATACGTTCGTGGGGATGTAAATTTGTGGGTCAGGGTTACCCACGAAAGCCACGAACATTGGTCCCCCACGAACAATGATGATTCCACAGTAATATCTGTTTTTAAAGAAGTAATTCAAGATATAATTTCTTAATTTTGTATCAAATATAAACCTTTTTCTATACATACAAAGTAAATGTTCATTAGCTGGAGCTGAGATTAACCTGTTCAATATGTTACAGTGACTTATATAGAGGAGGAGACAGACAGCAGCTCAGGGGGAATCAGAAGAAGCAGTAAGTGGGTTTATATCTAGAGGAGCTGTTGTCAAACATCAGCCCTAATTATACATTGTAGGCTATATCAAATCATATCTATAGGAGCTGTTGTCAAACATCAGCCCTAATTATACATTGTAGGCTATATCAAATCATATCTATAGGAGCTGTTGTCAAACATCACCCCTAATTATACATAGTAGACTATATCAATCAAAAATGTGAAATTGTGGTTTTTGAAAAATGAATTATAGATGTAACATAAATTTTATTTTAAAATTTACTGCAGAAATTTTGATACGCTGTATTTTTCTCTAAATACAGTTATTTTACTCAGTAGATTATACTTCAGTGCACTTTCTCCAAATCTTACTTGATAAATGCAATTTAAGATCTGAAAATTGAATGTGCTTATTCCATTTTTTTTGGGGGGGGGGATTATTATTGTAAAAAGTCTGTGAAATTTGATACACATCCTTTGAAATACTTTTAGGTCGTCCAGTAAAGAAAAAGATAAAAGAATCTCTGGGTTATGCACCACCTAAAGAGAAAGGAAGAAGATCTGGAATTGGAGCTGGGGACTTAAAGATCAGAAAGGTACCTCTAATTAAAGATGCTGCCAAGGACAAAGGAAACGAGGGATTGGATACAGATGAAAATCAGACTGACAATGATGCAGTTGATGAGTTAATTACGATGTCAAATGATGAAGCAAGTGAAATGGTCGATAATGGCAGTGAGAACATTGAGACATCAAACAGGCTAGTGTGCAGCAATTGTGGATTTGCTGCAGATTCCCAAGAAGTCATGGAGAATCACATTCGAGTGGAACACCCAAAAATATGGGCTCAAATCCTGATTGATGATACCAAAATCTTGCTTGCTCTTGGAAAAGATCCGCTAAAAGTGCAGAGGCCAAAATGTGATGATACGCCATTGAAGAAAGAGCCACCAAAGGAAAAGAAACCAGAAATTGTTAAAAAAGATACCACCACTAAAGCACCAGTCATAAAGAAGAATAAATTGCCATTGGAACACAGATCATCTGGTCACTATAGCTGCACTGTGTGTCAGAAAAAATATAAAACCATTTGTTTACTAAATGCTCACATGGGTTTGATTCATAAAGATAGGAGATATGCTCAGATTAAGAGAAGGAAAGAGCTCATAAAATACAGGCAGAGATTAATTGCTATGAAGAAAAAAGTAAAGGTAGAAAACAAAGAAGAGAGTACCACAGCTGATACAACAAAGGAGGGTGAGCAAGAGGAAGATAAAGAAGGTTCAGTTGAGGCGGGAGAAGAAGAGGTGAAAACTGAAGTCACAGAAAAGAATATGGAGGTGAAAACTGAACCCATTGAAGAAGAAGAGGAAGTACGAAGATCAAAGAGGTCCTCACGGAGAAAATCCAAAAAACTGGACGATTACGAAACAGATCTGCCAGAGCTTTACAGGTCAGATAATGAGGAAGAATTAGACATGAAGGCCCATTATGATGAACCTTTTGCTTGTACTCTCTGTCTGAAAGACTGTGGAAGTGAAAGTGGATTAGCTGAACATTTGAAGAGAACCAAGCATGATGAGATGAAAGTCACTCCTTTTCCATGCTTAACATGTAATCGTTTTTTTCTGACAATGAAAACCCTGGAGCTTCACATGACACAATCTGGCCATATGGGAGAGGAGATGGGTAGTTTAGATGGAGAAATTGAAGTCACCAGGCAATCTTCCATGTCCAAAAGGGGGATTTTATTGTACATATGTTCCCTCTGTAAGCGTGAGTTTGTTAAAAAGGAGAACTGCCAAAATCATTGTGCAATGAAAGTCTGCAAAAAGCCGTGGAAAAAATCTTGTCCAATTGTCACTTGCAAGAAATTGTTTTTTGAGAACAACATGTTTTTCCACCACATGACTACAGAACATAGAGATGAGTTTCCATTTGTGTGCCCAGTTCAAGGATGTAAGCGACTTTTCTTCCACACAGCTGCCTTGAACTCCCATATTGCAGCACACAATTCCGAGAAGGATGGCCATGTCCCACCACCTAGACCTATAGAGGATGGCAGAAAGAGGTGTGGCTACTGTGGCATGTTGTTCACTTACAATGAAAATCTGCGACAGCATGTCAAGAGAATTCATGATAACGACTTATTTGGACAGCACAAGGAAATTGTAGAGCATAACCAAGCTACTGAACCTTTCTCATCAAGTAAAAAATTTCTTAAAGTGGAGTCTCAAAGGGGAGATAAATCTAAGGATGCAGACGATGTGGATAAAATTGATACCTTCAAAAAGATGGACAAGCGGCAAGTTACAATTCGCAATCATGTCAGGGGGAAGGAGTTCAAATGCTACACATGTGACGAGACCTTCAGTCATATTGATGATGTTGGTGACCATATGGTGGACACTGGTCATTGTGGACTTCCTTTAAGTGCCTTGGATGGCAAGAGAGATATCCGAGTCAGAATACGTAATACAGGTGAACAGTGTTATGTTTGCACTCTCTGTAAAATGGAATTCAAGAAAAGAGATGGATGTGAAAAACACGTTGAGGCTGCAACCTGTAAGAAGAAATACAAACGACTGTGTCCTATTATGAACTGTAGAATTTTGTTTAGGAACTTTAATTATTTCAAAGCACATATGTCAACCATGCACAAAGATGAATTTCCCTTCAAGTGTGAAGTATGCAGTAAAGAATTTGAGCAGACCTCTGCATTGAATTCACACAGAAACTCCCATTACAAAGACACTCATCACATCCAGGCAGATGTACTGAACTCTGACACTCCAATGACCTGCCACGTCTGTAAGGAACGATTCAGAAATAACAAAGAATTAAGAGCACACAAAGAAGCAAAGCATGAAATCAACAGGAGATACATGTGCGATATCTGTGGTAAGAAGTACAAAAGGAAGGAAAATCTGAAAGATCACATTTTTATGGTACACAAGAGAGACCCTACAAAGGACTTTGTAACTTGCCCAACCTGTGGAAAAGCTCTTGCCAGTCAGAGATCTTTGAAGTTCCACTTAAGATTTGCACATTCAGATGCCAAACCATGTGTCTGTGAAATTTGTGGATACAGTACTAAACAACTGGGGAACCTTGCTTTTCACATGAGAAACACACACAGTGATGTGAGACCCTATGAATGTGAGTGGCCTGATTGTGGAAAGACGTTTAAAGACCGACAACTCTGGCAGAGACATTCGCAAAGACATGAACTGAATGTGGGCAACCTGGAAAAAGCCAAGACATATGGACCAGTCTTCATATGCAAGATCTGTCAGAAAGGATTCTGTGGCAAGTATAACCTGGAGAAACACATGCTGTGTCACACAACAGAATGCCCATTGTCATGTAATTTATGTGGAAAAGGAGTAAAAAGAATGAGCAGTCTGCGCAGACACATGAGAAATGTCCACCATTTTGATCCCAAGACAAATACATCCATGGTAACTAAAACCATTATCAGAAAGCCCAAAGCATTGATGAAGAAACAAAATGTTCTGGATTTGGCATCGGCAACACTAGAAGAACAAGAATCCATTGAAGTAGATTTCAAAGAGCTTTCACAGATAGACTACCAGTTTCATTCAGATGCTCAGCAGAAGCTGCAACAGATACTGACACCCATTGTAGATGTTCCGGTGACGTCTATAGTGACTGGGGAATCCCCACAGAAAGCAAGGGATTACCTTTCTGAGGCACAGAGTCAAGTCAGCCTTCTGGAATGTTCGGCCAACGCAACAGAAAACGTCATAGAGGAAGCAGTAGATGAATCCCAGATTATCATTGAAAATGCTGGCGAGCAGTACATCATCATGAACCCTGATGGTAACATCTCCAATCTGGAACAGCTGGGCAGAGATATTATTCTGGCAGTGAAAAATGAAGATGGATCCGTTTGTTTTCAAATGGTTGGAAAACAGTGAAAGAACTTTTTTTTTAAAATTTCATTTTGGTTACCAAGTTGAGCTTTTATGTAAAGAATTACCGGTAGTTAAGTAAAAATTGATTATTTTCTAGATACATGTAATGTTTAAGTACATGTATTTCTAGTTAGCTTGCTGTGTAGCATTGTAGTATAATTATCATGTTGATAATAAACACTTTGCAGAAAATTTTTTCACTTTCTAATGTCATCATTTGAATTTCATGTTTTCCACCTCCACAAAATCCTTAAATGGTATTGTTTCTTTCGCTGTATCTAATGAAATAAATTTTTGTTTCAAAAAAGACAAAAAGGTCATTTGTGATGAAAAGAAGTTGTTACTAATTCTGATTAGAGATTATTTGTCAATCACATTCATGAATAGAAGGTGGAAATCAAAGGTCACGAAATTGATGGAGTATGATGGTGGCAGATTGTCAGAGAGAAAGAGCAAAAATCAAAATCTTGATAAGGTATTGGACAAAAAAGGAAGAGGCACACTATTTGGATCCTGTTTAAGGTGACTTTGGTGAATGTCTTCATTGGATTCTTATCCATTCTTATCCATTCATCTACAAAATATTTTTAGAATCTATAAAACTAGTGAGTAAGTTACAGTATATCTCTTCTGTAGATGATGTTGAACAAATACTGTGGCCTTCACAGCACAATAATTTAATTTTGTTTGTATTCTAGCCTCTGATTGGTCAATATCCAAAAAGAAACAAAAATTATTTCTGTATAACCTGGTTTGGTATGGGGACATATCCCCCTGACAACCAGCTGAATCATCTGTATCCATACAATCCTCTCATTTCCAGTCCTCGTGATTCATGGAAAATTCCAGATTTAATAAATGTACCTTTTACTTCAAACAATAATTTGATCTTACCACATGTAAACAAACAACAAGGCTGCTAGGCCTATGTATCAGTTTTTACCTCCCCTCGCTTCCCATCACTTCCGTTGCTACCGTTGTATTGTGGAGTGGCAAATTTGAACTAATAAAAAGCAATGAAATTTTACACCCATAGTTATTTAATGATTTTAAAATTAAATTATAAGGAATGACTCTAACTCTTGGCCAAATTATTCGAGTATAACCTGGTTTGGGTCAGTTTATGCTGTTTTATAATCCGCTTCGCGTAAATCATTACATCACTTAAAGACATTTAGCATAGAAACCATACATGAACTCCATCAAAATTAGAGAGCTCATTGGAACAGTCATGGAAAGTGTTACACAAAATCTGAATATTGGAATTCCAGAAAGTGTTGACTTGCTCTGAATCTGGGGATATCCAGGTTTCACTGTTTTCATAGATTTATCACTGTTCACCATTTAATTTTGCATCCTAATACTTTGTCATAAATTTCACAATTTTTTTCACCATTACCAGTAGATCTTTTAAAAGCATATACAAGTGGTCAATCATTTTAGAGAAGCTGAAATGTTTGTAAGTTTATGGTTGACACACATAGACAGAAATAGGTCTACTGAGTGACTTGGTTAAGCTAATCAGACAAGAGACCCATGGATTGCAATTCTCAGCAGAGTTGTCTTGGCATCCTAAGATTTTTAGCTCACTTGAGCCAAATGCTCAGGTGAACATTACAGATCAAAGAGTGTCTACCATCCATCTGTTCACATTTTCGGCTTCTTCTCAAGAACCACTGGACCAATTTCAACAAATTTTGCCACAAAGCATCCTCAGATGAAGGGTATTCAAGTTTGTTCAAATGAAGGGGCCACATGCTATTTCATGGGGAGATAATTTAGAAATTGTGAAAAATTTGTTGGGTTCATTTAAAATCTTATCAAAAAAACCACTGAGACAGAAAAAATAAAACATGTGATAACTTTCTGATATACAGTGTAGATTCAAGTTTGTTTAAATCAAGGTCCCTTGGGGATAGGGTTTGACCACAATAGGGGGTCAATGTTTACATCAGAGTCCATAGAAAAAGTATTTAGCAATATTCTCATGAACCACTGGGCCATAAAAGATGAAGCTTAAAATGAAAGCATCCTTTAAAAGTGTAGATTGAAGTTTGTTCAAATCATTGCCCTTGGGTGGTAGGGTGTGACACATTTACATCAGAATACATAGGGAAAAATATTTATTGGTAGCAATATTCTCAAGAAGCACTGGGGAAGATAAGATGAAAGCTTCCTGATATAGTGTAAATTCAAGCTTCTTCAAATTATGGCTTTTGGGGGTAGGGGCAAAATAAGGGATCAAATGTTTGCAAGGAAATCTATAGGAAAAACAAGAAGGCTGTGAGCCAACGCTCACTAGTAATATTTGACATGTGCATTACCTGTGACAAGAAGTTTATGAAAATGCTATGACATATGAGCCCATGACCTTGAAGTTTGTCCTTATTATTAAAAATTTTAATAGTGGTGATAACATTAAATGAGAGAAGATAGAGTGTTCATATTTAACAAGTACATCATCTGTGACAAGAAGTTTTTGATTGTGATATGATGTTGGACACCTTGACCTTCAAGCTTGACATTTGACCCCATGACCTTGACCTTCAAGTTAACCTAATTTAAAAAAAATATCATTGCTGTTAACTTATGAAGAAGGGAGGATAGGGAATTCTATTTGACATGTGCATTACTCCAGTACCTGTTTCAAGACCTTCCTGAATGTACTCTGGTTTTTGACCTCATGACCTTGACCTTAAATTAAGTTTACCTTACAATCTTTTTCAAATTTTATTTTCATTGGCAATAATTTTAAATGAGAGAAGATAAAGCTTATTTATGACACCTTTCAGACAGTAATGTTATTTTGCATTTCATGGCCTCGACCTTTTTCCTGTAAAATATCCAAATATGAAATAGATGTGTAGACTCTGTGTCTTATTTCTAGTTCAAATTGGATCTCAACCACTAAGACACTGAAAGCGGGAGACCACAATTCTTTGAATTTGCTTGTTCTCCATTTGTTTGATCCTCTTAATGACCCTTCTACCCCTTGTGACCAAGGGGATGCTTGCATAATAAATCAACCAATCATGGCCCTGTTGATCTTGTGAGAAATATTTTACATTTTTTTCCTTTACATTACATTTCCATTTTAACCATTGATTAATCCCATATTGTGGCCCAAACCTTACCCTTATTTGAATCTTCACTACCTGGAGATGCTTGCAAAATAATATGACTAATATGACTAATTGTGGCTCTGCTGTACTTGAGAGGTTTCTTGTTTATTCCATACATGTATGTGGCCCATCTTAGCCCATTTGGACCATGGCCTGAACAAACCAGATATCTTCAATACTGGACATGCATGTATATTAGATACCGGTACATATCATGGCCGTAGGAACCGGGGGGGGGGGGGGGGCGTGCCCCCCCAATAATTTTGCCGATATATAGATTACTATAGTAAACATAGATACTATAAGCATGTGCCCCCTCAATAAAGCCGCCTGATGACCTTTTTTTTTTTTTTTCTTTTTTGCTTGTCAAGGAATATTTGGTAGTTGACAACCTTTTTTTTTTTTTTTGCTTGTCAGAAAATTTTTGGTAGTGCCCCCTCAACTGTCAACTGAAAAATGTTTGGCTGTGCCCCCCCAAATATGCATATATATATATATATATATATATATATATATATATATATATATATATATATATATATATATATATATATATATTTGACCCCTTGACTCATCCTAGCCCTGTGGATGGCCGTAATTTTATCAAACTTGAATCTCACTGAATTCCCTTTATCTCACTGAATTCCCTTTATCCAAAAATGCTTCACGTTCAATTGAAATTAGCCCAAAGGTTCTGGAGAAGTTGAAAAATAAAAGTTTACTATTGAAAAGATAGAACACCTAATGGTATACTGATTGCTTCAAAAGTATTTGGACAATGATAGCAAAATATAGATACTCAAGCATGAAGAAAAATACTGTAAATCACTTTTTATTCGCGAGAATTTTTTTCTTGCATAAATACATGAGGCAGTGTGCTTGCGAAAATTTCATTATCGCTTATATTAGTATTCCTGAAGATTGTATATATAGAGCAATAACCACAATTCGTGAAAATCTTGTTTCACTAATAAGGAGTAAATTACTATAACGGGAAAATAAGGTGTCGCAAAAGTTTAGTGATCTACAGTATGTGACATTGAAACAAAATCGAGGGATGTGTCAGATAAGTCCTATAATGGTTATCACCATACAAGTTTAGGATACAACTTAATTTAGATCATAGCAAAGGGCTTGGTGGCAATATCCCTCATATCCATGATTCAATAGGAAATTTTCAATGTTTTGTAGCTGGATATGAAATTTATATTATTATAAGTTTGACAGGAATTTTTTTTATGCCTTCAAGAGTCTGAAGATTTACATGTATTTATATTTAACATTAGCCATTTCCATGTGACATTCTTTGAAAATGGGAAAATGGTTACATATTTATCTATTCTTGACAATGTCACTGTACTAAATGTATTAATCTATTGCCTCTATTGTCATAATTAATTCTATTGTCATAAAGGGTCACCAATTATTCTGAACATAAAAGACATTATTTACAATTTGAAGCATTTATTACCGTAACATAGCTATGTAATGTACATGTATATCTCATAACTTTTTGGAATATTGTATTTTACCGACTAAATTATGAAAATAAATACTTTTATCAAGGCCACCCTGTGGTAATATGTTAATACTGAACAAGATGCAACAGTGTTCTTTAAAAATATATAGATTTTTTTTACATACTAAATTCTAAAAATTGGAAATAAATACGAACAATTCATTCTGTTAGGTCCAAAAATTTGCATCTGTCAAATGAAATTTATTGCTGCCTTTAATTTTGGTTACCAGGGTACATGGATTTGCAAAAAAGCAAAATTTTTCATGAGCTAGACAACTGTCAATGAAATAAGACAACTGAATATCTAGCAAATCATCTTATGTTACAAATACACATTTAGGACAATATATATAAATGTTTGTGTCTTTTTTCTAGATACCATAAATATTGCAGAAGAAATGAACACAATGTTATATAATCATCCCCACGGGAAGGGCTTTGAGCTTTACTCATAGTCTTTATAGAGGTCCTCATACTTGGACCCTGTCACAACTGCTATTCACTGCCTGAAGTTTCATTTTTAAGTTTTAATAAGTCCCAGTTGATTTTTTAAGGCTTCTTCTGCCTCTGAAGAGCCAGTTCCATCGCTAAAGCCTTCAAATCTATTTTGAAATTCTTCAAGTCACATTTACCCTTTCCTGCAATATCTGAACATACTGGCTGCTTGATAATAACTTTATCAGGGTATTTTTGGATAGATTTCTGGACAGATTTATCACCGGTGTCTTTTTTCTCTTTACTATTTGTGGCCTTGTTCTCTAGAGTTAAGGTTGGTAAAGTTGATTCTACAACATGTTTATCAGTTATTTCGGGTGTAGATAATTTTGACTCTGAAGCATTTATGTCTATTACTTTAGAAGTAGACATTTTTGATTCTGATGCAAGGTTGCCATTAGGAGTAGATTTCTTAGATTTGGGGGCCAGTGTGTCAGATAAATTACTCCTAGATTCTTTTGTTTCTGTGGCTGGAATTTCAGCTATCCTAGTTTTGGGTCTGTTAGACTCCGAGTTGGATAGATCCTTTATTCTATGAGGAGATTTCTGTGATTTTGATCTGGGTTTATCACATACATCAGAAACTGGCTTTTTTGATTTCAAAGCAGATCTTTCAATGGATTTTTCTGATTCTGAAAGAGGTTTGGTTTTATTTTTAAGGGTGAGCTCCTTCGATTCTGAGGTTTGTATACTGCTTCCTTTCAGAGGAGATTTTTCCAGTGCTGAAGAAGGCTTTTCAGCAATAGCCTTTTTTAATTTTGGAGGAGATTTGGTTATACTTTCGGGAGTGAGCTCCTTTGACTCTAAGGTTTGTATACTGCTTTCTTTCAGAGGAGATTTTTTCAGTTCTGAAGAAGGCCTTTCAATCTTTTCAGCAACTGGATTTTTTGATTCTGAAGGAGGTTTGGCTTTACTTTTAGGGGTGAGCTCCTTTGATTCCAAGGTTTGTATACTGCTTTCTTTCAAAGGAGATTTTTTTAGTTCTGAAACAGGCCTTTCAATCTTTTCAGCAACTGGATTTTTTGATTCTGAAGGAGGTTTGGCTTTACTTTTAAGGGTGAGCTCCTTTGATTCTGAGGTTTGTATACTGCTTCCTTTCAGAGGGGATTGTTTCAGTTCTGAAGCAGGTATTTCAGTCTTTTCAGCAACAGACTTATTCATGAATTCAGAAGCAGCTTTCTTTGGAGATTTACCCAGAAGCTGAATTGTTGTATCTGGAATCTTTTCCAATTGCACAACTAGAGATTTCTTGAAGAGTCTTGCTGTATCCCCTTCCTTGCATGATCTTATTGGTAGTTTAACTTGGAGTTTCTGTTTAGATTTAATTGATTTTGGTGGAGATGTGCTTTGGTGTTTTATCTTGACCTTTTCACTGCTTTTGCTTGCTGAGTTTTCAGGACTCCTTACAGTTACCATAAATGTTTCCTTTGCTAAAGCCACATCTGAACTTTTCTCTGATGGTGTAATCTGGGAAGTTTCTTCTGTTGAATTCTTCTTTGAATTTTTTTCTTCTGAACTAACCTTTAAGTGTTTCTTTAAGTGTTCCTTTGGTGAATTTACCTCTGACCTTTCTTTCACTGTAGTTACCTTTGACCTTTCCTTTTCTGAAGTAACCTCTGACGTTTCCTTTGCTGAAGTTACCTCTGACCACCTTTCCTTTACTGAAGTTACCTCTGACCTTTCCTTTACTGAAGTTACCTCTGACCTTTCCTTTACTGAAGTTACCTCTGATCTTTCCCTTGATGAAGTTACCTCAGACCTTTCCTTTGCTGAGGTAATCTTTGCACTTGCTAAAGTTTCATCCTCTTCTGTAGTTCTTGAGGCTGTTTCCATGGGAGAAGATCCAGTTTCTTTATCTGGGTTCCCTCTGATTTTCTTTGCAGGAGAACGCTGCGGGGATCTGGAGATCTTCCTTTTCTTTTGTCCTGTGAATATAATGTTTCCTTTCAGCTGTTTAAGCACCCTTAAGATCAAAGATGTATATTCTTTGTGCAAAAGTAATGGAATGCCTTAATATTCTAAATATTATTTAGATCAATTGCGAGAAGATTATGCTGCATTAAGTATAATCAAATCACTTTTGAGATGTAACAGCATCTAGATATGATGGCTGAAAAAAAAATCATTTATAACAAAAAGTAAAGATACTTCCCGAGTTTTTACACTGTCTTTTAACATGGAATTGTTACACTGTCAATTTTAACATGGAATTAAATTATTTAGGCCAAAGAAAATAATGGTCTTGTTTCCTGCTACCCAACGGACCCTATTTTTATGCACCCGACACTACAGTTTTTTTTTAGTTTTGGAAAAAAAAAAAAATAGGAAATTTCAGGAATTTCATGTTTCAAAACTGAAAAAAATATATATTCAAGTGGTATATCATGAAATTGTATGTTTTAAATATGGACTTTCATAAAATACCACTTGAGTTGTGCATCAAAAGACATTAGATTTAATTTTAAAAGATAATATTGACCTATGACATGTTTAATTTGATTTGTATTAGTTCATATCCCAAAAATACCATTGGAAAAAAATAAAATAAAATAAAAAAGTAAAATAATTTTCCTATCTACCTCCCCTATTTTTTTCAGGTTGGTAGCAGGAAACAAGACTATTATTTTTTTTTTGGCCTTACCTGTACAAAGCCTCAATCATTGACAAAATTTATGAGAGATGATCTACTAAATACCTTTTTCAGTATCGATCTTTTCCTTCCCTTTTTTCCTCGGACTGACAACAGAAGGTTTTAACGGAGAGTTTTGATCTACCTTGGTCCCTTTTTCATTAGATATGTCCACTTCCATATCAAAACCAGTATTATTTGAGTCCTTGGGAGGGGCCTGATTACCACATAAAACCTGAGCAGGGTCTCCATCATCTGTTATAGCAGTTTCTTGACAATCTTTGATCCCATCAGCTGTAGAATGGATGTCTTTAACTTTGGATCGATAGTTAGCATTGCTGCCTAGACTTGATGGTTCGTGAGGTGAATCCCCAGTAAATTTTGGCTTGTTCCCTTGTGAAACACTTGGGTTGTTATCATGAGTCTCACTGTCACTGTCTTCAACAGGAGAATGCACAAATGTGTCAACTGAATCCATAGGCTCTGAGTGGTCATCATTAAAAGTATGATCACCAACTGCATCAGAGGATGTTTCATTAGTCCCAGTACCATGTTCATTTGAATCATTCTGTAAGGATGTGTTACGGCTGACCTCTTCCGATTCACAACCGATATTCCTTGCTTCACTTTCAGGTTTGGAGGTAACTGATTTCTTAGAATCAGAGGATAAATTCTGGATCTCATCATTTAAAGATGATTGCTGGTGGTCTGTTATGGTCTGAGAATTTGCTGCCTGGCCTGTCTGAGTTTGGTCTGGAGCAAGCAGCCTGGATTTAACAGATGCCTGGTTAGATTCCACAGTCAAGTCAGATTTTTCTGGTAATATGATTTCAGTTCTTCTGCTTCCTCTTTGAATTTGGACTCTGATATTCTTGAGCCTCTCTTGTTTAGGTTTTCCAGGGGAGGAGGTATCTGAAATCATTAGTCAAAAACATATATTTAAACAATTCTGTAGAATGTTTAAAATTGTTAGAAGTTTGTTAGCAGTTAATTCTAAAACATATTCAATGCACAGAAACCATAATCAAAATATGACCATACTGGTTTTTTTGGTGAGATAATTAACATATCTGAATTATCAAAATAAGAGTGTGACTAAAGCATGCAGTTTGCTTTTGTAGCCAAGTTGATTCAAGTTCTATATATAGAATGACTACACATCCAAAAACTATGTACAGAAAGCCCACTTCAAAAGCAAGGATAATCTGACATTCTAACTTAAGTATGTTCTCAGTTCATGGTCCTTAGGCCAGGTCCCTGGATCAGGAAGCAGTTATAGACTAAAGTCAGAATCTGTATATTGTCTTTATAAAGTTTTATTATAAGAAAACAAAGCAATCTAAAATGTTATCAAAAATTGTTTCTGCTTATAATTAATATTCTTTTTATGTGACTTAAGTCTAAGACTGTTTCATGATCCTGGGACCTGGGCTACATTCAAGATCACTGCTGCTAGCCCAGCTGCTAGGCTTGATATCTAAATTGTTCAATGCATTGTATGAATTAATGCTTGTGTGGCTAGTCTAGCATATCCTTATTGATTGTAGCCCTACATAGCTGTTAAAATCTTTAACATGCAGCCCAAGTATCAATTACATTGGTACACTGTACTTGTTTCCACACAGTACACGAGGCAGTATTGCAGGTACTCTTGAGTTGGACTTAAATTTGATCAATTTTTTCTTCAACTGTGAGATAAAAATCTCATTTACCCTGTATTACAGAAAACTTCAATATTACAGTGCATTACTGTTTTAATTTATAATAGACTAGATTGTGTAATCCCTGTGAAGACAATTTTGGAGATTTTTCCAAAAAAATGTTAAACTTTGGACCTGCTCTCATGGTCCCATACCATGCCGAGTGGACCATAATTTGAACAAACTTAAATCCACACTACATGAGATGTACACTGTAATTTGCCAATTTATAGTTCTAGGGTTTTCCGGAAGAAAATCAAATTTTTCCCAATACATTTTTTTGGACTTCCTTGACAACCTTGCCCATGCCCTGGGCTTTGTTTCTCTGCCCTCAAGGCCTTGATTTGAACAGACTTTAATCTAAGGAATTCTTGCATATAAACTGGACAATCTGTAAATGAGAACTTATTCATAGGATTTTAGAAGAATCTTCTTCTACACATTTCTCTGTAAAACTTTAATACCTCTTTTGAGACTCCATTCCCCACCCTACGAGCCACAGTCTGTATAAAGAGGATGTCTACACATAATTTTGACAACTGTTTGCCTAGCAGGATAAACATTACTTGTTTGTCTCTTTGGGTGGGGATCAGGCCCTTTATTTGGACAATTTTACACCTCTTTGCCATGGATGTTCTGTGGAAAGTTCAATTATATTGGCTTATGTTTGGCCATGTTTCTTAAATTTTCAAAATATGAAAAATTAACCGCACAACGGAAGTTGAACCTTCTACAGACGACAAACTTTCATCAAAATATTCATTTGAGCCTTTGGAACATATGAGCTATACACTCGAGCACAGCAATCTGCATAAGATCTGCATACTGGAGTAAAATTACCTAGCAAACTTGCAGTTAATTTTCTGGACTGGTGTTCTTGATTTTCGATGTTGAAGACGGTAAAACTGCTGTCTTTTGATTTCAAGGTCTCCTCGGTCTCTTCTTGGTCTACTTCAAAATCACTGTCTACCTCTTTTATACTAGTCACAGTGATAGCAGTTTTTGGTGCAATAGGATACCTTAAAAAAGAGGGTGGTGACTTTTCCTGGATTTTGCATTCGGAGACCTTTTCCTGCACATCTGTCGAAAAAAACAAGGGCAATCAAGCACTGTCATACATTTAATATATTTGTTGTACATTTAAAAAAAAACTAACATATGTATGAATATGAAATGCTCACTTGTGAACTTGAAAAGATTCATGAGTATCCATAGCTTTTAGATACAAGTATGAATAAGACTAGAGATAAGAAAAACCTAGGTAATCAGAGATTACAGAGCTCATCTAAATGAATGTTGACTAAGTAAAGAAAGTCCCAAACCAAACTAATAATCTAGTAGTGTGCATCCCTACATGAAACATTTATGTAATTTTGGTCTCATAGGGCTTGCAGTTATTTGGGAATGGACTTACCTAAAAACTTTAAACTAGTCACTTATCCAGAAAATGTAAGTAAAATCCAGCATCTGAAGCAAGTTTGAGAGTGTTCATCCCATGATGCATCATCCATGCAAGTTTGATTCAAACAGGCCTTATAATTTCTTGGTAATGGACCTGCTCCAAAAACCTTAATCAGGTCATTCATCTGGAAAATGTAGGTCAGATCCAGCATCTGAAGCAAGTTCAGGAGTGTACATCCTTAGATGTATCATCCATTCAAGTTTGGTCAGCACAGGGTTTATAGTTACTTGGAAATGAGACCTGCTCCAAAAACTTTAGCCTGCTCCAAAAACATTAACCTGGTAATTTTTTTTTTTGCAAATTGCAGCATCTGAAACCTTGACTGGTACAATGAAACACACTAGAAGCATCCTCTATGCATCTCTGATTAATTTAGGGCATAAAAGTACACTTGCAAAGAAATCTGCTCCAAAATTTTAACCTGGAACACCAAAACCGAGGTATAACACAAGCTCCCCCAACTTCCTAGAGGTGAGCTAATAAAAAACATTGAATACTCACCAAAGCAGAATTTGTGAAACTGTTCAGCTATTTGACGATTCACTGCAAGGAACTTTTTTCCTTTTTCTGAGCCAGTTACATGAAGGGAAGTTCCATCTGCAGTCATCAATAAGCTCTCTTCTCCATGTTCTGTCAGCTTCAACAGCTGTTCAAAAACATAAACAATATACATAGATTGCACAGACAATGTTTAAAATCTAAGTAGTTACTGATGAATATAACAACAGAAGAACTGAATGGTACATTCATGGGAAAAAAAAAATGAAAATTACCTGCAATAAAACTTATGGGTAAAAGTAGAGGAAAGGTCAAGAATTGATTTGTTTTGCTTATGGTTATTACATATTACAATGGTTATTTCCATTCTTATGCCGATACGATATATCCCGGTGAGCTTGAAATAAAAGATATCACAGACTCTGACACATCTGTTTCAGATTTGGATATTTTACTACAAAAAAAATGTTAATGGTAATCTAACAACCAAGCTTTATGATATACGTGATGACTTTAACTTTTCAATCGTCATCTTCCCTTACTTATGCAGCAATATACCTTCATCACCTGCAAACGGGGCTTATATCTCTCAGTTGATTAGATACACAAGAGCATGCTCTACGTATGAACAATTTCTAAAACGAGGTAAGTTATTGACAAACAAGTTGATGAAACAAGAATATCAGCATCTTGTTTAAAGTCATCATTTCGTAAGTTCTATGGTCGATACTATGACTTCGTCAGCAAATACAATTTATCACTAAGTCAAATGTTAACTGACGTTTTTTATACTAATTGTTAGGCCATTATTTACAAACTGAATTGTTGACAGATTTTTTCGCACAAAAAGTCTGCTGTTTCTCGATTTAGTTCTCTGTATTTTTTAAAATTGCCATCTCAAAATATTACTGACATATTTTTTACTGTTTCTACAACAAAAGATTTCCTATAATTGCTGTTAACAACCCTCCTGAAATTGAGTCAGTTGATAGAGGTCTAAGAAATTTTTTTTAAATCAAGCTTCTGTGCAGTTGAGAGAAGAATTTGGAAAAATAAATCCAAAACAGAGCCCAACTTTTTGTACATATAGTAACATTATTTTTTATGGGTGGATTTGTAGCTCTCCAGTTTGTCAGTATATTTTTTCGGAGAGCTACAGGGATCTAGAATTACGCTTTCACGTTGCCCGAACCAATCCGGAAAGATCTCAAAATTACGGAATGGCTTTTAAAACAGAAATGATGTTTTGAAAACAATGTTTTGTCAAAAATGTGATTAAATCGATAGAAATTTTAACAAAATAATAAACAAGTACATAATAATTGCTTTTAGATGGTGTATATATTAAAACCACACAATGAAAAAAATAACAAAATAGAGTTGTTTATATTTTTCTAGATTTTTGTTTTTGAGTTTTGTTTTAGGTTAATTAATGATATGTTTTCAAATAAATAAACCAGTAAATTTAAATGATTTTCTGATATGTTTTCAAAAAAAAAATCAGTAAAACTAGATGATTTTCTCTATCTTTTTGGGGGCAAGTGAATTTTGAATCTGGGCAAGTGGATTCCCAGTCATTACTTGCCCGTGGGCAAGTGAATTTAAAAAAAAATTCTAGACCCCTGAGCTACATGCAGTTCTGCAGCAAGGGTTTGAAGAAGAATACCATATTAATATTACCAGGGGATTCCAGCATTATAGTTGGGGAAAATCCCCGGGGCTTAGGAACAACCCTGATTTCGGGGTACATACCAGCTCATCTATGTTCTTGATAATCAAATCTCTGTAGTCTTTGAAACTCGCTGCACTGTCCATCTCAGTCTGTAAAATAGTTTATTCATATGACATACTGAAAAGTTACATGCAATAGAATCATAGGTGCTTCGGTTTTAATTAAAGTATATGTCTGCTAAAATTCTGCTAAGTTCCAAAATTTATCTTATTTTTAAGGTAGAAATACTCCTTTAAAATTTCATTCAAGAAAACTCGCTTTATAATTCTTTATGTAGCCACGAAACTGACTATTGTGCTGAACCTGTTTAGAACTTGGATTACAGAAGGAGACACATATTGCATAATCAAGACCTTTTTAAATACCGTTCATTCATGGGATTTTTGTGACATAGTATATAAGCTTGAGCCTCATAACCATGATAACATGCCCTTTCTCACAAATGCTGGATCACAAATGCTGAGGTGAGATGCGTTTATTTATTAATAACTCGTACCAGTAGTAACAAGGATCTCCTGTACGTTGAATCACTGAGCCCAAGCAAGTTAAGTTTCCAATAGACGACCGACCGCTGTTTATTTGTTGCATGTAAAAATAAAATTTCTCTAGAAGCAACGAGACTGGAATCCTCTAACGGCATTACTCTGAAGAGGACTGGTGGCTTCAGAGATCCCTGCATCAAAACGTTTGGCCGACGTATTCCATAAGTAAATTGATTATAAAAATGTGTGTTGATTTTTTTTCCTTCATAAAACAATAACATTTTTCAGTCTCTGAGAATCTTTAATTTTATATGAATAAACTTTGTACAACTTACTTATTGAGTCTCGATACAATAACAAAGGGACAGTATCAAAATTCAATAATTTTTGTCCTTTTTTTCATACTTCACCAGCTGCTTCGAGGCCAGTTCTAATGCTCTGCACTACCACAAAATATATTCCAATGTATGTGCATAAACTGATCAGCGAATGATTCTGAGGCATCCACCTTTCCATAAAGCTACACTTCACCCCTTGAACCCACCCCGATTCTGAGAAGGAAGTGTGTGTTGTAGCTTACACTTTTATAGCATGGTTCCTTGACCCTTTGACAAATGCAGATTTTTCTATGGAAGCGTCCACGAATCATTGTCCTTGCCGTTATTGCTGCTGGGATTTTCATGACATTCCAGTTCTTTTCTCTGGAAGCCTTGTTTTATGCTCAAAAAAGAGCAGCGGTGAGGTCTTACAGTTACATCAATGAGAATGAAAGAAAGGAAAACCTGGTAAAGGAATTCAACAATGAAGAGGTAGTGACAGTTAATGTAAAAGAACCAAATGAAATTAATCATCTAATAAAAACTCCAAGAGGAGTCCATAAAGATGACATGCATTTATATACAGTAGTTCAGCAGGATGAAAGGGAGATGTTCAGGTGTGTGAAGTCCAGGAGATTGATTCCTTATTCCTGGATAAATGATGATTACTGTGACTGTGAGGATTCAAGTGATGAGCCTGGAACATCAGCTTGTCCAAATGGTAGATTCTACTGTACTCTTCAGCTGCCAGATCAGAAGGCAGCCAGTCTTCCCTCCAGTGGCGTGAATGATGGAATATGTGACTGTTGTGATGGTAGTGATGAATGGGCAGCAAGGGCACCACCAAAATCAATGAGACATAAAGGTAAAAACATAGTCCTACAAGCACCTTGCCAAAACCACTGTGATACCATTGCAAAAATCAGCAAGGAAAACGAACAGATCAGAAAAATGGGGCAGAGATTAAAAAGAACCTATCTTATAGCTGCTCAATCATTAAGCAATAAAGAAGTGTATGGACCAGAGGGAGTGTTTTACAAACTGAGTCAGAAATGTTTTTCACACAAAGCTCATCCATACGAATACAAAATTTGTCCATTCCAAAGTGTTACACAGGAACAGTTTCCAACACAACAGTGGTCTCTCGGCAGGAAGGCTGTCTGGAAACAGAGATCACACGGACAGTTCCTGCTGGAGATGTCTGGCGGGGATGGTGTAAATTGTCCTGGAAGAGGCAGGCAGTCATTGATTTTATTTCTTTGTGGCATCAGTGATCGTGTTGTTGAATTAAGAGAAGACCAGCGTTGTGAATATCTTATTAAATTTGCAACTCCAGCAGCATGTTAATCAATGTTTATTAGTTATTATAATATTTTTTTATAGTACATGACTGTATACATTGTACATGATGTATACTCCTCATATTGTAATGCAAAGTTGAACTCACATAAAGTATAACTTCAGTCTTGGTTGAAAAAAAAATGTAGCCTAAGGACATTTAATGGAGAAGTTAAATATAAATTAACTTAAAATAAGATACCTGGTATTCATTTATTTTGTAGGGTTGTCCCTTAGAATTGAAATAGCAGGGGACAATAAAAATTTAGAAGGGGTTCTGGGGTTCTTCCCCAAACAGACAGCTAACTAAAGGGGGAATACCAGAATAACCAGGAAATAACGTCATTATAGACGGGCAAATTCACAGCCCCAAGGTATTGTATTTTATCCAGACTGGTCAAAAAGTCAATACCGGAAAATATTCTAGGAAAATGTGTATGATCATCTTAATTGCTAAATTAAAACATACTATCCCTTATATAGATAAGTAATGGCCTTAACCTTTATACTGTGATTATAATATTTCTATTGAATGTGAATAATTTCTTCATGATTCATCATTTGGGAGCTTCAGAAATATATTCTTATAAATATAAACCTCAGAGTTGAGGTGTGTTATTCAGGTATAAGCTACATTTACACTCTAATAGAGTATCAGATTCCATTGTAAAAACAGAAGCAGAGAACACAAAATGAAGATAAATCACCAATACTTAGGTAAACTGTTTAAAACATATATTTTCTTCCATGGGATCAGAAAATCTGCAAAATCACAATTTTGGTTTATTCCAAAACAAAACGGTAGTATGTATTGTAATCCTTATTTAGATCAATATACGCTGTGACATATTCCTTAGAAAATTTGATGTTAACTTAGGCCAAAAAAAATAATAGTCTTGTTTCCTGCTACCCGACCTACCCTATTTTTTTGCACCCGACCCTAAATTTTTTTTTAAGTTTTGGGAGAAAAAAAATCGGGAATTTGCGGAATTTCATCGTTCTGTCACCGTAATCGGTTTCCGTGTTAACACAAAACAAGCATTTCATGAAATTCTTGTTTTAAATATGGACTTTCATAAAATACCACTTGAGTTGTGCATAAAAAGACATGAAATTCAACTTTAAAAGACATTATTATACCTCTATAAGAATACTCAAATTTGATTGGCTTGTTAGAAGGCTTTTAAACTCAATAATGACTCCAAAAAGTACCTTTTACAGCAATAATGACCTAGGAATCATTGCACGTGGGGTATAATGACCGGTCAATAAAATTAATGACCGCTTAAAATGACCTGTTACTCCAAATTCCATTCAAATTAAAAAAAAATATGCATACAGTAATGATTTTACATTACAAAAATTGCCGTTATAAAAATATGTATAGTATTTTTAGGATACGGAACACGATTGGCCTTTAGATGCGTCATAACATTTATCGTTTTCATTGAAATTATCTTTCGTTACAATACAATGTCAAATTCAACGAACGCAGACTCGGCTCTCTTGTACACTTAAAGTCTACACCAGATTGTCATTGTAGTCGGGAATGGTATCTGTGAATTTATAAAAATGCAATGTTACTGACAATCACAGAGTGTTTTAATAAATCGGCGGTGCAAAAACTTACAAGACTAGCAGCCGAAAAGTGAACAACTTCACTAGCGAATCCCGATCCCGATGGAACACTGATAACAGTTCATAGGTCTTATACATGTAATTGATTATTTTAGTAATTAAGCTTACAAAAATTGCCTTAACTTATATCGGTATAATAAAACAATTGATTACCCCTTATGAGGTCAATATGGTAAAATAAGGACCCTCGACCTGGCCCACTCGCTGACCTGACCTGACCTCGGCCGCTACGCGGCCTCGGTCAGGTCAGGTCACCTCGTGGGCCAGGTCTCGGGTCCTTATTTTACCATGTTGACCGCATAAGGGGTAATTAATTGTATAATATTGACCTGTGACATGTTTAATTTTTATCTTGTATTAGTTCATATCCAAAAACTGCTGTCGGAAAAAAATAAAATAAAAATATAAAATAAAATAATTTTCCTACCTACCTACCCTATTTTTTTCAGGCTGGTAGCAGGAAACAAGACTATTATTTTTTTTGGCCTTACCATTAATTAATCCCATTGGACAAAAGTATGTTTGTAGTACATGTATATAATTTTTGTATTTGAAAAAAGAGGTAATATATTTTGATATTAATATATACAAGTACAACAGTGCAAAATGTGAATTTGAAATTAAAGAACACACAGCCAAATTTTAGTGATCTTTAGTTTGACATTTTTAGCTCATCTCGAGGGAGTTGAGATGAGCTTATGCTATATCGTCAGCGTCGGTGTCGGCATTAGCGTCGGTGTCCTGGTTAAAGTTTTAGGAGCAAGTCCATTCCCAAGTAACTGTAAGCCCTAGCTGGACCAAACTTGCATGGATGATGCATCTAGGGATGGACACTACCACACTTGCTTTGGATGCTGGATCTGACCTAGATTTTCCAGATGAGTGACCAGGTTAAAGTTTTTGGAGCAGGTCCGTTCCCAAGTAACTATAAGCTCTACCTGGACCAAACTTGCATAGATGATGCATCTAGGAATGGACACTATCACACTTGCTTCGGATGCTGGATCTGACCTAGATTTTCCAGATGCAGATGGGTGACCAGGTTAAGATTTTGGAGCAGGTCCATTCCCAAGTAACTATAAGATCTACCTGGACCAAACTTTCATGGATGATGCATCTAGGGATGTACACTAGCCCACCTGCTTCGGATACTGGATTTGACCTAGATTTTCCACATGAGTGAATTATAGTCATATTTAACCAAATTAGCATGGATGATGTATCTAGGGATGGATACTTCCAGACTTGCTTTGAATTCCGAATTTGACCTACATTTTCCAGATGAGTGACCAGGGTAATTTTTTTTGAGTAGCTATATAATATTATGGCCTGTTATAATTAAACTTGTATAAATGGTGCGTCTTAAAATGAAAACTTCCAGACTTGCTTTAGATTTTGGAACTGACCAAAATTTTCTTGATCAGTAAACAAGTTAAAAGTTTTTGAGCAGGTCTATTTCCAAGTAACTATAAGTCCTACTTAATTCAAACTTGCATGGATATTGATCTTTGCATGTACACTAACTAGAAAAAAAAACATGATGTGAAATTTGCCTTACTTATAGATAACATTCGTCGAGGTGAGCTTCGTAATCTTTGATTACCTATGTTTGTTTTTCAAAGGAGTCAGAAAACTTGTGGATTCTAAACTCACTGGAGCTGAAAGCTCAAGTGAGCTTTTCTGATCACCTGTTGTCAGGCCTCCATCTGTCCATCAGTCAATTAACTTTTCAATTTTTTTTACTTCTTCTTAAGAACCACTTTGTTTTAATTTTAACCAAAGTTGGCACAAAGCATCCATAGGTAAAGGTGATTCTAGAAAAAAATTTCAAATAAAGCCACCCCCCCTTTCCAAGGCAAGGTAGTCAAGACAAGGTAAAAATAGGATGGAGTCATTAAGAAACTTTCATGTTAAGAACCACTTGTCCAGAAATGTTGAAACTTATGCAGGAGCATTTTGATGTAGTGTAGTTTATAGAAAGTCAAAATCATAAGCCCGGGACAAAGATGGGACCACAACATGGGATGAAAGTTATACTTTAAAATATATAAGAAACATCTATGAATTTAAAATAATCTTCTCAAGGACCACTGGGCCAGAAAAGGTGAATTAAATTATGTGGAAGCTTCCTGAAATGTAGACTCTAAATTATAATTCAAATCATGACCCTCGGGGGTAAGATGGGGCCACAATAGGAGATGAAAGTTTTAAATTTAAATATATATAAGAATAAAATGTGTTTGTGAAACACTGATGCCCCCATATGGCAACTTATAGTGAAGGTTAAACTTTCTCAAATGCAAATCAAATATATTGGTACCCAAAGGAAGGTCTTGTCCCAAGGAATATACCTGTGAAATATGAAAGTCCTAGCAGCAACCATTTAAAAGATATGGAAAAGGTTAAAGTTTTTCAAAATTAGGTCAAACTCCAAGGTCAAGGTCAAAGGGTCAATGTTGTTGGTATCAAAAGGAAGGACTTGTCACAAGGATTACACATGTGAAGTATGAAAGCCCTAGCACCAACTGTTCAAAAGTTATGGCCAAGTTTAAAGTTTTTGAAAAGTAGGTCAAACTCCTAGGTCAAGGTCAAAGGGTCAAAGTTCTTGGAATCCAAAGGAAGGTCTTGCCACATGGATTACATATGTGAAGTATGAAAGCTGTAGCACCAACTGTTCAAAAGATATGGTCAAGGTTAAAGTTTTCCAGAAGCAGGTCAAACCTCAAGGTCAAAGTGGTTGGTATCCAAAGGAAGATCTTGTCACAAGAATTACATATGTGAAGTATGAAATCCCTAGCACCAACCATTTAAAAGTTATGGCCAAGATTAAAGTTTTTCAAAAGTAGGTCAAACTTCAAGGTCAAAGGGTCAAAGTTGTTTGGTATCCAAAGGAAGGTCTTATCACAAGGATTACACATGAGAAGTATAAAAGCCCTAGCACCAACTATTCAAAAGTTATGGTCAAGGTTAAAGTTGAGTAAAATTTTGTAAAACTGGGTCAAACTCCAAGGTCAAAAGGTCAAATATGATGGTACCCAAAGAAAGGTCTTGTTATGTTGATGTTGATGTACAAGGAATACACATGTGAAATATGAAAGCTATAGCTCCAATCAATCAAAAGTTATGAGCAATGTTAAAGTTTTTGCTGACAAACAGATAAACAGACAAATAGACAGACAGATAGGCACAATAAAAGATCAAATTTTTACATTGAAATAATTAGAGAAATCCTTAAAAATCCCTTTTTTTCAACAGAACAACTGGATGAGAAATGGTGAAACTTATGAGATACCTTCCAAAAGTAGAGTAAATTCTCAACTGTTCAACTCATGGCACCTGGGGGGGGGGGGGGGGGGGTTAGGGTTGGGCCACTATAGGGATCAAAGGTTTCGCATGGAACTATGTAAGCTTTTTTAAAAATCTTCTTAAGAAATACAATAAGGACCATTAATTTGCAAACATTCCCAGTTATCTAATTTTTTTTTCAAAATTATGGACCACAGGTTGGAAGGGCTAAAATCAGGATCAAATTTTACATAATGCATGTTTTAATAGGAAAAGAATTATTTTCTCCATAACTGCAGGGCACTGTTAATCATATTGATATCAAATCATCCCTATGATATGTGGATTCAGAGACCCTTTATAGTTAGGGTAGGGCCATGGTATGGGGTCACAATATTTTTCGTGGGAATATAAAAATCTAAGGAACAGCAGTGCTGAAGTAACTCAGGTGAGTGTTGTAGTCCATGGGCTTCTTGTTTTTCTTTTAGATTCTGCAAGATCAAATTTGAATCTTTGAGGCCCTGTTTCCTGGGTTAACTTTGAGAGAAAACAGTATTTAGTTACGTGATTATAATTTAATTTTGTTTCTATTCTAGCCTCTGATTGGTTAATATCCAAAAAGGAACACAAATTATTTCTGTATAACCTGGTTTGGTATGGGGACACCCCCCCCTGACAACCAGCTGAATCTTAAACTGAAATTGCTTCCTACGGAATTGTTTTGTATGTTTCATACCTGCATGCGCTTTGGAATTATGTACACCTTTGATCAGAAAAAAAAATCCATTCAAATCAGAAGTCCAGAAATTGTTGGTTTTTTTTTTTGTTTGAAACATGCTTAATTCTGACAATTTCTTTTCATATTTATCAAAAATATATCAAATATTAAGTATATAGTATACTTAGCAATCATTATCCTCCTTTTGCAAAGGAATACTTGAGTACTGAAGTATTGTATTTCCGAGAGAGAAAAATAGAATAGTGAAATCAAATGATTTGAATGATAACATTATAATGACCACGTCTCTAAAATTCCATCTTGTGTGTATATCGTAATCATGTTTTGATACATTAACATATCAGTGGCGTATATATATTTCCATATAGGCAAAAAGGCTGTAGCCTACACCTCATTTCTCAGGAAAGATAATTTGGTTGAATAAAGGGGCGGGGAATTAATAATAAATCATACCTATTAATTTTATTTTGTTGCAAATGCTAAAAAAGCATTCTTAGCAATCCGCACTTTTATACCTATCCGATTATGTTTACAGTTTTGCTTTTATATTTAAGGACAAAACTATTCCCATAGCTGGAATTTTTTAAGCCAAAGTTTAAGTGTTATTAATATTAAGTTTGTATCAGAAAATTTCATCGAAAGCAAAAAGTGCAGGAAATGAAATTGATAACTTGAAATATATTTGGTTAGTACGAAATTAAACGTATTGTTCGAATTTTGATTAGACAGTAAGGAAGTTCCCTATATTATCTGAGCAGAGTATAAGGATAAGGAAAGAGTTCTCAGTTTTGTTAAGTGGTCTTCATATCACGATATGAACTGAGAATATGTCTACAATATTATTTTTACTGGTCAAATTAATATTGTAGATGTCTGGGTTTGCAAAAATCCTCCCTTTGAACCCCCCATACCTATCGAGAGGGATCTCCTTGCCTACCACATTTGCACCTCAGGTTAAATCTGTGACTTCACACTAACCTACACATTAGCAGAAAGGAATATACGCCACTGGATTTTAACGATATATCCATCAAAACAGTATTTTAGGATATTCTATACTGATGTTTAAGTAATTAAAAAATCAGAGTTAAACAATTTAAACTTTTTAATACGGGTACTTTTTCAGATTTTATTATCAATTATTTGTTTATTTATAAGTACATGTGTAGGTTTGTTGAAAGGGGGAGGGGGCTTATAGTGTTTTCACTATAAATACATGTATATAGTGTTTTCACACACTATATTGAAAACAGTCTAATTTTTGTTTTACACCACCAGATTTATTTGATATACCAAGTAATTGGTTTTATTACAAATCAATTTATATATTTTCAAATTTCCCCAATTATCTTTAGATACTATTTGAGTGATTCAGAAGAGTTGTGAACGTGTTTTTCGTTGCATTAAATGGTTTCTTCGCGAATTCGGTCGAGAACTGACCGCGAATATTTTCACTCCGCGTAAGTCTTGCGCCGCAGTTAAATTTGAAATGATATATATATAGAGAACCCTGCACATGTAAAACACCATAATGCCCTGGCTATATACATTGAGGGGCAAAACAATTCTCTCAGTTGTGGTGACCCAAACACCGAGGAGGCTGTCTAAGACAGTAGTGTTCGTGTATTGATAATGAGAATTCGGTCACTTTTGTGTTAATTATTTTAGGAATGACTCTAATTCTTGGCCAAATTACTCGAGTATTTATAACCTGGTTTGGGTCAGTTTACGCTAAAAATTCCAGCGATGGGAATAGTTTTGTCCTTAAATATAAAAGCAAAACTGTAAACATAATCGGATAGGTATAAAAGTGCGGATTGCTAAGAATGCTTTTTTAGCATTTGCAACAAAATAAAATTAATAGGTATGATTTATTATTAATTCCCCGCCCCTTTATTCAACCAAATTATCTTTCCTGAGAAATGAGGTGTAGGCTACAGCCTTTTTGCCTATATGGAAATATATATACGCCACTGATATGTTAATGTATCAAAACATGATTACGATATACACACAAGATGGAATTTTAGAGACGTGGTCATTATAATGTTATCATTCAAATCATTTGATTTCACTATTCTATTTTTCTCTCTCGGAAATACAATACTTCAGTACTCAAGTATTCCTTTGCAAAAGGAGGATAATGATTGCTAAGTATACTATATACTTAATATTTGATATATTTTTGATAAATATGAAAAGAAATTGTCAGAATTAAGCATGTTTCAAACAAAAAAAAAAACCAACAATTTCTGGACTTCTGATTTGAATGGATTTTTTTTTCTGATCAAAGGTGTACATAATTCCAAAGCGCATGCAGGTATGAAACATACAAAACAATTCCGTAGGAAGCAATTTCAGTTTAAGAAGGGGGTGGGATCCAGAAGCCAAAAAAAAAAATCCTCACAAGCAAAAAAAAAAAAAGTCATTAGACATAATTATTAAGGGGACACATCCACGAAGAATTAATTTTAAGCTTTACTTGCTTTCTGAAGTATATTATATCCCCCCTCCCCCTTGCCTACGGTACCTACTCACTCCTCCTCATTTTACGAAGTTAAATTCAAAAAGATGAGTCACAAATGATTTTATTTGATAAATTTGAAAGTTCCAAGAGGATCCCACACCTATATACCTATATCCCCTTGACCCGGTACTTAGAGGGGAGCGGGGGGATTCCAATTCACGTACAACTTAATAAAGAGGAAGAATATCACTTCCGGTATAGGTAAAAATAGGAGGTTTTTCTGCAGAATTCTTATAGGGAAGGTCAGCATTTATTTTGTTTAAAACAAGAAAGTTGACTTATTTAAGCTATTAAACGTTACTGATTATGAAAAATTACATTATATTTATTTAATTAAGCATATCTTGACATATATTCTTGATGTGCCAAGTCGCGTCATCAAAATACGTTGGCGTCATGGCGGACCAAAACATCTACTAATAGGAATAAGAGTATTCAAAGAAAATTGCTACGGTATTAAATTTCTGTTGTATTTTTGTCTATTTAAATATTTCCTTAATGAATTCGGGTATAATGTACAGTGTGGTATTCACTATTGTATGCTACACAATATACATTAACATGTGTGTTGTTGGGAACCTACTTTATCCACTGTGTCAGTTCGTGCATTTTGAAGGGTAGGATAAAATTAGTTAGGATTGGGTAAAACAAGGAACATGGAAAAACTAAATCAGGTCCCTGACTAAATCAAATTCAAGAAGTAAAAAAAAAAATATGATGGAACATGTATCAGTTATTCACAAGATATTGTACAAACTATACTCCTTATTGTCTTATTTCATTCTGATTTTTGTACACCAATTGTTAAGCCTTTTTTAATTTTTATCTAATTTTCACTGAATTACTCCATTTTCCTAGATCAATAGATGACTTTCACATTTACAAAAGTTATTTCCCTTTGTGGGATCAATCTGGGGTCAACCGACGTAAGACACTGTTTTCCCTCTATAAAATTACCAACTTCACTGGACAGTGTCTTACAAATGAAATCTGTACTATGAATATGTTTGTTATGTTTTTTTATGTTGTCCCATACTATGGTTATACAGGAAAGAATCAAAATTTTAAGGTTGAAAATATTTACAGGTAAGTTACAAAGGTTATAGTGAAAAAATTGAGCATTACGCTGACAACGGGAGATAACGGGAGAATGTGAAATTCGTCTATACAGAGGGCTTACGGCAGGTGTGACTGGTTAACAGGGGATGCTCACTCTGTCCAAGCAACTGATCCCACCTGTGATGTTTTTAGGGGGCCCATGATATTTTTTCTATTCAAGATTCATATTTCTTTACTGAATTTATGAGCTTGATCATTGTTTAAGTTACCATCATCTTTTACATAAAAACAAAATAATCGATCATGTTCTCTTTGTAGGTGCAAGTGGCTTTATATATATTTACAACATGGAGCAGACCAGAAACGGAGAAGGTGAACTTGAGGAAACACTCCTGAAAGATTCTGTGATGCATGATATTGATGCATTGGTGAGATGAATAAGAATACATATGGGTTCCATAACTTGTGCAAATTAGTAGCTTGTTTTTCCTCTAACTTGTGCTTCTTATAGACCTTTTCACGGTAACTGCGGTACTGCTCTTTTGTAGGGGTGAAACGATACACCTCCTTCACGGTTCGATACCTATTGTATAATTTTGTCTCGGTATGGTTATTTTCGGTACGATACATTTTGACAGAAGGAAACAAATTCTACGTTGTTTTATGCTTTTTTTTTTTTACGTAATCTAGTCATTTAATTTACGAATTTTATTTGCAAATTGACTAGAAGAAATAGATTAGAATTATTTGACTGTCAAAAATTATTTTACAAACTATCAGTCCTCAAAAATATACGTTTTCTATACTTACTTATACTGAGTAACGTGTTTTACCTTATGCCAAACCTGACTGAATAACGATCTCGACTGAAAAATGGACCGAACCGAAAATTAGAGATTTTGCACCGTGTATCAAACCGGAAAAAAAATACCGCGGTGAATCGATACCGCGGTGAACTGTTTCACTCCTACTCTTTTGCAGGGCAAAATGACATAGTTTGGTGAAATATGACGTAAAAGTAATTGTTAAATATACGTCATTTCATTATCTGTCAACAAAAACTTTGTCAAACCTTGTTAATTTGCCCTGCAAAAGAGTAGTACGGCAGTAACCGTGAAGGGGCTAATTATCTTTTTTAATTTTCTTTAGACACAAGGCTTGCTGAAATTAAAATGTTAAGGAACTTAGGTTAGGCAAAAAACCATTAACTAGATCTAACAAGCACACTTCTCCTGCTAGCCAAGTAAAATTTTTCAAATTTTAAAAGTACACGGATACAGGTAGATTGGATTAATCTTAACCTTCAAAGGAGTTTTGTTTTAATTAAGTCCTTTCATTGTAATGAATCCCAAAACATATTTTCTTATTTTATTAGAATATTATTAATACAAATGAATATTGTACATCTTAGAAAATAAAGTGCCCCGCCACAGCATGATACGCCCGTCAAATGTTGTTCAATTATCAAAAACAGTTTAGAGTGCAAGAAAGTCATGTCAACCTTGATACCGGTACAAGGACTTCCATGATTTTTCCATTCCTTATAATATTTGTTTATACATCTCCTGTGGTGTACGCATTGATTTTAACAAATATTACATAATAGATCCTCAGCTGGTTGTGTTAGAGCTTGACAAATGCCCATCTGCAGCCACCCCCCACCCCACCCCCCTCCACACATCTTTCATATTTGTGAGACATGATGCTCTAGTTGATATTTTCAAAAAATATAAAAATATCATATTAAGCAATATCAATTTAGTCTTAACCACTTAAACTATACCAAATTAATTTTGAAAATAAAAAGGCTGGCAGTCAAATGACAAATGCTATAAACTGACCAGCAGTTCTTCTGTCTAATGCCCAAAGGATACAGATAAGAGCTGCTTGATCAGAGATGCTCTTACAGAAATGATTGAGACAGCTAGCCTTTCTACATTGAACTCATTAATTAATCTTTAACTGGATGCATATCCACTCATTACTCCCAAGGGATGAATGGATCTGCACTATTTGCTTTGTAGTGCAATAAAAATGCATATTTTATGTCATCCTGAAGTTAAATTTGAAAACAAAGATTTTTTTAAAATTTGTTACAAAGATTTCTGAAAAAAAACCCCAAAAAAATAACTTGTGTCATCTTGAAGCAACATTATTAATAAGGTTCCCGCATGATTCTTAGATTTGTAGTGGCTATCTACCATAATTAAAACATTTTTTGTAAATACTTGATTTTTTGAGTCGGCTCACGTAGCGAGCTACTCCCTGGCATCATAGCTGTTTCAGAGCTGTAAAAATTATCACTCATTCATCAAGGTGATTCATACACCAAATATGATAGTTCTAGCAAAAAATGCTTTTGTTTGAGTGATTGTATAAACTTAGGAGGTAAAAACTGTATAAAATTTCATACTGTAACATTATTTATGTCTTCATGCTTTCAAAGAAAATTTTGATTAAATATCTGTATGATGTACAATTACTGCGTATGAATATATGGTCAAGCATGTTAGGCGGATCTAATCTTCCCATCTAAAGTTTATTTAAAATTGACCTAGAATACTCCCTAACACAAACACCTGCTGCTCTCATTAGCTGCAGCTAGTGTGCTTGAAAAATCTATTTTTAGAATCCAGGTTTGCAGTGGGAATCTTTAACCTAATTACTCCACAAGTATTAGCTTTCCTAAAAAGCTTGTCTGACTTGAGCAAATTTATTTTTATGTGAAGAATCAAGAAAAGTTAAATCCTGCATGTGTAAGCAACATGACTCTGAGTCATGAAATGAATTCTTTTGCAAAGAAACAAAAAAAGTTCAATTCAGTGGCTTCTATGTACACTATATTACTTGTAATTTTGTTTTTTTAATATACGTAGGAACCGGGAGGAGGGGGGGGGGACTGCCCCACAATAATTTTGTCGATTATACATAGCTATTTTATGCTTGTGTCCCCTAAATTATGTAAATATTAATTTCTGATAACTTTTTTTATGTTCTATAAGATTTTTTTTTCTTGATAGTGTCCACCCTAAACTGAAAATTTCTGAAATTTCTTTTAACGGGCCTGTTCATGGATACAAAGATATAACCAGTGGCTTTGAAAGAAAAAGTTACAACACATAAAAATCTAAACATCAATTGGTGAACAATTTTGTTAACTATAGATTTTTTTTTGAATAAACATGTTACAAATGAGCTAACATCTTTGCATTTAAGCAAAAGAATATTCAACATCGGAGTATCCTTCCCTTTGATATATTTTTTTTAACTATGAATAAATCTAACGTCTGCAAGTTATGAATATGTGTTGATTTATAAAAATTCTAAAGGTAGAGAGACTTGGTATGCATTGAAAATAAACAGCCATTAGTTCATCTGATAAAGATAATGGACAAGTGTTCGACCTGACCAGCTTTATTCCTTCTGTTTTGCTGGACATGAATGATGCATTCGAGAATGGCCAAATGTTATGTAACCTGTATAATGTGATAATAATGACATCAGGTCCAGTGCTCTGGCTTGTTTGGGTGTTCAGCATGTTTCCTTCACTCCTCATGCTCTCCAATTGATATTTAAGATAGTATGAAGTTTTCAAGATCAAGTTATCACACAAATTCTGTTGAACGACTTGACCAGCAAGCCTTGGCTAAATCTAGTACTGTCTGACGCCATGACGTCAGACAATAAGACAGACCACTGCAGCTAGTCTGCTTAAATTCATTATTAGAATCCAGGTTTGCAGTGCTGCTTTTCACAATAATATGGGATAGATAGGCAAATAATGAAAAGATTTCTGACGTAAACATGGCGATCTTATTTACAGGTACTTGGGTCTTGGTTTATAAATATACTTGTACATGTGCCTTATTCCGTTATGTAACTAAAGTCAACAGCTTTTAATTTTATATATGTGGTTTTTTTTTATTGATTTTCAAATATTAGAAATATAGTTAGGCAGATCTTAAAAAGAATTACTCATAGATATCTAATTTTTGTTTTCCATTACTAGAGGTTGTTTCTCAGTGATTGTAGCTATGTTTATATGTTAAAATTCTTTCACTGTTACTTTTTCTCCCTATTTTAACATGACCCCCCCTTTTTTCCACTTTATTTATTGTAGTTTTTTGTTTCTTACTGGAACACTGAGATCTAGTCAACTTGATGATAATTATAATTAAAAAATACTGAAGTGAAGTCTTTCTAAGAATTCAGTTGACTTCAGAAGGTGGGAGATAAACCCTAATTTCTTTACTTTTGCAGGTGTGGGGTAAATTGAGGCCCTTTCAAATTTAAGCAGATGTATTCAGATCTCTATTCAAAATGTTGAAATTTTTGTCACAATATGTATCTTATATGTGTATTATCAATTTAACCCAGACTTTAAAAAAATAGCAAAATCTCATGTGAGATAGCAATGAAGCCCTTAATTTTTAACCGAACATGGAGACCTGATATTCAATCTCTTAAGATGCAAAATAAACTGAATATAAGGTATGGTGTCCAGTTGTATGAAAAAGCTCAATTTACTCGAGCGAGTCAACTCGCAGCCCTTCAGGCCTTTGATTTAGATTTAATGTCAGACTAGCTGCATGGTTTTAAGCTGCAATCATATGGACAATGGGCATACTGATTTCAATATTAACCCCCCCCCCCCCCAGTATAATTAGTTTTAATTAATTAGTTTATTATAAAATATCAACAAATTTTATTATTATGCAATATCAAAAAATTAGTTTTAATTACTTTTCACCAAATTCATTTTAAAAGTTAGGCTAGCCTGTGAACAAGAACTACATGTATTTAATCCAACATTTGCCCAGTCCCAAGAGATATAGATAACACCTGCTTGATCAGAGATGCTCTACCAGTTGCTCCTCACACTAAACTCATTAATTTCTCTCTAATTTGACATGCAATTTTCTGTTATCAAAATTCTACTTGACCAGTGCTTGATAATTAAACCCATGGGAGAGGTGGAATTTCTCTAATAACATTACATTTGTTATAGATCGCTGTAAAGTATATAATGAAAAAAATAAGTATTTTCTCGATTTAACATTTTTTTAATATGGATACTGCAACTCTTACATTTTTTGGGATTGTGTAATTTAATAGTAAAAAGACATTTTTTTTTTTTAAAAATTTCACTTAAATTAAAGGTCACAGTGACCTTGGAATAGGTCGTGACACACCTTCTACCTAAGATGCATAAATTGGCCAAGTTTGATGATTCCAAGTCTAATAGTTTTCTAGTTATGAGCCGGACAGGATTTTTCCATATTTGGCCATAGCAACTTAATTAAAGGTCAGAGCGACCTACTTTTAATGCGCGACACATGCATCAGCTGACAAAATTTGATAACTCTAGGCCTAATAGTATTAAAGTTATGAGCCGGACACGAAAAAGCTAACAGACGGACGGACGGACATGAACGCTATAACATAATACGTCCCGTCTTAAGACGGGCGTATAAAAAGCAAAGAAAAAGAAACTCAGTGTTTACTGTGAAGATGTTTATGAAAGTTATATATTTCAATTGTCTTACTTGGTACATATTCTCTTTCCTGCTCTCTTTTCACTGTGCTCCATACAAACCACCCTTCAGGTGGGAACCTCAGATATGATTGGTGTAGGAATGTGCATCAGATCAGTGCCTACCTTTGCCAGTAGCACCCTTTTTGCATACCACACAGTCTAAAATTTAGATCATCTAAAAATTCCTCTGTTTGTAAACTGCTTCCTTTTATCACAACTCATATGTTATTTAAAAGCATAAAACTTGTTATAATTTGTTCAGCATTTTCATGCTAGTGTTACGAGAGTTTTAGTTGAAAATTTAATATGTTAGAAATCTATGTCAATATCATTCTAAAAAAATTAGATTTTCTAATAGAAAATCTTATTTTAGAATGATACGGACATTTTATGACTATATGCGCCTGAATTGCCAATCCTACCCAGTGGCAGATTTAAGGGGGGGGTGCGCCCAGTGCGTGCCCCCCCCTTAAACTGTCAAAGATAGCGTAAATCATAGTTTCGTCGAAAAAATGTAAAAATGTCAACTTGGTAGACCTCATTTTTACCGTACAAAAGCTTCAGAATCCAGGAGCTTCTGGGGGCTTCATCCCCTGGGCTCCCACCAGGGCTTTGCCGTGGACCCACTAGGGGCCTCAAGGCAACCCCCAGACCCCCTGCCTACTTTTTGCGAACCCCCCCCCCCCAACTTCAATTCCTGGATCCACGCCTGCTACCATTTCATTAGTTTGAAACGCTGCAGTGTAAAATTGACTTTTTCTGGACCAATATGTGATCTCATAATACACATATTTGTAGAAATAAAATATCTGCATGTATATCTTTAAAATTGTGAGCCAGGTTCTGCAGACAGACAATTTTTTAAATTTAAAAAAAAAATCTAATCAGATTGAAAGTAATTTGTGTTGATTATTGGAATTAAGAGTGTATTATTTTTTTTCAGCTGGTAAAATTAATTGAATATGGAGAGGAAAGTATGTTGATCACTGCAAACAGGACTACAATTCATGTCATAGGATCTAGCAAGGGAAAGGGCTTTCTATCACAAGATCAGGATTTGGCAATGCGGTTTCACAAGTTCTGTTTTGGTAATCACTTTTTCTGCATTTCTTTACTAGATATTGATTTATCTTTTAATCTTAACTGGTATTAAACATAATATTACAAATTGTCAAAACATATAATTACCAACAAAAGGCACTTACATTATTGTACAAATAAAGTATAAAAATTGTTATCATTTAGTGGTATTTAGAAGACAATGAGGATTATGTAGATGTCAATCTCTGACATTAATCTTAAAATACAGAATGAATCTAGTAAATGCAATAGAATTATACATTCTTTGTACCCCAGGTGATTTGATGGAAACTAGTATAGACCAGAGTATGTCTTCAGTATTGCCTGAGTTGGACAGTGAAGTACAACCTGTCAGCCTAAATCTGGATGATAGCATTTCTCAGATGGATGTCAACAACACAATGCCTGAGTCTCCTGTTGTCCTTAAACCCAAAAGAAAGAGAGGCAGGCCACTCAAAGGTAATAATGAGCAGCAACAAGCACAATTCCTGTAGATTCAATCAAACCAGTATTTGGATGTTACAAGCAAAATTTTCTGTAGGTTGTGATTAAAGAAAGAGGGGCTATTAAGTGTTACCACAGTCATATCTGTTACATGTCTATTAAATCACCTTTGCAATTCATTTTCATCCTATATGTTTTCATACATGTGATAAGTCAAAGACCACAAAAATGTACAGGAGCCATGAAAAAACTGGAATTTGGGTGAAAAAACTGTACACTGCCTATCAAAAAACGGTACAAAAAACGGTATAAATTCTTCTGATAAGGCACCTTATTTCTAAACCAACAAATATATATTGTTGCAAATGGCTTATTTTAAAAGATGTAATGGAGATTTGAATGCTTTAAAATGTCATACATTGTGTTTTATAATCAAAATGTTCTTATGAATCGACTATAAATTAAGCTAGTTTAGATGATAGTTTGTTTGCCAGCTTTATATAGTATTAATGTGAGAGTCAATGTCTCCAATTTACATCGTGTTCATATTACTGATATATACATCAGCAACGCTAAATAACAGCAGCAAATACAATCATACATAAATTTCAGCACATAAAAACTTAAAACTATATCCTTTATTTCAGCGTAATCATGGTAATAAGCATCGTATATTTTATACCTACAAAGATCCTGGGTCAGATTCACGTATATTAACATGATTAAGTCATGTATATCAACTTTAGAAGTTGGTTTAATTTTTTTCAATCAAGTTACGAAACATTAACAGTTATAATTAAGTATCGTAATCCCTTTAAAAATAAAGCTACCTAAAGGGGTATCTTGATACGGATTTATAGCACGATAATTATCCCAATTGGCGGTTCACACCTTCACACGCGATGGTTTGTGTACACTACACAATTATCAGAAGGTCAAGTGTCAAACACAGGTGACGTTTCCAGTGTCTCGTGAGCGAGAATGAGAGGAAAATGGCGACATTTAGTGAGAAATTCAAAATACTGTACAAATTTTCATATTCCAGGAATTTTGGTGTCCCGCCGGTACACGGCAAATGGGCTATAAAAACTGTACATTCTGCGTACCGCCGGTACATATCACATGTATGTATTTTTGCAGTGACCTTAAATCTTTGAGCAAATTTCGCATCTTCTCCTGTAGCATTAGCTGGAAAAATAACCCCAAAGGTCATAAAATATTAAACAAGTTATCAAAATCTTATTCTTCTTTACATGTAGCAGAGAAACTAATACATTAAACAATAATTATGAAATCCCACTGCCCCTATAAATAATATTGTATTGCTTATCATTTATTTAAAGGCATACATGCAATGTCTTTGACTCTTTGTCAAAATAAACAAATGCTCTTATATTTCTGTGAAATTAAAGTTGTGAAATTATGCCTTTGCTGGAAATTATATAATTATATTCAATTACTGTTCTGACACATTACGATGGTATTGAATTGTCATCGAATTATTTCATTTTGAATTTTGCAGCAATTGACTTTCTTTTTGTACAAAAATGAGGAGAATAAAATAAATAATGGTAGAGAGGATATTTATATTCAGGAGTATTTTTTATATTACAGGTAGAACAAAGTGATTTTTTTTCTTTCTTCATAGAGAACATACTTGAAACAAGCTACAAATTATTTTAAAATTTGTACCTTTAAACTATACAGATTAGTGTTTTTTGATGAAGATTTTTATTTTGTTTAATGAACACATTTGAATTTCTTTATTTTTCCTTCTTTATTTTTCCTCACCTATGAAAAATTCAACAAATGGCAGGTACCATTATAATAAATTAGCATTAAACACTGTCGGGTTAACTTTTAATTGTAATCTCTAGTGATATTCCCCATTTGTACACATGTTTACATAAGTACATGTTTATGGAGCATTATGGAGACACACAGTTTCATGTAACACATATGTGTAAAGTCTCTGTTTCTTTATTATACTCAAGTGATTTTCAAGGTCCATAGACCTCTTGTGGTCATTAGAAACACCATATTGACATGTTCTACACTGCCTATAAAAAGGACTTGCAACTGAAATTGAATTGAAGTCATAAAGTTAGATACATGTATTACCAGAGGTAAATTATTTGCTACATTCCATCATCAATCACCTTAAAGGTGCTTGGACACAGATTTGAAGTTAATATTTTCTCAAATTTTCTGTGTAATTTCATGACTTATATGTTGCTATAGCATTTCATACTAAAAAATAATAAAAATCTTATTTCATCTCGTAGTTATTGAAACTTCAAATTTCTGAACGCGTTTGATTGACACATCCTTGCACTTTCACAAATTTTAAATTTATTCTTAATACTTAAGAAAAGTGGAATTTTGTTGTGTATTAATGAAAAAAATTAAAACTATAATCCAGAAAATTCAGAGTAGAAATGTTCGAAAGCAAAACCCACTCACAGTATTGTCAGTCAGTGCTCAGTGGTGTGTGCAGACTTTAACAATTGAACACACCCGGTGAATCGTAAACATTAACAATAACAGAGCCTGTGCCCTGTTTACAAAAACAGTTTACGTTTCACGGGTGTATTCAATTTGTTAAACTCTGAACACAACACTGAGCACGGGCTGACGATATTAGTGAAGGGGTTTGCTTTCGCACATTTCTACTCTGAATTTTCTGGATTATAGATGTAATGTTTTTCATTAATACACAACAAAATCACTTCTTTTCTTAAATGTTAAGGATAAAGATAAAATTTGTGAAAGTGCAAGGATGTGTTAATCAAACGCGTCCAGGAATTCGTAGTTCCAATAATTTCCAGATAAAATAAGCTTTTAATTATATTTTCGTGTGAAATGCTATTGCAATATATAAGTCGTGATATTATACAGAAAATTTGAGAAAATATTAACTTCAAATCTGTGTCTGAGCACCTTTAAGCAATATTTTTTTTCTTTACTGCCTTTTTAGTTGCTCGGAAAGCTGGAGAACAGAAACAAGTCAGTGATGAAGATACAGGAGAAGAGAAGGACGAAAACAATATAGCCGTTGGTGAGTCCCAATAAATAGTAGCTATAGAAAATACAGAACCATGATGTTTAGGAGAACAGTAAAGCAACCAGTGAGTTTCATAAAAAAAATATTAATAGAAATACAGAGCAATGGTGTTAAGTATTTTTAAAAGCAAATTTTGAAAAGAGGCCCATGGGCCACAACACTCACCTCGGTAACTGTGGCCCTTCTGTTCATTACAGATTTTTTCCCAATATATTCCTTTGTAAAATTAAGATAATATATGGCCATGCCCTACCCCCTGCCCCATCCTACCCCCAGGTGTCATTATTTGCACAAACTTGAATCATTGGATGCTGCCATACATAAATAATTTTGGCTTTGCTGTTCTAAGAAGAAGACTTTAAAATTTTTTCTTCCTATGTGTTATTATGTGAAACTTTGATTGGCCATTGTGGCCCATCCTACCCCTGGGGGTCAACAAATTAGAATCTACACAACATGAAGATGCTTCAATATATATATATATATAACTAATGATCGTTTTGCTGTTCTTGAGAAAAAGAATTTTAAAGATTTTTTCCTATGTATTCTTATGAAAAACTGATAGCCTATAGCGGTCCCACCCTACTCCTAGGGGTCATAATTTGGACGAATTTGAATCTACACTCCAAGAGGAAGCTTCCTTCTAAATATGACTAATTATGAGCTTGCTGTTCTTGCGAAGAAAACATTAAAGGATTTTTTTCTGTGCATTCGTATGTAAAACTTTGATCGCCCATAGTGGCCCCACCCTACCCCTAGGAGTCATGATTTGAATAAATCTGAATCTAAACTACCTGAGGATGCTTCCTTTTAAATATGACTAATTATGACCTTGTTGTTCTTGAGAAGAAGAACCTTAAAGGATTTTTTTCTGTGCATTCCCATGTAAAACTTTGATCGCCCATAGTGGCCCCACCCTACCCTTAGGAGTCATGATTTGGACAAATCTGAATCTACACTACCTGAGGATGCTTCCTTTTAGATATGACTAATCAAGAAAAAAGTTAAATTTTACATAGAAATTTAGTGTCACTTTTTTGGTGTAAAAATGATGGTATTGTGTCTATATAGTATTTGTTTCTTTTTCTACAGATAACAGCTCTGAAGAAACAGAGTGTGAAGTTTCCAGAAGTGGTAAATACAAATATTTACAAAGAGATATGTTAATTGTGTATTAAATTTCACTGATTAAGTTTGCAGAACAGCTACTTCTCTTTGATTTCTGCAGATCCCTAAATATAATTTATAATCGTATATTTTCATGAGAAGCACAGTGTACAAAATAAAATTACTTGCTTTTATCATTACATCACTGAAATTCATGTAAAAATTTTAGAGTAGACCAATGGCCCAATAATGAATGCATGTTCTCATGAAATGATGTTTTAAGAGGCATTTTGCGATATTGAGTGCTCGCAAAAAAAAAAGAAATCTACAGTAGTTTAATTTAAATAAATTTCCTTGCTTTATATCATCATTTTTAGCTTTATATTGTTTGTTTACTCTCTAATTAATTTTTTAAAACATATTTCACAATGTTAAGGGAGAAGAATTAAGCGGAAGACACTTGAGTCACTTGGATATGTATCACTGGAAAAGAAGAAGAGAAAGATTAGTGTCAATTCAGACTTCAGCACAAGTGATTCTTTCATGTCCCTCATCAAACAATCTCCCCAAACATGGAAAACTCAAAATTCAAATGAAGAGAAACCAGAAATGGCAAAGTCTGATATTGCAGAGAGAGGAGATGTAAGGATGGAAGATATTGAAGAGGGTACTGATCTGGAACAATCTGAAGAAGTAGAGGCGACACTTAAAAAGAAAAAGGGTCACCATGTCTGCCAGACGTGTGGGGAAAAATTTAGCACACAGAATCTGATAGAGGATCATCTGCGATTACAGCACAAAGATGTGTGGGCAAAAATATTGGAGGAAGAAACAGATATTCTGGTATCTTTAGGTAAAAAACATCCTGTGTCTGCTGGAACACTGGGAGCTAATAAATCAAAACGAGGAAGAAAGAGAGGGGGTTTGTCTAACAAAGCAGAATCAGAGGAGGGGGATATTCTGTATGACTGCCAGAAATGTGAAGCTAAGTTTACAAACACAAGGAACTTAGAAAAGCATGTGTTGCTGATGCATGGAGATGAAACCTCAGCTACAGCCCAGATGGATGAGGAAGAACACAATCTAGATGAAAATGAGATGCAAAGTACTGGAGAAGATGACCAGGGAACGAAAGTCATAAAGTCAAAGAAAAAAACTGTAGATTTTAATATGATGGCAATCGCGATGAGAGTTGATGAGAAAACATACAAGAAGTATGAAAACTTTGTTACAGGATCTGAATTTAAGTGCTATACTTGTCAAGATGTTTTTGAGAGCATTGCTTCATTGATCAAGCACATGAAACAAACAAAACATGATGGTTTGCAGGAAAACGCAAGAGACGGAAAAAGAGAGATTTTGACAGTTAAAAAGAAAAAGAGCCCACTTATTTATAAGTGTAGTAATTGTAGGGTACAGTACTTCATAAAGGAAAATTGTTTACAGCATATTGCAGTAAACAATTGCAGGCCAATGTGGAAGAAAAGTTGTCCTATGAAAGACTGTGATCTAAGTTTTGATAACAACAACTTTTTCATGAATCACATGAAAACCATTCATGGTTCCGATTATCCCTTTTTCTGTTCAAGCTGCAACAAAAGTTTCATGAGGATCAGAGAATATGAGAGCCATTGTAGTTACCACAAGCGAATAAACAACAGTCTATTGAATCCGGGCCTGCCGGTAATGTGCAATGAATGTGGATTACGCTTTCCCACTAACTTTGATGTTAACAAGCACAAGCTAGAGGTTCATGAAGCCAACAAGAAGTTCATTTGCGAGACTTGTGGCAGGAAGTTTAGAAGGGAAGACAATATGAGGCTCCATCTCAAAACACATCAGAAAAGAGAAAATGATCCAGAATTGCAGTGTAAAATATGCAAGAAATATTTGTCTTCCAAGGATAGCTTGAAATTGCATCAGAAGTTCATGCACACAGAAGAAAAACCATGTGTCTGTGAAATTTGTGGACATCGAACAAGGCAGATGGGTAGCTTAAGACACCACATGAAAGTGAGGCACTCTGATGATCGCCCCTACGAGTGTGAGTGGGAGGGATGTGGCAAGACTTTTAAAATCTATCAAGTTTGGCAGTCCCACTCGCAAAGTCATGCCCTGGCAGTAGATGATGTGGAAAAGGCAAAATCATATGGAAGGCTTCAGTATTGTGAAATCTGCCAGCGTTACTTCCCTTGCAGGACTGACATGAACAACCACATGCTGATCCACTCCAGTGATAAATCTATTCAATGTAACATTTGTCAAGTCACTGTCAAAAGGTATGGAAGTCTGAAAAGGCATATGATGAATGTTCACAACAAACTAATAACTGGAGGACTCTCAGCAATGAAGATGCATGAAGGATCTTATCCTCATCCAAAATCCAACAAAAAAGTCTTACCTATTCGAAAACCTAGAGCATTTCAGAGTCTGCAGGTTCAAGCTAAGGACTCTGTATTAGACTTGCCAAAGGTAACAGTATTGAAACATGAACAAGAGCTTGAACAACCTACAGAACCTGTTGAGGAGTATCAAACAGAAAGTACTTATGAATTACAGCACTCTGAAGCACAGGAAAAACTACTACAGCTTTTGGCAGATGCTAGCTCAGATGTCACAAAATCGGAGGAGCCAAGTTCAACAAATGCAGCAGAGAGGGACTTCACAACAGAAGCAGAATCCCAGGCTGAAATTTTAGAAGCTGTCAAGGAATATGAGATTGAGGAAACTGCAGATGAAGTGTGTTTGGACAATGCTGGGGAACAGGTGATTTATCTGAACTCTTTACCAAATGAACTCATTTCAGCCCAGAATACAGGTGGAGTGATATATGCTGTAAGAAATAGTGATGGGAGCTTGTCTTTGCAGTTAGCACCAGAAAATAGTTAACATATAGGCAAATATATGGCAAATAAAAAGGGTCCAAAAACAACTTTATAATACTCTGTGCAAATGAATTTTTCACTTTATGTGTGTGTGTCTTTGGGGGGGGGGGGGGGGGGGGGGCATTGAGGCATTACACTAAAATACTTGAATATGTCTGTTCTTAGATGTTATTTGTCAGAATATTATATGTAAAATTTAACTTACTTTATTTCAAAGCTTAGTGTGGTGTAATATTATTTAAATCGGTACACTTTGTATTTTCAGACTGATCTATTACGCAAATAAAAGTTATGACTGCTTTAAGATTTGAAATGGTTTGTAAATATTTTATATAACAGTTTTTCACCAGAGATATGAACTTCAAAACCATTCAGTGATTCTTTTTCATGTTTTTTGGAATTGCTATATGTCATATGAACCCATTTCAGACTTTTACATAATGTACATCCCTACCAGAAAAAGTATATGGGATATATGTGAATCACTGTACAGTTTTTATGCCTTGCCATAAATATGGCCGGGGTATATAGTGTTTGTCATGTCCCTCTTCCCTCCTTCTGTCTGTCCTTCCATCACGCTTTGCGTTTAGCACATTTTTTTGACCTTGACCTTTGCTTAGACCTTGACCTCACTTTTCTTAAATTAGTGTTTAGCTCAGTTTTAAAGATACCATTCAGGATAGTGTAATCAAACTTCATATGTTGATACATACTGATGTAAGCTATTCAACTGCATCAACATTTTTTGACCTTGACTTTTCCTTTGACCTTGACATCACTTTTCTTAAATTAGTGTTTAGCTAAGTTTTTATGAAATCATTCAAGATATTTTTATCAAACTTCATATGCTGATACATACTGATGAGAGCAATTCAACTGCATCAATTTTTTTTACCTTGACATTTCCTTTGACCTTGACCTCACTTTTCTTAAATTTGCATTTTGCTTAATTTTAAAGAAACCATTCGATGTAGTGTTATCAAACTTCATTTGCTGATACATACTGATGAGAGCTATTCAACAGCATCAACATTTGTTGACCTTGACCTTTCCTTTGGCGTTGACCTCACTTTTTTAAAATTAGTATCAAACGTCATATACTGATACATACCGATGTAAGCTATTCAACTGCATCAATATTTTTGACCATGACCTTTCCTTTGACCTTGACCTCACTTTTCTCAATTTGTGTTTGATTCAGATTTAAAGAAACCATAATATTTTTATCAAACTTCATATGCTAATACATACTGATGTAACCTTTTCAACTGCATTTTTTGACCTTGACCTTTCCTTTGACCTTAACTTCATTTATTTTTAATTAGTGTTTAGCTCAGTTTTAAATAAAGCATTCAAAATATTTTTATCAAACTTAATATGCTGATACGCACCTTTGAGAACTATTCAACTGCATCAAAAACGTTTGACCTTGAAGTTTCATGTGACCTTGACCTCACTTCTCTTAAATTTGCATTTTGCTTAATTTTAAAGAAACCATTTAAGATATATTTATGTAAGCTTATGCACTTATACATAATTTGGTGAGAATTTATCATCTATATTCAACTATTTAGATTTCGATTTCAATTTTAAAGAAACTGTTCAAGATATTCTCATCAAATTTCATACACTAATACAAATTTTCATGTTGCATTACTTATATACCCTCGGTAGGGCATTCATGTCCTATGGACATATTTCTAGTTATACCTTGTTTGTGCGTCTATTTGTCTGTTCCACTACATACTTGGGGGATAACTATGCAGTAGAAATATGAGAATCTTGTATTTGGCAAAAACCATAGGTTGTTCATATTAATGCATCAACATTCATTAATAAATTTTTATTTGGAATTGTGTAATTTACAGCACTACTAAATGTAAAAAAAAAAAAAATTCAGTGCTGAAAAATATGCCCTGCTCCGAGTCTGCCCTTCGGCCTAACATAAAACTTTGTTTGCAGCTGCCAACTGACCCACTTCAAAAGCACCAAACCCAATTTTTTCAGCTACAATGTGTATTTATTAAGATAATATTTTTATACCCCCCGCAAACGAAGTTTAGGGGGGGTATATTGGAATCAGCATGTCCGTCTGTCTGTCTGTCCGTCTGTCTGTAGACGAGATTTTGTCTGGACCATTTCTTGGAAACTGTTGCAAGGATTTGTCTGAAAATTTGTACACTTATTATTCGCCATATGAAGGTGTGCACCTGGTATTTTCATTATGATTGGATAATTTTTTTGCATTTTACAGGTGTTTTTTTTTTCATTTTTATTATGTGGTTTTGTCCGGATCTGTTCCCAGAGACTATTGCATAGATTTGTATGAAAATTTGTACACTTATTATTTACCATATGAAGATGTGCACCTCTTATTTTCAACATTATTTGATAATTTTTCTGCATTTTACAGGTGTTTTTTTTTTTTTTATTTTTATTGACTTAGTCATTTCGGTTGATGTCTAAGGTTTGAGACATAGAATCTAGAACATCTGTACAAAAATGTAAACTACAGCTTAAAACTACTCATTAGAACTAAAAAAAATTACAACGTATTAAAAACAGTTTGTACATTACACTGCAGATAGTGTAAATCCATTTGTCCCTTGGGAGTCATGAGTGGACATGCATCCAGTTAAAGATTAATTAATGAGTTCAGTGTGGGAAGCTGTTAGGGCATCTCTGATCAAGCAGGTCTTATCAATATCTCCTGGGAATTGGGCAGAAAGAAATAAAGATGATCTGTTGTCTAAGTCTCTTAATTGTAATTTATGTCTGTCAAAATACATAGTACTGGAACCAGCCTTTTTTAGCTCACCTGAGCTGAAGGCTCAAGTGAGCTTTTCTGATCAAAATTTGTCCGTTGTGTGTCGGCGTTGTTGTCGTTGTAAACTTTTCACAATTTCATCTTCTTCTCCAGAACTACTGGGCCAATTTCAACCAAACTTGGCACAGAGTATCCTTGGGTGAAGGGGATTCAAGTTTGTTCAAATGAAGGGCCACACCTTCTTCCAAGGGGAGATAATCATGAATTCATGAAAAATTAATGGCATCATTTAAAAATCTTCTTCTCAAGAACCACTGTGCTTGAAAATATGAAACTTATATGGAAGCATCCTCAGGTAGTGTAGATTCAAGTTTGTTCAAATCATGACCCACAGGGGTAGGGTGGGGCCACAATGGGCGATCAAAGTTTTACATAAAAATATATAGGAAAATTCTTTAAAAATCTTCTTCTCAAGAACAGCAAAGCCATGATTGGTCATATTTACATGGAAGCATCCTCAAGTAGTGCAGGTTCAAGTTTGTTCCAATCATGACCCCCGGGGGTAAGGTGGGGCCACAATGGGTGATCAAAGTTTTACATAGGAATATATAGGAAAACTCTTTAAAAATCTTCTTCTCAAGAACAGCAAAGCCATGATTGGTCATATTTATATGGTAGCATCCTCAGATAGTGTAGATTCAAATTTGTTCAAATCATGACCCCCGGGGGTTGGGTGGGGTCACAATGGGCGATCAAAGTTTTACATAGGAATATATAGGAAAAATCTTTAAAAATCTTCTTCTCAAGAACAGCAAAGCCATGATTGGTCATATTTACATGGAAGCATTCTCAGGTAGTGTAGATTCAAGTCATGACCCTCAGGGGTAGGGTGGGGCCACAATGGATGATCAAAGTTTTAAATAGGAATATATAGGAAAACTCTTTAAAAATCTTCTTCTCAAGAACAGCAAAGCCATGTTTGGTTATATTTATGTAGTAGCATCCTCAGGTGGTGTAGATTCAAGTTTGTTCAAATCATGACCCACGGGGGTAGGGTGGGGCCACAATGGGCGATCAAAGTTTTAAATAGGAATATATAGGAAAATTCTTTAAAAATCTTCTTCTTAAGAACAGCAAAGCCATGTTTGGTTATATTTATGTAGTAGCATCCTCAGGTGGTGTCGATTCAAGTTTGTTCAAATCATGACCCACGGGGGTAGGGTGGGGCCACAATGGGCGATCAAAGTTTTACATAGGAATATATAGGAAAATTCTTTAAAAATCTTCTTCTCAAGAACAGCAAAGCCATGATTGGTCATATTTACATGGAAGCATCCTCAAGTAGTGCAGGTTCAAGTTTTTTCCAGTCATGACCCCCAGGGGTAAGGTGGGGCCACAATGGGTGATCAAAGTTTTACATAAAATACATGGGAAAAATTTGTGAAAATCTTTTTCTCAAGAACAGCAAAGCCATGATTGTTTTTTTTTTATGGGTGCACCCTCAGGTAGTGTAGATTCAAGTTTGTTTAAATCATGACCTCCTAGGGGTAGGGTAGGGCCACAATGGGTGATCAAGGTTTTACATAGGAATACATAGGAAAATGCAAGCCTTTTAAAATCTTCTGATGAAGAACAGCAAAGCAATAATTAGTCATATTTAAATGCAAGCATCCTCAGGTAATGTAGATTCAAATTTTGTTCAAATCATGACCCCCCAGGAGAATAGAGGGGCCATAACAGGGGATCATAGTTATACAAAGGAATACAAATGATATATCAATAAAAATTGTCTTCCTAAGAACAGCATAGCCATTATTTGTCATATTAATTCAAAAGCATCCCTTTGAAGTATAGATTCAAGTTCAAATTACCCCCCCCCCCCCTCCCCCTCGAACCACTTTTATATCAAAACTTTTCAAGACTGAACTGATTTCTGCTTTTTCCTAGCCAGAGTGCTCAGGTGAGCGATGTGGTCCCTGGGCCTCTTGTTTAAAATGATTTTGATATAAAGGTATTAAAATCAATTTGATTTTGTATAATTAATTATGATATTTTTTTTTAACAATCAATTTGCAGAGTGTCATATCTCACAAAGATGGCAGATAGTTGCAAACTATTTTTTCAATGTAATAAAAACACTGTAATTATTAGTATTGATGTTTTATTAGGCTGCACCTTAGTTTCATTCATTAAATAAAGTGCCCCACCACAGCATGATATGCCCATCAAATATTGTTAAATTATCATAAACAGTTTAGATTCAATTGTTCAAATGACATCTTAGCGAGACAAGGCAGTCTGCAATTTGTTGTAAAGATATAAAAATTAAAATAAAAAATGTACAATAAATAATTAGTTTAAATTATATTATACAATATCATATAAGTTTTAATTATTATGTACAATATCAAATTAGTTTTAATTACATCAAATTTATCTTGAAAGTAAGACTAGCCAACAAGAACAATTCAGTACAACACAAGCAATTAATTAAGAGACTGATTCCTTTTGCCCAATTCCCAAGAGATGTAGATAACACCTGCTTGATCAGAGATGCTCTACCAGTTATCTCCCCACACTAAACTCATTAATTTATCTCTAATTTGACATGCAGTTTTCTGCTATCAAAATTTTCCTTGACCAGTGCCTGATCATTACACCCATGGAAGAGGTGGAATTTTTCTTCTTACAGATTGCTGTAAAGAACATAATGAAAAAAAATAAGACTAGTATTTTCTTCATTTAACACTTTTTTAATAAAGATACTGCAATACTCTGACATCTTTCGGGATTGTGTAATTTAAAAGTTAAAAGACATAGTTTTTTGATTCTAAGTCTAATGGTTTTCTAGTTATGATTTTTCCATATTTGGCTATAGCGTCTTGATTAAAGGTCAGAGTGACCTGGTTTTAATGTGCGACACACCTTCTACCCTAGATGTATCAGCTGACAAAGTTATGAGCCAGACATGTAAAAGCTAACAGACAGACGGACGGACATGAACGCTAAAACATAATATGTCCCGTCTTACGATGGGCGTATAAAAAAATATAATGAGTAATTAAATTTTCACTGTAAATGTTTAAGCAAATTGTGAACACCTCTCACATCTAGAAAACATTAGTGATTTGGTACATTCTCTGAAAAACCCAGCGGGGGGTATTTGTCCATTTTGGACAGTTCTAGTTTCATGTTTAAGTTTTCAAAATATCAATTTTTTTTTCTGATTTAAGTGTGTCAATTAAGTACTTAAACACAATGTCGCATGCAGGTTCATCAACTTTCAATAACCATATGAATACCCCTATGATTTATAGTCCAATAAAACCAACTGAAATCAATTTAAAAAAAAAAACAACATACTTACCCTCTCTAAAAATTGTGGGTCAGCAACTGCAAACAGATTTTTTTTTTTAGGTTAGCCTTGGGGAAAGGGGAGGGGGGGGGGGGGGGGTTAGTCCTAACTTGACAAATGTTATTTGAATTTACTGGAATATATATAAAAGAGACAAAATATGTTAATCAATAATACATTCTTACATAAATTACCATTGTTATTGCATGTATGTAGTTATGTAGTACCATTGAACTTCAGTGTCTTGAACACCAAGATGTCAAATACCAGGTATAGTTGAGGCTGGCCTACTGTCCCAGTCAGTTGTAGTATGAATTCTTGTCTCCACTTTGATATCTTGAAATCTTTAATATTTTATTAGTCCTGCTAGGTTTAAATTCCTGAGGTTTGACTAATAGAAGTAGTTAAAAGTAGTATTCCATTAAATATGTATTAAGAGTTACTTCTCATTATTAAATGTATACATATTTTCTATTTTATGGAGAGAAATGAAATAAGTTTAGAATCATATAAATTTGTAATTTTATCTTTACAACTTATCTCTTTTATGTACATTTAATTATATTAAGACATCAAATTATTTCTACCGGTACTTCTCTTTGATGCTCCAATGTCAGCAACTATTAATGTGTTTATGCTGTGCTTAATCTCAAAATGGAAGAACTTATCTGTCAACTCTACTACCATGCTAAATATTTCAAATTTTGGCACCAAGAGTTTCAAGAAATTACATGAGACATCTATTATGTGATCTTTAAAACTATTTGTATATTCATTTCATTACAATTCAAAAATGTCTACAATAATAAGAAACAATTTTAAATTGTAATATTTTTTGCATGAATATCAATTTTGATTAGCCTATTTTTTGTCTAGTCTGATTTTAATAATAGAGAAGTTATCACACTTTGAATATCAATTTTGATTAACCATTTTCTTATGGAGACTAATTTTTTGAAGTGGAGAGGTTATTACACTTTGAAAAGTACCTGTAAGGTCAGACACAAAATCAGATAATAATCATATGATGGCGAATATAAAAAAGTCTGATGTTCGTCATATGATGAGAGTTCTGCCACATACAAAAATAAATTTTAAAAAAAACCTGTAATGGTAATAAAAAATACCTATTTTGTGAGATTTAGTGAAATTATGAATGCAATCCATAATCTTGGTTGAATTTTATTGAATATTTTACTATGGAAATTCCATAAGGAAAAGTTCTACAGTATATGTTAAGTCCAAAGTATTATACTTTAGATCTCTGCACTGGTTACCTCTCGGAGAACTGTAACACACTGATATATAATAAAGTATCTGCCTCATCACAAACATTAGGTGTAAATTCGTCCTTTGTTGTACCCTACTGCCACTTTTTAGTCAGATGTGAATGAAATTATTTTCATGCCCCGCCATGAATATGGCCAGGTCATATAGAGTTTGTCAGTCTGTTCTTCTGTCGCACTTTGCGTTTAGCTCAGTTCAACTCAGTTTGTTGACCACCCAGCATCTTTAAGAATAGTATGGAATCTTTTTAATGATACTTTTTAAAGTCTAATGCTGTTTTTGTTCTAAATTCTTTTAAGGTACTTTTCACTTGGAAAAATATGTTTTGCGAAACTGAATATTTAACCAGAAGTCTCTGATGAGACTGTAGCTCTACTGGTTGTACTTATAAAGGAAGATAAAAGTAGCACTTGGACTTGAAACTTTGCAACAGCAATAAATACAATAATGGTCCTTGGTTTTGTCTCTTTTTGTGGCAAGATTTATTGCAATCTGACTAAAACTGTAGGAGGTAGCCTTTTCAAACAATTTTACAGAAATTTCAATTTAAGTAACCATGGCAACATCATTCAACAAAATCAAAAAACAATAAAGACAATTATGTATCTTAGTGTAGTCTGCTTGTGTGCCAAGTTACACTAAAATCAGACCAAAACTGTAGGAGGAGTAGCATTTTGAAAGTATTTCAAGGAAATTTCTATTTTTAGTAACCATGGAAACACCATTAATTGAAATCAAAAACCAATAAAAAGAATTATGTATCTTAGTGTAGTCTACGTGTGTGCCAAGTTACACTAAAATCAGATCAAAACTGTAAGAGGAGTAGCGTTTTGAAAGTATTTCCCAGAAATCTCTATTTTTAGTAACCATGGCAACACCTTTCATTGAAATCAAAAACTGATACATAGAATTATGTATCTTAGTGTAGTCTACTTGTATGCCAAGTTATACTGAAATCGGACCAAAACTTTAGGAGGAGTAATGTTTTGAAAGTATTTCACAGAAATTTCTATTTTTGGTAATCATGGCAACACTGTTCATAAAAATCAAAAACCGATACACAGAATTATGTATCTTATCAAAGTCTACTTATTTGCCAAGTTATATTGAAATCAGATCAAAATGCAGGAGGAGTAGTGTTTTGAAAGTTTTTCACAGAAATTTCTATTTTTGGTAACCATGGCAACACTGTTCATTGAAATCAAAAACCGATATACAGAATTATGTATCTTTGTGTAGTCTACTTATGTGCCAAGTTATATTGAAATCAGACCAAAACTGTAGGAGGAGTAGCGTTTTGAAAAATTGTTTACAGACAGACGGACAGACAGAGAGGGATGGACACCTTACTATCAGATAAGCTCTTCTGGTCTTTGACCAGTAGAGCTAAAAATATGCTTAACAAAAATGGATATTGAAAAATATTTGTAACCTAGCAAATTGTGTATATTGTCATCCAACTTCATACGCTAATACAAACTTTCATGTTGCATTAGTAATATACTCTCGCCAGGGCTGTCATGTCCTGTGGACACATTTCTAGTTTTTTAGCTAACCTGAGCTGAAACCTCAAGTGAGCTTTTCTGATCACCCATTGTCCGTTGTCTGCCTGTCCATCTGTCTGTAAACTTTTCACATTTTCAACTTCTTCTCAAGAAACACTGGGCCAATTTCAACCAAAGTTGGTACAAAGCATCTTTGGGCGAAGGGGAAGCTAAATTCTTAAAATGAAGGGCCAAGCCCCCTTACAAGGGGAGATAATCAAGAAAAGGCAAAAATAAGGTGGAATCATTAAAAATTTTCTTCTCAAGAACCACTGGGCCAGAAAAGCTGAAACTTATGTGAAAGCATCCTGAGGTAGTGTAAATTCTAAAAATCATGACCCCCGGGGGTAGGGTGGGGCCACAATAGAGAATCTATGTTTTACATTGAAATCTATGGAAAAAAATTTAAAAAACTTCTCAAGAACTACTGGGACAGAAAAGCTAAAACTTGTGTGGAAGCATCCTGGGGTAGTGTAGATTCTAAATTGAAAAAATCATGACCCCAGAGGGTAGGGCGGGGCAACAATAAAGAATCCAAATTTTTTCATTGAAAAATATAGAAAAAATCTTTAAAAATCTTCTTCTCAAGAACCACTGGGCCAGAAAAGCTAAAACTTATGTGGAAGCATCCTGGGGTAGTGTTGGTTTTAAATTATAAAAATCATGACCACTGGGGGTAGGGAGGGGCCACAATAGGGAATCCAAGTTTTACATTGAAATATATATATGAAAAATCTTTAAAGATCTCCTTTTCTGGAACCACTGGGCCAGAAATGCTGAAATTTATGGGTAAGCATCCTGGAGTAGTGTAGATTACAAATTGTGAAAATATTTACCCCTGGGGATAGGATGGGGCCACAATAGGTACATGTATTACATGGGGAAAAGTCTGGTGAAGAACAGCAGGGCAAAGTTACTCTGATGAGCATTGTGGCCCATGGGCCTCTTGTTCTTCTTTTTTTTTGAATGAAAGATTCAACACTAATTTTTAATTCTTTAATAAATATATTTAGACAAAAGTAAAAAAAAAACTCTCTGTAAAATTATCCATTTGGCTTCTTTTGTGATGCTGAAACAAAGCAGATATAAACCATTTTAAATAATTATGAACAGCATTTCACTCTAAATGTATCTGAAAATCATGATACGTACCACAGGAATATTTGCAGTGTGTTTGCAGTAAAGGAATACTGCAGGAATAAGTGAGAAGTGTTCGCCTGCAGTCAACAGGATCCCTTGGATCATAAAAAGAAGCAGCTCCTGTTGGAAGAACATGTTTGGTTGTCTTCTTCATAGCAGTGGATGTTGATATGATGTTGACAGTTGTTGGAGCTGCTGTTGATTTGCTATGTGCCTTTGGTTTTAGTGTTGAGGTGGTTGTTGGCAGTGAAACAATGGAAGGGGTTGTTATTGATGAACTGGATAATCCTATAACAAATGGGTATGAAAGTTGTTTTGGAAAAGAATTTCATAGTTTAGAGAAAATAGGGTTATTTGAAAATATTACATACTTGTACCTAGTGATTGTGTAGATCTGTTGATAGTTGTGAGAGCTGTCATCGTTGCAGAAATAGTTGTTGGTATGGAAGTAGTAACACTGGATGACCCTGTGTTTAATTTTATTTACTTTTTTATTTCCTATGTGTGACATAACAGAATGTGGAATTTGATATGTAAAGCATTTATGTTTGATGAAAAAGACCACACCAGTTGAAAAATTGATTGAATGTTAATCATAAAAGTTACTTTCAACAAAAAAAAGAACAAACTCTAGGTTACTTTTTAAATTTGCAGAGGAAGTTTAATTTTTAAATGTGTCCAGGTTTCAGAAAAAAAAATTGTTGCTAGCATGAAACATTACTCAAAATTTTAATATAATTTTTAAATTAGATCTAATTCTTACCACATGAATATGGACAGTGTATGAGAATACTTGGTTGAGAACAACCCATGGAGACACGTTGCTTACAGTCAGGAGGATCCAGTGGATTGTATTGGACTGTTGTGACAGATGGAGTAGTGTTCTGTGCTCTTGTTGATGAATTGTTTGAAAGCCTTGCTGCTGTGACTGAAGGTCCTGTTGATTGTGGCGTTTGGACTGAAGATCCTGTGGTTTGTCCTATTGTAACTGAAGATGGAGATATCTGTGTTGCTGTGGCTGAAGAGCCTGAGGTTTGTACTGTTGTGACAGAGGGTGTAGTTGTTTGTGCTTTTGTAGATAGTGTGACTGTAGGATTAGATGTGACTGAAGATCCTTTGGTTTGTGCAGTTGTGACTGAAGATCTGGTAGTTTGTCCTGTTGTGATGGAAAATCCTGTTGTTTGTCCTGTTGTGATGGAAGACCCAGTGGATTGTCCTGTTGTTACAAAAAGTGTAGTTGTCTGTGGTGTTGAGAATAAGGTGCCTTTAGAGTTAACTGTTGTTAATGAAGATCCTGCTGTTTGTCCTGTTATGTTAGAAGATCCTGTTGTTTGTCCTGTTGTACCTGAGGACCCTTTGGTTTGTCCTGTTGTTACAAAAAGTGAAGCTGCCTGTGATTTTGAGGATGAGGTGCCTGTAGTGTTTACTGTCGTAAAAGAAGATCCTGCTGTTTGTCCTGTTATGACAGAAGATCCTGTTGCTTGTCCTGTTGTTAAAGAAGATCCTGCCGTTTGTCCGGTTGCTACAGAAGGTGTAGATATCTGCGATGTTGAGGATGAGGTGCCTGTTGAATTTACTGTTGATATAGAAGATCCTGATGTGTGTGTTGTTTGGCTTGATGATCCTGTATTTTGACCTGTTGTGACAGTGACAGAGGATGGTGATGTCTGTGTTGTGGAAGATGAGCTTGAGGGTTGCCCTGTTATGATTGAAGATCCTGATGTTGGTGATGTTTTGACAGGTGTAGTTGTCTGTGATATTGTAGATGAAGTTCCTGTAGGTTTTGATGTTGAGACTGAAGATCCTGTTATTTGTGCTGTTTGGACTGATGATCCTATGGTTTGTCCTATTGTAACTGAGGATGGAAATGACTGTGAGGTTTGTACTGTTGTGACAGAGTGTGCAGTTGTCTGTGCTGTTGTAGATAGTGTGACTGTAGGATAAGATGTGACTGAAGATCCTATGGTTTGTGCGGTTGTGACTGAAGATCCGGCAGTTTGTCCTGTTGTGATGGAAGACCCTGTGGATTGTCCTGTTATTACAAAAGCTGTAGTTGTCTGTGATTTTGAGGATGAGGTGCCTGTAGTATTTACTGTTGAAAAAGAAGATCCTGCTGTTTGTCTTGTCGTGAAAGAAGATCCTGTTGCTTGTCCTGTTGTTAAAGAAGATCCTGCCGTTGGTCCTGTTTTGACAGAAGATCCTGTGGCTTTGCCTGTTGTTAAAGAAGATCCTGCTGTTTGTCCTGTTGTTACAGAAGGTGTAGCTCTCTGCGATGTTGAGGATGAGGTGCCTGTAGAAAATACTGTTGATATAGAAGATCCTGATATGTGTGTTGTTTGGCTTGATGATCCTGTATTTTGACCTGTTGTGACAGTGACAGAGGATGGCGATGTCTGTGTTGTGGCAGATGAGCTTGAGGGTTGCCCTGTTATGACTGAAGATCCTGATGTTGGTGATGTTGTGACAGATGTAGTTGTCTGTGATATTGTAGATGAAGTTCCTGTAGGTATTGATGTTGTGACTGAAGATCCTGTTGTTTGTGCTGTTTGGACTGATGATCCTTTGGTTTGTCCTATTGTAGCTGAGGATGGAGATGTCTGTGTTGCTGTGGCTGAAGAGCCTGAGGTTTGTGTTCTTGTGACAGAGGGTGCAGTTGTCAGTGCTGTAGTAGATAGTGTGACTGTAGGATAAGATGTGATTGAAGATCCTATGGTTTGTGCGGTTGTGACTGAAGATCCAGTAGTTTGTCCTGTTGTGATGGAAGATCCTGTTGTTTGTCCTGTTGTGATGGAAGACCCTGTGGATTGCCCTGTTGTTACAAAAGCTGTAGTTGTCTGTGATTTTGAGGATAAGGTGCCTGTAGTATTTACTGTTGAGAAAGAAGATCCAGCTGTTTGTCCTGTTCTTAAAGAAGATGTAGCTTTCTGAGATGTTGAGGATGAGGTGCCTGTAGAATTTACTGTTGTTATAGAAGATCCTGATGTGTGTGTTGTTTGGCTTGATGATCCTGTATTTTGACCTGTTGTGACAGTGACAGAGGATGATGATGTCTGTGTTGTGGCTGATGAGCTTGAGGATCGCCCTGTAATGACTGAAGATCCTGATGTTGGTGATGTTGTGACAGGTGTAGTTATCTGTGATATTGTAGATGAAAGTTTTGATGTTGTAACTGGAGACCCTGTTGTTTGAGCTGTTTGGACTGATGATCCTGTTGTTTGTGCTATTGTAACTGAGGATGGAGATGTCTGTGTTGCTGTGGCTGAAGAGCCTGAGGTTTGTGCTGTTGTGACAGAGGGTGCAGTTGTCTGTACTGTTGTAGATAGTGTGGCTGTAGGATTAGAAGTGAATAAAGATCCTATGGTTTGTGCAGTTGTGACTAAAGATCCTATAGTTTGTCCTGTTGTGATGGAAAATCCTGTTGTTTGTCCTGTTGTGATGGAAGACCCTGTGGATTGTCTTGTTGTTACAAAAGGTGTAGTTGTCTGTGGTGTTGAGAATGAGGTGCCTTTAGAGTTAACTGTTGTTAATGAAGATCCTGCTGTTTGTCCCATTATGTTAGAAGATCCTGTTGTTTGTCCTGTTGTGATGGAAGACCCTGTGGATTGTCCTGTTTTTACAAAAGCTGTAGTTGTCTGTGATTTTGAGGATGAGGTGCCTGTAGTATTTACTGTTGCTAAAGAAGATCTTGCTGTTTGTCCTGTTGTGAAAGAAGATCCTGTTGCTTGTCCTGTTGCTAAAGAAGATCCTGTTGCTTGTCCTGTTGTTACAGAAGATGTAGCTATCTGCGATGTTGAGGATGAGGTGCCTGAAGAACTTACTGTTGTTATAGAAGATCCTGATGGTGATGTCTGTGTTGTGGCAGATGAGCTTGAGGGTTGCCCTGTTATGACTGAAGATCCTGATGTTGGTGATGATGTGACAGGTGTAGTTGTCTGTGATATTGTAGATGAAGTTCCTGTAGGTTTTGATGTTGTGACTGAAGATCCTGTTGTTTGTGCTGTTTGGACTGATGATCCTATGGTTTGTCCTATTGTAACTGAGGATGGAGATGTCTGTGTTGCTGTGGCTGAGGAGCCTGAGGTTTGTATTGTTGTGACAGGGGGTGCAGTTGTCTGTGCTGTTGTAGATAGTGTGACTGTAGGATTAGATGTGACTGAAGATCCTATGGTTTGTGCGGTTGTGACTGAAGATCCTGTAGTTTGTCCTGTTGTGATGGAAGACCCTGTGGATTGCCCTGTTGTTACAAAAGCTGTAGTTGTCTGTGATTTTGAGGATAAGGTGCCTGTAGTATTTACTGTTGAAAAAGAGGATCCTGCTGTTTGTCTTGTCGTGAAAGAAGATCCTGTGGCTTTGCCTGTTGTTAAAGAAGATCCTGCTGTTTGTCCTGTTGTTATAGAGGATGTAGCTATCTGAGATGTTGAGGATGAGGTGCCTGTTGAATTTACTGTTGTTATAGAAGATCTTGATGTGTGTGTTGTTTGGCTTGATGATCCTGTATTTTGACCTGTTGTGACAGTGACAGAGGATGATGATGTCTGTGTTGTGGCTGATGAGCTTGAGGGTTGCCCTGTTATGACTGAAGATCCTGATGTTGGTGATGTTGTGACAGATGTAGTTGTCTGTGATATTGTAGATGAAGTGCCTGTAGGTTTTGATGTTGTGACTGAAGATCCTGTTGTTTGTGCTGTTTGGACTGATGATCCTGTGGTTTGTCCTATTGTAACTGAGGATGGAGATGTCTGTGTTGCTGTGGCTGAGGAGCCTGAGGTTTGTATTGTTGTGACAGAGCGTGTAGTTGTCTGTGCTGTTGTAGATAGTGTGACTGTAGGATTAGATGTGACTGAAGATCCTATGGTTTGTCCTGTTGTGATGAAAGATCCTGTTGTTTGTCCTGTTATGATGGAAGACCCTGTGGATTTTCCTTTTGTTACAAAAGCTGTAGTTGTCTGTGATTTTGAGGATAAGGTGCCTGTAGTATATACTGTTGAATAAGAAGATCCTGCTGTTTGTCCTCTTGTGACAGAAGATCCTGTTGCTTGTCCTGTTGTTAAAGAAGATCCTGCTGTTTGTCCTGTCGTTACAGAGGATGTAGCTATTTGCGATGTTGAGGATGAGGTGCCTGTTGAATTAACTGTTGTTATAGAAGATCTTGATGTGTGTGTTGTTTGGCTTGATGATCCTGTATTTTGACCTGTTGTGACAGTGACAGAGGATGATGATGTCTGTGTTGTGGCAGATGAGCTTGAGGGTTGCCCTGTTATGACTGAAGATCCTGATGTTGGTGATGATGTGACAGGTGTAGTTGTCTGTGATATTGTAGATGAAGTTCCTGTAGGTTTTGATGTTGTGACTGAAGATCCTGTTGTTTGTGCTGTTTGGACTGATGATCCTATGGTTTGTCCTATTGTAACTGAGGATGGAGATGTCTGTGTTGCTGTGGCTGAGGAGCCTGAGGTTTGTATTGTTGTGACAGGGGGTGCAGTTGTCTGTGCTGTTGTAGATAGTGTGACTGTAGGATTAGATGTGACTGAAGATCCTATGGTTTGTGCGGTTGTGACTGAAGATCCTGTAGTTTGTCCTGTTGTGATGGAAGACCCTGTGGATTGCCCTGTTGTTACAAAAGCTGTAGTTGTCTGTGATTTTGAGGATAAGGTGCCTGTAGTATTTACTGTTGAAAAAGAGGATCCTGCTGTTTGTCTTGTCGTGAAAGAAGATCCTGTGGCTTTGCCTGTTGTTAAAGAAGATCCTGCTGTTTGTCCTGTTGTTATAGAGGATGTAGCTATCTGAGATGTTGAGGATGAGGTGCCTGTTGAATTTACTGTTGTTATAGAAGATCTTGATGTGTGTGTTGTTTGGCTTGATGATCCTGTATTTTGACCTGTTGTGACAGTGACAGAGGATGATGATGTCTGTGTTGTGGCTGATGAGCTTGAGGGTTGCCCTGTTATGACTGAAGATCCTGATGTTGGTGATGTTGTGACAGATGTAGTTGTCTGTGATATTGTAGATGAAGTACCTGTAGGTTTTGATGTTGTGACTGAAGATCCTGTTGTTTGTGCTATTTGGACTGATGATCCTGTGGTTTGACCTATTGTAACCGAGGATGGAGATGTTTGTGTTGCTGTGGCTGAAAAGCCTGAGGTTTGTGCTGTTGTGACAGAGGATGCAGTTGTCTGTGGTGTTGAAGATAGTGTGACTGTAGGATTAGATGTGACTGACGATCCTATGGTTTGTGCAGTTGTGACTGAAGATCCTGTAGTTTGTCCTGTTGTGATGGAAGATCCTGTTGTTTGTCCTGATGTTATGGAAGACCCTGTGGATTGTCCTGTTGTTACAAAAGGTGTAGTTGTCTGTGGTGTTGCGAAAGAGGTGCCTTTAGAGTTAACTGTTGTTAATGAAGATCCTGCTGTTTGTCCTGTTATGTAAGAAGATCCTGTTGTTTGTCCTGTTGTAACTGAGGACCCTTTGGTTTGTCCTGTTGTTACAAAAAGTGAAGCTGTCTGTGATTTTGAGGATGAGGTTCCTGTAGTATTTACTGTCGTAAAAGAAGATCCTGCTGTTTGTCCTGTTATGACAGAAGATCCTGTTGCTTGTCCTGTTGTTAAAGAAGATCCTGCTGTTTGTCCTGTTGTTACAGAAGGTGTAGATATCTGCGATGTTGAGGATGATGTGCCTGTAGAAAATACTGTTGATATAGAAGATCCTGATGTGTGTGTTGTTTGGCTTGATGATCCTGTATTTTGACCTGTTGTGACAGTGACAGAGGATGGTGATGTCTGTGTTGTGGCAGATGAGCTTGAGGGTTGCCCTGTTATGATTGAAGATCCTGATGTTGGTGATGTTGTGACAGATGTAGTTGTCTGTGATATTGTAGATGAAGTTCCTGTAGGTTTTGATGTTGTGACTGAAGATCCTGTTGTTTGTGCTATTTGGACTGATGATCCTGTGGTTTGACCTATTGTAACTGAGGATGGAGATGTCTGTGTTGCTGTGGCTGAGGAGCCTGAGGTTTGTATTGTTGTGACAGAGCGTGTAGTTGTCTGTGCTGTTGTAGATAGTGTGACTGTAGGATTAGATGTGACTGAAGATCCTATGGTTTGTGCGGTTGTGACTGAAGATCTGGTAGTTTGTCCTGTTGTGACAAAAGGTGTGGTTGTGAGTCCTGCTGTTCCTGAAGAGCTTGTGATTTGTCCTGTCAGGACTGTGGGTGCTGATGTTTGTGCTGTTGTGACTGAAGATCCTGTGGTTTGCCTTGTGATAGAAGTGGTTTGACCCATTGTAACAGAGGTTGCATTTGTTGGTCCTGTTGATACTGAAAATCCAGTTGTTTGTGTATTTGTGATGGAGGATCCTGTAGATTGCCCTGATGTAATAGTGGGCGCAGTTGTCTGTATTCCAGATGATCCAACGATTGTTGAGGAACTAGCTGTTGTAATTGAAGATACAGAAGTTAGTCCACTGGTGTTGGAGGATGCAGTTAATACAACTGTGGGTGTTGTTGACTGTAGAGTTGATGATTGATAGGATGTGTTTCCTGATGAGGTTCTGGTGGTGGACATTGTTAATTGTGTAGAAACAGGTAAGGAGATTGTTGTCTGCTGTGTACTTGCACAGCCGATCAAGTCAAATCGCATTGCTATATGATGACTCCATTCCAAGGGATGTAGCTTTACATATTTTGCCTGTATTGGGGATTGTAAGGTGTTGATCTCTGGTGTGTTTTCGTCAGAATTACCCTTGAAAACCTGAAATGTTGAGTAATTTTCTTAAAGTCTAAAATAATTTTTAGCATTAACAAATTTTATTTCGCTTCAAATATCTTGTACCCACATGCGCTGTCTGTGGACCATATTTGCTCCAGTGTTTTCCATCTATGCTGTACATTATCGAATACTTTGTTACCCACTGTTTGCAGCAACCGTCACGTCCTTTTGTCACAATGGCCTTGATTGTGCTTATCTTGTTCAATTCTACCTAGAATTTAATATCTTTATGTGTCTGAACAAAATACTCACATATGTACTTAAATATACACTTAAACTATAGTAAGAAATGCGTATACAGTAGTTCTATTGATCTGATCAATTGGTAAGTAAATGTAAGTCATTCACAACTGGTTTTCGTAAAAAATGTTAATTAGTGTAATTCATATGTTTTTTCACCAAAGTGAGAGAAGGAAACATATATTCCTATAAACACCTTTAACTACTGGAAAATATATACATACCTGTATATATTGGTTTTTATCCAAAACTTTTGCGACCCAGGCCCCCATCTGTGTGACCCCGTGCGGTGTTTTGACTTCTGTGTTGTTGATCCGTGCCCTGGGGGCACTGTAGTCGTGTTTGGGGTCGGCTGCCCCGTACTCACTAGTAGCATTGATGTGATTGTCCGGTACGGGACTCGACCCAGAAACAAGGTACTCGTCACATTGCGCTTTAAAAAAAGAATTTGTTCTTGTTTTGGAAGGTATTGTTGTGTACGGGAATGTGTGGGTTTATTTCGTTTTTTAATCAATCGAGCATTCCCGTAGACTTGTTTACAGAAAATATGAATTATGTAATGTGTCTCAAACACGGCACATGTACATAACAATTCCTACACGTTTTTAATGCGCAAATATTATAAAATGGTATAATTAATCTTAAGATGATAATCACGTTATAAATATTTTCTTCGTATGTTAGTCGAATAAACACAAGCAATCAATTGGATTTGTTTAATTAAAATGTAACGACGTCATCCTCTTATGTAATCACATGTTCTTCCACCTACATGAAAATACGTCTGGAAATCAAATGTGAAGCAATGATATTTTGCTTACAAGCTAAAAACAACGAATCAAACCCTAGATGTAGTCGTATTTATATATATACTAACGTGTATTAGGGAGGCGAATGCCCTGGCTAGGTACTTTGGTAAGTATATTGGTTGATCCACTCGGTGAGGATGTTGGAAAGGAAGCAGAAGAGAAAGTATTTCCTTCAAAAGTAGTAAAAGAGTGAGTCCAGCGTGCAATTGACATTTAAAATGACATATTCAAGTTACTCAATTTGAAATTAGTAAAGAATGAAGAGAATAAACACAAAAAGACAATTTTTTTCTTTCGTGTGTGTTTGGAAGTGGGGGGTGGGGGTCTGGGCGACCGTTACCTGTTTGATTCGATGAAGTCATGCTTCCACCAGTTGTTGCTATCGTCTGGTTTGCATTTGTTGTGGTAGCACTGGTCGTTAGTACTGATGTATTTGCTAATCAATTGAACAAAATCAATATATTTTACAGTCTCTTTTTAAATGTTAAAAATATCAAAAGTAGATAAATGTATACGATTAACTCTGTATCGATAGGTAGTGCGCACATGTATGAGGAAGGAATAAAAAATATAGGTACCACAAGAATGTTTGCAGTGCTGACGAATTATCGGCACGCTGCAGCTGTAGGCCAGGAGTGACCGTTTGCAGTCCTTTGGATCAAGGGGGTTGTAATTTGACGCTACTCCTGTTGGAAGTCTGTATGGAGTAACGGGTAGGGTAGTGGACGTTGTTGTACTCTTTCCAGTGGAAGGGTCTATTAAATTATAAATTCAAAAATCATGCAGAAAATGAAAATTTAAGAAGAAATGTTCTCTTGAGATACGTGTCTAGGTTTGGTTTGGTATAGGGATGATAACCGACCACAGGCGCTTGTTTCATACAGTATGTTAGTTTACTATATACAATAACGTGTGATTGAGCATACTTTATGAAACAACCGCCTGTGTGGCCAACATGTGAAGCAGAACGTGCATGAAAATTATTTCATAAACAGAGGTAAATTGTTCTTACGCAATTGGAGGCACATTTTTGCGTGAGTCTGTGTTATTATATCACACGCCGGAAGCCCTGGAAGGACACTGGTTTACTTGTAATGACTTATTTGTTGTGAAATTTGTTATGAAGTTTTTGTTGCTGGTTACAACTAAATGGAATATAACTATAAAGAACTTGTAAATTAGCTATCCTCAAAACACGAAAATTTCCCGATTTATCTTTTGGCTATATACAAGTCATATATATAAGAAATACAACGATCGTCGTATGCTAGATGGCTTCAGGAAAATGTATAAAATTTGGTTTGCCAAGTATTTTTATTGCAGGTATGTAGCATGCCCCCATCCCCCATCCCGCCCCCTTTTGCTCACTTTTTGTTCTTTATCGAAAAGAAAGAGGAACCTGTCACTCCCGCCTCCAAGAAAATATTTTTAGGTTTGGACAATTTTTTTAAAATTTTGTCTGATAAACTTTTCTCAATCGTTTTTCACTTCCCAATTCCCCCTTCCCCCCTTGAAAATTGATCCTACGTCTCTGAATTGTGAATCACTAATTCCTCTAGGCCAATTTTAATTTCCGAGTATTTTTTCACACCGAGAAGAAAATGTTAAAAGCTTCATGCAAATCAGATACACTTTTTTTTAAATTAAAAGCAAAGATTTATGGAATATTAAAATAGGACTGCAAAAACCTAAGCTCCTCTACATCTTTAAATCAGAGTTAAACGTTCCCCCGAACCAGACTTATATAAAGGCATGCATATACTTTACAAAAAAACTACATGTACAATAAACACTTTTTTATCGTCCTATCCAACTCAAGAGTCTCTATTTGTCATACTATCTGACGTAATAACAAGACACAAAAATAGTTCACGTACCACAAAATGTGATGTGGTGATGAAGGTCTAGAACCCTAGCTAGATCTATACTGGTTGGGTGATTATTGACAAATCGAAAGCAAATGCGAAGAATAAGACATACCGTATATTCTTATATTTAATCAAATTTGAAGTTGTATTTTCTAACAAAAGCCTCTCACTTGAAGGGGAGCTTGGCATTTTGATGGGACATCCCAAAAATTCAAGCCTCATCGCAATATGTTGATTCCAGGTTTTAGGTAGAAGTCGAACACATCTTGCCCATACTGGACATGGCAAGTGATTTGTAACTTTGCTGTCTTCGTCGATATTACCTTGGAAAACCTTTCAAAATAAAAGAAAAAGTTTGGAGATTGCTATATATTGAATATATAAATTATTTAAATCAGTCATTCTACAAAAAACGTAACCAAAATAACACGTTGTAACATCATATTGTCTTCGATTCAAAAGATTGATTTCAACTCTTAATTCTTAAACTCAACATACAAGTGGTGTTTTGCACATATGGCAATAAATACAGTTTGACTTTTAACATAAACATAATATGTATATACAATGTTTGAATAGGTATTCCTCCGCAAATCTTAATGTCGCTTCACTCATTTACAAATTTAAAGACGAAAATTTCACTTTCACTAGCGTTCCGAGTTAATTGAATAGAATATTGAAGTATTTTCCCCGTATAAAAAGAAAACAAACCTTTTTCGCAAAGAAAAGCATGGATCCTGTATCAGATGAAATTATATTTTGTCGCAGAAAATGAATTAATTTCCGTCACGTTTTTGTTTAAAATTACACACAAAGCATTTGATCTGACAGTACACTGTAAAATGACCACGGAAGTGATTCCAGGAATTTGTTTGGAGTCCAGTTTTATCATTTTTAGAACAAAATACTTTTGAGTAACATCTTAAAACAAACCTATATTTCTAACTATTGCCGTGAACTATATCGTTAATTGCTGAAAATAAAATTCCGTAGCGATCAACATCCATGCATTATAACGTTTCTCCACAAAATTTTAGCTCAATACCAGATTCGTGCCAGATTTCAAAAATCAAGTTTTGCCATTCTTTACTTAAAAAATAAATAAATAAATAAATGAATAAATAAAAATTATAAAAATAAAAAGTCAATTTCATGTTTATAATAATAATAAATCCCGTTGAAAGACATATGCAACGTAGTTTTTAACTCTCATTTCTTATTCTCTGTATAATTTGACTGAAGAACCTTTGTGCGATTTTTTTGATGTCACCTCTCTGAAATAAATTGTGAAGAAGCACCAACGAAAACTATATATTTTTTGTTAATTTTTCTTTTAAAAAATCAAAATAGTTTTCTTCATTTCATATCTGTTCAAAACTCCTGGTATTATCCTGGTAATATATACATGCTGATTTTTTTCTAAGAGTATCTGGTGGTACTATGATTTTAAATTAACAATATCTTTGAAAATTATCCGTGGGAAAAGTACGTTGCGTGTGACCTTAAGCATTAAAGGCCGACATTGCCGTATGACCGACATTGTAATTTATTAACGAGAGCAGATTTGTGGATAAATCTTTTTTTTTTCAAATCAGCAAATGCACTGTAGTGTCTTTTGGAGAACTATGTTGTTCAATTGACTATTTAAAGCAACTATTTTCCCCTTGTTACATAACCTGGATTGGTCCTTTATCGTAAAAGAACTGAAATACCAGGCCCGTAGCAACGGTTTCAAAAGTGGGGCGGGGGGGGGGGGGACTCCCCCCACCCCAAAAAATAAAAAAAAATCTGACAAAAAAAAAACAACTAAACTGACCCAAAGTGGGGGCCAACTTCCCAAAATAATCTGACAAGCAAAAAAAAAATAATAATAATAGTAAAATAAATGAATTAAAAATAAATAAATAAAAATAAAAGCTATTTTTGTTCCAATTCCTGGAATTTGCCAGTGCTCGACCTTACAACATCGAAAACGGGGGGGGGGGGGGGACCAGCATCTAAAGGAAAACATACTATAGCAAAATACTATGCTCAGAAAAAAGTGCCCCACCCTCGTTCTACGGGCCTGAATACTGTACAACTTCGAGTATTACCGTTGCATTCACTCCTCCGACTGTTTTCCATTGCTTGCAGTCGTAGCTGTACTGCACTGTATAAGTCGTTACCCACTGTTTGCAGCATCCATGCCGCCCTTGAGTAATGACATCACGTACTAAATGGGGTCTTGAAAATGTTGCCTAAAAGTGAATGAAAATCTAAATTGGGAACAATATTTAACCCGTAAATACTAGGCAGAATGATAAAATAATCATACCATCAACATCATTCATGATCAACATCATTCGCATTCATGCAAACTTCGATGTCTCGACCTTTGAGGTAAATGACATATAAATCAATAGTCGTGGATAATATTTAATTGAAATACTTCCATTAGCAAAAAAGAGAAGAAATCAACAAGGAGCCGCGGGGAGGGGGAGGATAAAAAAGAAAGGTTTTAAAATGTACTGCGGTGTATTTGGTGTTTATACAGTAAAACACACTTATAGCGAACACCTTTATAACGCATTGACGCTTACAGCGAAAGGATTTTCATATTCCATGCATAGGCACTTGGGGTATGGACCGCCCTTTTTCCATTTTTTTTCTTTTTAAATATGGGATCAAGTGACCTTTTTCCTATTTTTGTATTCGAATATGCACTATATGTTATCGATAATGTAACCCTTTCGTCTCTGTAAGCTGTTTTTAAATATATCGTTTTCGATTGACACATATGTAAAAACAGCTTATAGAGACAAAAGGGTTACTTTATCAATAACATATAGTGCTTTTTAGAATACAAAAATTAAAAAAAGGTGACTCGACCCCAGAACTAAAAAGAAAAAAAAGGAAAGGGGGGGGGGGTCCATACCCCCAAGTGCCTGTGATCCCATGATTTTGAAATATATTGTAAACTTGACGAATATAACAAATTATGCTTAGCAAAATCGTCTGTCCCTGGCACTTCCGACTTCGTTATGAGCGTACATGTGTATTTTCCTATATAACATGATAAAAAACTGACTTTGCGATGATTCTTGCAAAAACGTTTGAAAATTTATTATTTCTTAAATCATTTTAGCATGGCATTTGTATACATTTAAGGAATGTTTTTAAGTTTTGTGTGATTTATTGGTGTGTAAATCACACAGACTTGTCACGTAGGCATATTTCATGAAGCGCGCTAGCGCTTCATGAAAAATATGCTTACGTGCAAGTCTGTGTGATTTACACACCAATATTTACATTTGCTGTGTTTTGCTACTAAGCCAACTGTGAAATTGAATTGAATGTCATTTTCGTGTATACTCATGCGTAGAAATATGAACGGAGAAACTCGCGCTAAAGTGACGTCACAATGAGGCTACAGAGACATTAATAAAAATGTAACGATATAGGGCAGCGAATGATTCAAATATTGAGTATATTTTTGGTGCTTTTGAACATGTAAAATGTAAATATAAGGAATGTTTTTAAGTTTAGTGTGAATTATTGGTGTGAAAATTACAAAGACTTGCACGTAGGCATATTTTTCATGAAGCGCTAGCGCGCTTCATGAAATATGCCTACGTGACAAGTCTTTGTGATTTACACACCAATAACTCACACAGAACTTAAAAACATTCCTTAAATAAATCACACAAAACTTAAAAACATTCCTTATATTTACATTTTAGAAGTTAAAAAGAACCAATGATATACTCAATATTTAAATTTCTTGCTGCCCTATATCGTTACATTTTTATTAACGTCTCTGTAGCCTCATTGTGACGTCACTTAAGCGCAAGTTTCATCGTGTATATTTCTACGCGTGAGTATACACAAAAATGACTTTCAAATCAATTTCGCAGTTGGCTTAGTAGAAGAATACAGCAAATGTAAATATGTACATATAAAACCCTTAATATTGTCAATAAATACACACTATATACGAATGACGTTTTTAAGTCCATTTTAAGTCCTGTTCTAGTATAAGACCGGGGGAATTATAGACATTCCTCTCCCTCTGCCTGTCTGTTCCTCTTTTTTTTCTATCTCCCAATCTGATAAATTGTTTGAATTTCATTATTTATACCATTATTTATACCATATCATACCTGAATGTACTGATTGTGGTCATTAATGGCCGCTGCCCAGCCTCCAATTTCCGTTATTCCATTGATTATCTCCTCCTTGGTGTCCAGATACCCCCTCTCAGCCCCGTACACGTGTTTGCTGTCCTTTTTCCCATATTCACTAGAGGCAGTTAAGTTACTGTTTTTGGCAATGGGTTGTTTACATAATTCTAGATAAAGTAATTGTATTTAAACTAATTATATTGAAATTTGTACTTCATAGTTCGGGGGGGGGGGGGGGTAAACAAAACAAACAAACAAAACAAAACACACACACATGCATACAGAATAAGACCAACTGTTGAAAATTGAAATAATTTGATTTTTACTTTTTTCTTTATTTCTTTTTTTTTCTTTTTGTTAGTAATGAAAACCCGGTATATTTAAAGTCATTTTACCAACAATTCATTAAATTAATTTTTTTTTCAAATAGTGAATGAAGAAGCTGTTTTAGTACTTGCCTACCTGTGCTTTTTACTGATATCACTGTAAAGGAAATAGTTCAAAGATTAACACTGTGATACTCTTTTGTGAAAAATATACCCAAAACTTTTAAAATTAATTAATTAAAAAACAAAATGAAAAAGCATACCTCCAAACAGGCAAATTAAAAGAATTCGGAAGTCAGCTCCGAAAAACTCAGTCATATTAAAAGTGTGGATTGTCACATAATCTCCCCAGGACCGAAGTGTCTGTTTACGTGAGGGGGGTAAACGAGTCTTGTTTATCCGGGGGTGGAGATCCTTTAATCACCTTGACAATAATGTCTGAATACACAATTATCTCAAACGTATGGAGGAGCTTGTTTGTTTAGCAACAGATAACCAAAGTTTATTCGACATTGAATAACTGTTAAACAATGACTGAGTATTTTCTTCTTCATTTGTATGTAGACACATTTTGCCTAATTTCTTTTCGTTTTAAAAGATGTTTTATTTACAGCCTGTGTATAAAGTGAATATAGATATACACTTATTTTTTTCTCTAGTTCAGAAGAGAGTATTGGTGAGAGTGATAGTCTGTTTCACATTGAATTTTTAAAATTTTCTTACCATTGATGGCACAGTAAATTGGCTATATTTTCTTGTAACATATTTAAAACACTGGAAAGATTCAAATGAAAATTATGTATTCTGACAGTAATATAAAAACAAATTACTTTTAAATATATCTTGTGGATAGGTATTAAGAACACAAATGAAAGGGATTGGGGAGGGGGTGGGTGGGCAAACTTACGCCAGAGTTCGTTTATACCAAAAGCGGAGACGCAGAGAACTGTGGGTAGTATGGGTGGGCGGGTGAGGGCTCCTTTGACTGCATCGGTCATTAACAATGGACGATCGATGCGCATATAAATAAAACACAGTAATTTTATTGTAATTTCTATCATATACTTTGTATTTTAAATATTAATATATCCTCCTCTAAAAAAAAAACGTGGAACTCAAGGTAAATTGTATATTATCTTGAGAATATTCATGCTCCAAAAAAGTTTTTTTTTTTTTTTTTAAAAATAATTCTCTTTTGGAATTTTAAAATGAAAAAGTAAAACACAAGCGACAAGAATTTTAATGTCTCCATAAAAATCCGGAAAACTCCATTAGCTAAGTATAGCAAACATTGAAGAGATTTTTTAAGGACATTTTTATCACTACCTCTTTCCTAATTTCATCACAAACGACAAGGCAAATAAGATCGTTCAAACATTCATCAGTCAGTCACTGAATGTAATCACAAATAATCCCCCAGTGCAATAGCTTGATCAAACAACAGTCAATTTATACACCAACACCTAGTTTAGGCAGAGTTAATGCGTAGAAATGCAGAAATGTGTGGAAATTTAAGGTGAAAAATTCGAAATTGAATTTGTTTGCACTTTTGCGTCGAGACGTAAAGGTACGTTCCAGTGCAAGGGAAAAAATCACGGAAATTAAAACATTATTTAGAAAAGCTAACAAAACGCATCATTTGATGATGACAGCTAAGACAGGTTTGGGTACTAGTCATTCAAAAACCACTTCACAAACGCGCTCGTGTATATTAAAGGGTAAAATGTCATTGGTAAACACCCATTTCTTTGTTATGAGAATCACATCTACGACCAAACTGACTAGAAACAAGCATTCTGAGAGTATTGCATTAGCAATACTAGTCCCCTACCGGCAAGTGTAATCTGGTTCCCGTTAAATAATTCCGTCAAAAATCAATGAAGCGGGTCGAAATGCAAACTTGATCTATAACTAATCAAGGTAAAGCCACATACCAAAAATCAGCTCAATATCTGAAAGCGTTTAGAAGAAAATTGCGGAAAACCCCTAGAAATTGAAAAAGGCCGTAATTCCGTCAAAAATCAATGAAGCGGAACGAAATGCAAACTTGATCTGTAACTCATCAAGATACACTTACATACCAAAAATCAGCTCAATATCTGCAAGCGTTTAGAAGAAAAGTGCGGAAAACCAAGTGGGACAGACTGACAGACAGACAGAGGGACAGACGGACAGACAGACAGACAGACGGACGGACAGACTCAGAGGAAACCTATAGTCCCCTCCGGTTTCACCGGTAGGGGACTAATAACTCCATCCAGAGTTGTCGTTCCGCTACGTTCCCAACACGCCCAAGTTTAAATGGTGTATTTAAAGTTCAATTTGTAATAAATCAATCAATAAATATGATATTTTAGAATGATCTAGATGTGAACGGACGTCTGGAAACAAAATAGGTGCATGGGATCAGGTGCTTAAAAGGAGTAAGCATCCCCTATCGAACGGTCACACCCCGCCTGAGCCCTATGAACAGGTGCCACAGCATTTTTTTTCATCAGTTTCCATTTTTTAATGGAAGGAGCAACTATCTATGAAGTCGATTGATTGCATGATTGTATGTTGCTCAACATCCCATTCGAGAATTTTTTCACTCTTATAGCGAAGTCACCTGCTTAAGTTTTTGACCTCTGCATGGCGCTGACGACCGTTGCAGTGAGAGATCTTTGTAGTGCCATCGTGACACACTAAGGTTTTATCCGAATTTTACTTTTAGTGTCGGGCGTTTGGCGAAGGAACAGTCACTACCTATACATGCTTAATCTATACGTTCAAAGAGATGTCTTAAAGATTCGTGAAATAAATTTCTTAATTGTGTAGCTCTCCTCCTTAATTTAACGAAAACATAATCATCTACAAGATTTTATAGATGATTGTTTGGGGATAAAAAGATTTTTATTTAACGCGTTGTTGTTTACACTCTTTTTTATTTTTTTTATTTTTTTTTTTTTTTACATTAGGCCTACATGTATTTTACATTGAACATTATGCAAAAATGAGAAGAATTTTGTTAAAAATAATTCGACTGAGGCCAACTTTAAAATAATGTGTGTTTGCCCTCTCCCGAATCAGGATAAAAAAAATTGGGTCAGTAGGTAGGTAACCAAAAAACAAAAAAAAATCTTCTCAGAAAATTTCAACATCAATGTTCAATTTTCAAAATCTATTTTCCGGAATTTTTTCGCGGAATGCATAAAAAATAATTACTTTCTGGAGGTTAAAAAAAGTTCTGAGTCTGGTCGTTTTTAGTCAGTCGGTCGGGATATTTTTTTTTAAAAAGATGTTTGCAACACAACAACAGCAGCAACAACAACAACAAAATAAGAAGAAATCCTGGATCCTCCCCTGTGATTGTGTATTATTTTTCAAGTTTTTATTTTGTATTTCTCATTTGCATTTTAACTAGGCGATAAACTTTATCTTTCTTTTGAAAAATGATTGATATGACAATGATGGAGACTTTTTCTTACTTTAGTTTTACTTTTAAAAAATGCGGATGGAAATTACATTGTACGATTTAGCCACTATCGTTTCACCCATATTTACTTCCGACAAATAGACAAGCACCTGACCGAATTCAAAGATCTGGTGACAGCTATCTAGTTTAACCATTTTATTATTTTTTTTTAGGAGAAAATAACCAAGCTAAATGTTAAATATGGTAGACTGATTTAGAACAGCTCTCTAACTGAAGATGTCTATAATACAAGTCACTGGTTCAGGGGGGAGTGTCCAATCCGATAGGACCCCGTTTTATGGAGGCCGTGTGCCGCCAGAAATTAGCCTCCTCATCAAACCGCTGGGAAAATGTGAAAAGCAAACAGTTGGGAAAATTCTGCAATGCAAGTATTTGTCTTAAAGAACATTTAACCATATAGATCTGATGATCACTGCTTAGATCAGAGAGACGTTACGCACGATGTTGGTGACGTTTAACGTTACACTTTGGTGGCGCTACGGAAGTATTGACGTAGAGCTTCTAATAGTGCTACTAGCATGACAGATGTCCTGTTGCTATCTCTTTGTACTTGAAATATGAGTAAAAAATCATTAACTACTTGTAATTAAACAAATGAACAAAGAGGGCACTTTCCATATGTGTATGATAATCATCAAGATTGTTTTACTCAAACCACTCTTAAACGCATTACGTTGAAGCAAATAGAATTATGTGTCAAGAACATCTACTTGATAAGTTGATAAATATGTTGAACCTCTAAAATGTTGCGAAATATATTTATTAATTAATTGAGTTAATTCATCAATTTGACATTCATTCTGACCATTTGGATTAGCACATTAAGAACATATAATTAATTTTGTAATCGATAAAAAAAAAATAGAATTAAACCCCTCGAAAAAAAAAAGACTGAATCTTATTTTTGCACGTCATTTTAGACTCTGGATATTTTTGTTGAACTTTTGTAACTCCTTTATTCTCTACAAAGCATGCAGTTTGATATCAACCTTAATTTAAAAAATAATTCAAATCTATAAGAAAAGCACATATTTTCATATAATTTGTTTTTATCTAAAGTTTCCTGTAATTAAGTAAATTTAATTTATATTCATATGCACTTTTTAATTATTTGCGTTATGGATTCCTTTTCTGTAAAAACTATCGCTTTCTTTTTCTTGCCACCATTGAATGCAAAATTGTTAACCACGCACATCACAAACAACATGGATTGTTCTTGTTTAGTGAGAAAAATAAGAACTGTAGATTCATTTTTGAACACTCTATGCAAGTAAAATGTGCGATCCTTGATTGAAAATGTAATGCGTTACACGCTTAAAATATCTTTGATTTGTGCTGTAAAATTTTATATTTTGCATGAAATCTATTTAAATGTTATTTTCTGACTGGAATCTGGTAGTTCTATTCAAAACCTATTGATTCATACCAAAACCACCTATACTGTGAGTATCGTTTTGAAATCGCGGCTAGGATAAGGCTGTCCGAAGAATGTCACAGTGTACCAGCCGCAGTAACTTCTCTGAACTACCTAGATACGACGTCATAATGGCATATGACGTCAAGTCACTGCATTTTTGAGCAGGCATAACGGGGAAAGTGTCATAACTTTTACATTTCTTTCACATCACACGTAGAATTTTTTATGTTGATGTTTAATTCATGTGTCTGGATTGTTGTTTTAAGGCTGTCTTGATGGTGAATATTTGCAGTATAATATCGTTATTCCTTTTTCTTGTCTAACATGTACGTATTCCAACAATTACAAAAAAAATGTGAAACGCTCCCCCTTACACGTCTGTAGACAGAGTGAGAATTTATAAATCGTGGATCGTAGACTGGCACAAGTGAATAATAAGGATTAATAATTGAAGATATTCCGTGCGAATCTACTAGAAAAATATGTCCTCTAACTGAATTTTGCTGGGGGATTGTATTTGATTTATCCCATTTTGTATAAATTGCGATGAAGAGTGGAAAATGACCCCTTGTATGTGGGTAAGTTGAATTTCTCGTGAAATATTTTCTTAAGAAATAAAATTCAGACTTGCCCCCAGCACTTTATATATACTCAAGAATACGTTTAATTGATTTATGTAACAAGCCGTTCACAATTATTTTGTTTTTCACTTGTGCCGATGCGATTTTTGTGCGACATTTAAGAAAATTTATAAGTGTCCATCACGTGATCCAACACAGTCATGTGACATCACAGAAATGCTTTTTTATAATACCTTATTCAACTCTCTTTACAAATAAATGGTGTATGTATACAAAGAGTACAAATTGAAATCAAAACATAGCTCGAAATAAAATAGTATATATCTAATGCATATTAAGCCTTCGGACAGCCTTAACATAGCTGCGATCATTGATTTGAAATCATTAATAGGTCTGGAACTAAAATTGTGAAATGGCACCAACATTGCACATAACGTCATAGTATAAAAAAATCATATGCATTTTCATATTAAAATAAGCACATGTGAAAAGTTGATCCTTTGAAACTGGGAAAGTAATATCCCAGTGATAAAAGTGATTGTCAAAAGCAGATGGAATGGAGAAGCAAAACCAAGGGAGTGAGGCTTTCCCTCTCTTAAGTCATTTCTTGATAGTTGAAATTCTTAGAGTGCAGAATGCAAAAGGTCAGGTCAGGAAAGTTGACTTTTCAGCTTTGTGTAAACCTGAAAATTCGATCATTTTATAAGTAAGCATTCAAGTAATTTTATCCATCTTAATTTTCAGTGATTGTGTCTTCAATGGAAGGCAAACCAGTGAACCATGAACAATTTAAAGAACTCTCAAATGAAACTTTAACTGAAGAAATCCTTAGCATTATATACTCTGGACTGTATTCCTTGCTGAAGCGTGCAATACGCCTACCTCTCACATCACTGAAACCAGAGGTAAGACAATCAAAAAGAATCAGGCATGTATGGCTATCTAACATAACCTTGGAAATGTCAGTAATACACAATGATATAAAAATTTTGTTTTATTAGGTCACCTGAGTCACTCAGGTGACCTATTGCTATCTCTTTTCGTCCGTCGTCGTCCGTCATTCGTCGGTCGTAAACTTTTGAACATTTTCAGCTTCTTCTCTGGAACCAGTGAACCAATTTCAACCAATTTTGGCATATAGCATCTATGGGTGAAGGGGAACAAAAATTGTGAAATTCGTGGCCCCTGCCCCCCTGGGGCCTGAGGGGTGGGGCCAAAAACCATCAAAATTAATGCAATCTTTAAAAATCTTCTTCTTTACTCCTGGACATCAAGCAGTCAAACTGTTGGCATGATTGTAATAAGCATTGAGCCCTCTACCAAAATTGTGAAATTCATGGCCCCAGGGTCAGGGGTTCTGGTGCTAGGGCGGGGCTATATAGATCATATAGTGAAAGTGCATTATTTCTTTGAAAATCTTCTTCTCTACTCCTGGGTATTATTGAAACAAATTGAATACATAGTTATGATAAGCAAGAGTGACTCTACCAAAATTGTGAAATTCATGGCCCCAGGGTCAGGGGTTCTGGTGTTAGGGCGGGGCTATATAGAACATATAGTGAAAGTGCATTATTTCTTTGAAAATCTTCTTCTCTACTCCTGCTTATTATTGAAACAAATTGAATACATAGTTATGATAAGCAAGAGTGACTCTACCAAAATTGTGAAATTCATAGCCCCAGGGTCAGGGGTTCTGGTGTTAGGGCGGGGCTATATAGAACATATAGTGAAAGTGCATTATTTCTTTGAAAATCTTCTTCTCTACTCCTGGGTATTATTGAAACAAATTAAATACATAGTTATGATAAGCAAGAGTGACTCTACCAAAATTGTGAAATTCATGGCCCCAGGGTCAGGGGTTCCGGTGCTAGGACGGGGCTCTATGTTTTATATAGTGAAAATACATTAATTCTTTAAAAATCTTTTTTTCTGCTCCTTTGTATTATTTAAACAAACTAAGTACAATGTATATAGTTATGATAAGCAAGGATGCCTCTTCCAAAATTGTGAAATTCAAGGCCCCAGGGACAGGGATTCTGGTGCTAAGGCGGGGCTATATAGATCCTATAGTAAAGGTGAATTATTTCTTTGAAAATCTATTTCTCTGCCCCTGGGTATTTTTTAAACAAACTATGTACATTGTTATGACATGCAAGGATACCTCTTCCAAAATTGTGAATTTCATGGCCCCAGGGTCAAGGGTTCTGGTGAAAAGAAGGGGGGGGGGCTCTATTGATTATATAGTGAAAAAGCAAATTTCATTTAAAATATTCTTTTCTGCTTCTGGTTAAAAAGCAAAGAAGCTAAATGTATAGTTATGCTGAACAAGAGTGCTTTTCCAGAGTAGTGAATTGCATGACCCCTGGGTTAGATGTGCTGGTTTAAGGGTGGGGCTCTTGACAATATAGTGAAAATGCATTAATTCTATTAAATAATCCTGTCTGCTCCTTAGTGTTAAGCAGATAAACAAAGTGATTACTTATGATGAGCAAACTTCTGGTCCCAGGGTCAGAGGCTCTGGTGTTTCTTGGGGGGGGGGGGGGGGGCTCTATTGATAATATAGTGAATCTGTAGTAAAAATGCATTATTTCTTTAAACATCTTCTCTGCACCTGGGCATATCAGAGGCAAAAAGAGTAAAAGTTTTAATAAGGAAGGGTATTTTTACCAGATTTTTGAACATCTGGACTATTTGGTCAAGTGTTCTGGTCCTTGCCTGGGCTCTATTAATATGTATTCTACTGAGAGGAGTTATTCCCCTTTGCCACTTACTTTTGATGATTAATAACTGTAAATAAAGTAGTTGAAAGGTTAATAGAATAAGTGAATTATGCAAGAATTTTTATTGTATTATACAAAAAGTACTTTCATAGTTCTAATGATCAGGTAGACTTTTAATAAATAGATAAATAAAAATGAGACAAAAATAACTTGTTTTATGAAATGTTCATTAAAGACCAAGAAAGGCCAATGTAAGAGATTACAACAAGGAATTAAAATAGTACAGAAGCACTGATAGTTTGTTAACCTAATTTATGAACTGCTTATGAATACTAGACTAATTATTTTGTTGATCCTGATCACCCTATTTATCTTGCTTTTGGGCAACAAAGCTTCACCTTTCAGTTCATTTTATACTCTAGGGATCCTCTAAATTGTTGTATTATACTCAGGTGACCGTTAAGGCCCTTGGGCCTCTTGTTTTATTATATACCCAACTGTTTGTCACTCAGTTTTACAGTTGAATTTATGCAATCACATGACGGTGTGATCCGACGTTCCGGATCACCACACTGTGGTTTTCTGAATCCATATCACCCCTCTCTGAAACTGAAGACATAGTACACAGATAAATGACGTTTTTATTCTCGTGTATCAAAAAGTTCCTTAACAAAATGGATTGTTTAATGGATAAAAGTTATGTAATTGATCCAAAAAGTTTTCTTTTATTATATTTTGCTAGTTGTAAAGGGGTATATAATAAATATTAATATCATTATAACAGTAACTTGATCCGAGGAGCCGTATCACGTCTCGTTGACAGGCGCGGATCATCAGATGAAACTCGGTGCTTCGCGTCTCGTTTGATCTGATGACCAGCGCCTGTCAACTTGACATGATATGGCTCTTCAGATCAAATTACTGTTATAATAATATATTTATATCAAATTGCAGGTGTTTGAATAAAACTGAAGAATCATTGTTTATGTGTGTTTTTAAGATTATTATGTGTTAATAAAGTTTGTGCAAGTACATGTAAACCTAAGCATACTGATCTATTAAATCCAATTACACTAAAGGGTAGGGGGTAAATTGATGAATAAATGGCAATGACTGGTTGTTAAAAATTGTCAATTAATTATCCTGCATGTAATGTGAAATGAATGTTTCTAATGCAAAACGTGAATGTTTCTAATGCAAAACGAGCAGTTGAGCATGATGCTTTGTCACCCAAGTTTGTATCAAGAATTGTTATCAACAAAAATGGATTCACTTCATAGTGTGAAAGCAATGATAGAGATTCATTCATTTTAAGAATTTGTGTACATGTATCACTATGATAAAATATGTTTATTAGATGAAGTAACTTAATTACTGATAATCACATTCTCTTATATTGAAAAAAAAGAAATAAATTTTTATTGTTTCTCTTTAACAATTATTACTCAACTTATTTTAATTAATATTCAATTTCCCCTTTTTTTGGCAGATGTTCAAGGAGGATATGTGTGAACTTCAGTAAGTCATATACTTCTCATTGGCCAATTGGCAATTAAGGTTCCAAGATAAAATCAAGTAAAATCACATATCACTGGGCCAGAAAAGCTGAAACTAACATGGAAGCATCCTGGGGTAGTGTAGATTCTAAATTGTTCAAATCATGACCCCTGGGGGTAGGGTAGGGCCACAATGGGGAATCAAAGTTTTACATTGAAATATGTAGGAAAAAATCTTTAAAAATCTTCTTCTCAAGAACCACTGGGCCAGAAAAGCTGAAACTTACATGGAAGCATCCTGGGGTAGTGTAGATTCTAAATTGTTCAAATCATGACCCCTGGGGGTAGGGTGGGGCCACAATGGGGAATCAAAGTTTTACATTGAAATACATAGGAAAAATCTTTAAAAATCTTCTTCTCAAGAACCACTGGGTCATAAAAGCTTAAACTTACAAGGAAGTATCCTTGGGTAGTGTAGATTTTAAATTGTTCAAATCATGACCCCCGGGGATAGGGTAGGGCCACAATAAGTATTACAAAGGGAAAATCTGGTGAAGAAAAGCAGGGCCAAAGTTACTCAGGTGAACATTGTGACCCATGGGCCTCTTGTTAGTTCACCTGATCCAAAGGCTCAAGTGAGCTTCTCTTATCAAAATTTGTTGTTGTTGTTGTCATTATCTTTTCACATTTTCATCTTCTGCAGATCCACTGGACCACACCTCTTTCAAGGGGAGATAATTTAGAATTGGTGAAAATTAAATGGCATCTTCTCTCAAAAACTACTGAGCCAGAAAAGTTGAAGCTTCTTTAAAAGCTTCATTACATAGTGTAGATTAGGGGTGCAACGATACACTAACCTCACGATACGATACGTATCACGGTATTCAGTTCACGATACGATACGTATCACGATACATGACAACGGTGTCGGGTGGTTACGTTCCGATTCCGTGTTCGACCCGCGTGGTTACGACCCAAGTGGTTTCGACCTACTCTTATATATATCCCTACATGTCAATACCTGAGTACAGGGGTATACACTGTGCAGTAAACAAATGGATATCCGGTAACTGTATATTGTATGGCTTCAGTGATGTGCGTGTCAAAAGGTACATGTAGTTGTTTCCGTATGTGTAGTCAACATGCAGGTTTCCTAACATTTTTTTCTACTATCGCGGAACATGAATGTTGATAAATTTGAATTATATTTGAACAGTTTTCCATAAAAATTAATCAAATACTTCTTCAAATGTACCGTGATCACATATGCACTGTCTGAACAATGTACGTTTCTCCAAATTTAATTACATACGATAATTAACACAAATATACGTGGTCAATATAAAAAAAAATTGTAGAGAAAAAATAAAATGTAAAACTTTTGAAAGTTTTAATTAATTTCGTTCCGAAGCAATTAATTGTTAATTAATTGCTTTGGAACGAAACCACTCGGGTCGAACATGGATTTGTGTCAAAACCACGCGGGTCGAACAAGTCATCGGAACGTAACCACCTGCATTCATGACAACTGAGGTTAAATCGTCTTTCAAGTTTGTCATCACATTTTTTTAAACTTGACAGGGTTATACAAAATGTTCATATTTTTTAATAATAATTAAAATAACATTTTGTTAACTTGAATTGGATTGTTAGGTAGATCTTTAAGTTGTGACAACATTCTAAACCAATGATGAACATTTACAGGGAACTACGGGGACCTTTCCTAATAATCTTCCTTTTAAATTGGAATGAAAAAGGAAGACATTCATTCTTTTATTCCTTTTATTTACGTAGAAAACCAGTTGTCATATTTCTTGTGTTAATACGTTTTAGTCAACAAGACAGCGAATTTTCATCAAAATACACACATAATGGAATATCGTGTATTACCAAAGAATACGTTTACAGATCTAAAGGGTTTATCATTTGTCTTAACATCTATAACTTATAATCACATTAAGTCCTTCTCCATGTTAAATCTGAGGTCTGTAAGATGCTAGAGATGAGTTTAACTGCCATAAATGTGTTATCGGCGACCTCACGTTTTGCGCGGAAGCCATTTCGAAATAGTAAAGAAGGAAATAAAACGGACAAAACGGATAATTCTGGACTGATTGAACCGAACCGCGATATCAGTTTAGCGTATCGTGAATTGAACCGTAGAAAAATAGGGTGAATTCACCATGCATCGGACACCCTCGCACTTCAACAAGTTCTAGCGATATAGCTACAGACCGAATATTATCAAAATGGAACTTAACATGTAGTACGTGGTTAAAATATAATTTTTTGACATAATCGTGCCCTATTTATTGAAAAAATATCATTAAAAACCAATTTTTTCAAAATAAGTCAGAATTCACCATGGATCGGACAATATTCACCATGCATCGGACATACGATATTTAAACCAGAAAAATATCATACCTTGATCTCGGTGCTTTAAATTTAGTGATATCGAAACATTTCCATCTTTTATTTAAAAATTAATCTTCTAATTAAAATTGAATGACTATTTCGATCCACAAATGTGAAGAGATTTTAGTTGCATCACATCGCCTTAGAAAGGCTTTACAATGCTAGTTATATGGCAACTCGCGCCTTTGTCGTGTGGGTTATCATCATCTAATTAAAGAAATAAATTGAGGTCACTTCTAGTCGTCATATATCGATAATTTGTATTTTCACTTAAAATTAAGAGTTTCTATCTTCCATTTCTGTAAAAAACAGCTGTCATTTGGGTTTTATATGAAAATGGAAGTGATTACCCATGCATCGGAAAGTGTCCGATGCATGGTTAATTTGTGTCCGATGTACGGTGAAATAAACATGCTAGTTAAAAACAACTCTAAAAAATATTATACAAACATTGAAGTAAAATTTTTGAAAAATTTCTTTAAAATTATCAATCTTTGATAAATTTTACCTAGGTCCGACCCGTTCCGTTGACGTCTATTTAAAAGAACGACAACTCTAAAAAATGCAAAATTGTAAAATTCTGGTTACTCCCCTTTGATGATGCAAAATATGACGTAATTTCAAGGCCATTCTTGTGGTATTTTTATCACAACATGAAAATAAAAATTGGCATCATTAAAAAGTTTAAATCTTCACCTTTAAGACCAAAACAAGTAAAAACACGGGGAGACTCGGGTTCAATGAAAGTTAATTTGCTTAAAGTTGTCCGAAGCAAGGTATGTGTCCGATGCATGGTTAACTCACCCTATACAGCGATATACCGTCAAACGGTTTATCGTTGCACCCTTAGTGTAGATTCAGATTCAAGTTTATTTAAACCAGGACCCCCGTTGGTAGGATGGGGCCACAGTAGGGGATCAATGTTATAGGAACATAAAGGAAATATGTTTAAAAATATTCTCAAGAACAACAAGGCCATGATTAGTCATATTAATATGGAAACAAGTTTGTTCATATCATCCATTAAGTTAGGGTGGGACCAATTAATATATATTTAAACTTTTTAATATCGAACTGGTTATTGCTTATCTCTAACCAAACTGCTTAGTTAAGCAACATGTTTCATGGGCCTTTTGTTTTTTACTGGAATGATAATGTAAATAATCTTTGTTTCAGAATCCCTTCTGAATTCCAAGAAGATATATCCAGTGTTGTTTTTGGATCAAGGTAAGAAAATCAGCTTGTTTAAGGAGTTTGCAATGCCTACTCCTAGACTGTAGACATTTAAACTAGGATTTGCAAAGCCTACTCCTTTTCTTAATGTATGTAGTTTGAAGTAAGCCATGGAAGAGAGAGGCAAGGCATATTGGAGCAATTTGGTATTGATTTCTTGTTTTACAACCCAAATTTGTATTATGTAATACTGATTTATTTAAATAATATAGGCCTGAAAGATGTTTCAATCCTGTTAATTGTTTTAAAACTGATGGTAGTTTTGTAAGTTTATAGTGGAGACTCTGTTTTAGCACATAGATGTGTGAATATTGTACAGTCAAACCTTGTTATCTCGAACTATGTGGGACCAAAAATAACTTTTAGAGATATCCGAGAGTTCGAGATATTGATGGAAAATACTTAAGATATACATGGCTAGGACTTCTCAATCATTTCGACATATCCATGGTATTCAAGATATCCATGTTCGAGATACCAAAGTTCAACTGTATTTAATTTGTCCCTCTTCTGTGTTTCTACACATCTTCAAGTTTATTCTCCAGCTTTAAGCTTGCTCAGATCTTTTAAAATGATCAACATGGAGATTTCTTATTTTGTATTGTGGTGCCTTATATTGTCTTAATTGAATAAATGTCATTTGAAAAGGTTCTTGGTACCAGAATTAAAAATGTGGATTCCACAACTTTGTAAGAAGCTCATACTTACCACAGCAATAGCAAGGTATTGTTCGGTATCAGTCTATGGCTTTTTGTCTGTCTACGACTCAACCTTGCCCATAACTTTACAGGTGAACAGCATAGGGATTTCATTTTTGATCAATTTTAGCTTTTAACACGAGGGTGTGTTTTGACCTTTAAACAACATCTTTTGAATAAGGTAAATATTGCAGGAATTGGAAATTTTCTGGTCTGGTTTTGCAATGAATGAACATTAGATGACTTAGCACAAAGGTAGTTCATTTAATACCAGAAACCAGAGGGTGTGTCTTGACCCAAATCCAAGGTCATTTCATTTTGGCTATTGGATTTCAATTGGTCATTACTAGGGATGTCAAAATATTTATTTTCCTTAGTCGATCATTCGATTGCATTATTCGAACGATAGTCGAATATTCGGAACATTTTCTGAAAATAAAATTTTATTTCAAACTTCACTGGTACATACTCAAAACCCTTTTTACTTTAATCTATTTAAAATGTAACATCAAAATTAATGCAACGTAAGCGTGGATAGCATGATTTTATTAAATAAATTTAGAAACCTAATTCTCCAAAATTTATTATTTCCCTCAATAGAATTCATAAATCGGCCTGTACATGCAGTCATTTTTTATTTAGTAAGCATTGAAAAATTGCCAGCCGATATTTTTTAAAGCTTATTATGAAATCAAGTGGAGGGGGGAGGGGCTATCAAAATGTCCTCAAACAGTTTAAAATGTAAGCGCATTGTTTTAATAATTATCAAAGTATCAAAACAGGTTTATATCTGCATTTGAGCAAACTAAAATAACAAAAGATACATGGTATAAGATCAAGTCCAATTAATAATTTTACAAACAAAGCCCATTATATTGGTTGGTAATTTATTACAAAAACAACACAGGCAAATCTCGCAGTATTGAAGCACTTATAATTGTTGTACTTTCTATACGTACATGGAAAATGTACCTTTTTTTGTTGTTGTTGTTGTTGTGGAAAATTATCGGCTGTCTATGAGGAAAGACTGTTTCTCAATTTTTTTAATGAGAATTCCATTTCACCTATCACTCATTTATTGCATTTATTTAGTTAAAACAATATTCGAATATCGTTTCATTATTCGATCGTCGGTCCATTCGACTGATAGTCGAATAGTCGACTATTCGTTGACATCCCTAGTCATTACTATTTTAGAGGGAGGCATTTTGTGTGAGAAACATTAAAAAATCATGTTTGGGTTAAAAAAAAAAATTGATTAGTGATAGTATATATGATATGACCCTGCACTTAGATAATTTTAACAAATTCAGGATTTGAAATCTTATAATTAAATTTGAATATGAAAACCTTGTTAAAAGTATTTGGTATGAAGATGACAAGTTTAGTAATATTTTTCCACTTTGCAACTGGGACACCAATCTATTTGAAATTAGATGTTTCGTCTGCATGGTCTCAGTTTTTGTCAGGACACATATAAAAAACATAAAATTATAGATTTTATAGATTTTATTTTTTATTAACTCAGAGATCCCCAGGGCATATGTGTTTCACATTGTCAAGAATATTTCAAAAAAGTACCTGGTAATCCAGAAATGTATTTTTACATTACATTCTGAAGTTTTTGACCTTCAAACAAGAGAAAACTTGCATAAATCCAAAGAATCAATTAAGTTTTCATTCATTTTCCTCAGACTTATATATTTTAAAAATGATTTGATAATCTCATTTCAAGTCTAAGCACTGATTATCTCATTCAAATGTACAACACTTCTGTATTCTTACATTGTGATGTCACATGTCTACTGAAGCAGTCTGAACTGCCACAAGGATTACAAAACAAAGGAAAACAATCCACTGAATTTATGGACTTTATTAATCATAAAATACAATTATTTCATTTACTTACTCAAGTCATAAAAAGCTTCAGAGACAGTGTAAATTGACTATATCTTGTATAAAACACTTGTTGAAGCAGATCCTCAAATGTACCAAACCTTCTGGATTTTATTTTGTTAATAGTGCTATTAATGATGCCATCGACATTTTTAACTTTAACTTTTTAACTTCACTAGATAATTTTACATGCTTGATTGTTCTGATGATGACCGTTTCTGGTTGAAAGCAGTCAACAAAATAAATTTACTGCTGCATTCTCACAAAGTGTTGGTGATCTGTTTTATGTCTTTAAGTTATCTCATCAAGTGTTAAAGAGGTATGCTCCTGAAAGTATTGTCATGTCATTTTTTCATGAGGTATATTTCAAATATCTACTATGATAAAGAATTACATGTAAAATAGTAAAGAGAAACAAGGGTGACAAATACCTTGTTTTGTCGTGAAAGTCAGTTAAATATGACCTTTTTGCACTTAGAAATAACTTCAAAGTACTTAAACTGGCAATATGTTGCACAAAAACACTGCATTGACAGGGTTCAAAATTAACTTTTGTAAGCACTAGTCCGTACGAACTAGTGACTTCCAATTTTCACTAGTCCGTAAAGCATTTGACTAGTCCACCTTCTGTCTTATGATAATGATAACATACCGATACTCCTACTTTGTGACTTTAACACACCCCCCCCCCCCCCCATAGCTAAAGAAAAATTAAATTCGCAAGGTATCAAAAATATCTTCTTTTTTTTTTATTAAATCATAATAAAGAAAAAATACTTAAACTTAGCAGTGATATACATTTTAGACCCCCCCCCCCCCTCCGAAATGTTTATATTTAGAGTTACATAAATTGTCAAAAAAACAAAACAAAGAATGCATATTTTTATAATTGTATCATTGAGAGAGAGAGAGAACAAAAAATGGAAAAAAGGTTGATTGACATTTTATTGTGCATTGCTGGTGTTAGTCTCACCCCTAACCTAATTATGTCCGTAACAAAGCTCTGTGATCAGTGTCTTATTAAGTAATTTTTTTTTAATAATGTTTATTGTATTTGTAACATTATAAATCATCTATGCTCATTTACAAGTAGATGTGTTGCAACACTAAATTTGTATTGTCTTAATTAAGATACGATATTCCCATGTTGATTTCTCTGACGATTTTGAGAAAGTCTACTGTTGCAGGCTGTAAAAACAGCTTTAACACAGAGGAAATTTTCAATATATTTACTTTTAAATAAATCAAAAATGATTTTGTGAAAGTCAATAAAATAATGCATGGCGACTAAACAATACTACCCCTCCATGACCAATTGCCCACCCTTTCGTGAAAATCTTGCAGTTTTAATTTTTTGTTGTTGTCATAATTGCCCATTGATCTTTGAAAGGCTTATACTCGCAAAGTTCACTAGTTATTGTTTACACATTGTTTTAATGACTAAAATGCAGACTTTTGTGCTTATAAACAGGTGTTCATTTGAGAGAAAACAATGGAGAAAAAATACTAAGACTGAATTTTCACTAGTCCGTACGGACTAGTGCTACATGGATTTTACTTTTATAGTATGACACAATTTTCACTAGTCTCAAACTTATGGACATGAGCTAATTTCGAACCCTGCATTGATTTATTGTAAAGTTAACGCCTGAATAGGGATTGGAGCTCTGCAACTTTATTTCAAACTCTCCATTGAAAAATCCATATTAATCAGTTTATGGCTTTGAAATGGGACAAGTATTTGTCACTTACATGCTGACACGATAAACACACAAATGATAGTTGTCTCTTTATCCAGCTGTTAGCAACCTAAAAACATTGATTCATTTAATTCAGTATATGATATGAATATTACATTGCACTGCTATTTACAACATATACGGTGTTATATACCTTAAGTATTAAGATTGACAGATTAAAAAATAAATCTCTTGTTGGGGTGATATTCTATTATAAATAGGGATGGCAACGAATATTCGAATATTCATTCGATGAGTTGATATTCGAATATGAATTTAAGATTCGAATATTCGTTTTTTCAGATTTCATAAAAAGAAGTACTGTGATTGATAAATTTTGATTTAGAACAGTGCTTGGATTATCCTTGTTTAATTTACTAGCGATCAATTTCGATCGCCTGATTTCTTTCACTACTTTCTTATCTTATAAATTTACTAAATTACATGTATTTTGTTTTGAATAGGTGTTAAAGAATTGCACAATAATGCTTTATGTTTAATACAAAACGTACTTTGAAATTCATAGTTTTTTTAGTTAGATATGATTGGATCTAGAATCGAGGACAACAAAATGAAATCTTAGAATGTCTTAAAAGGCGTGAAGGGTATAAATTAATTGATCATTGAATGGATGTCCGATAGAATTAGTCTGTAATTAATA